ACACCTCTAGTGCCCGGCGAGTGACTGCGAGTGGAGGTGTCCCTAGGCAGCAATCTAAACACTACATTTGCTCTGAAAAAACAGTGTTTACATAAAAATGCCTACAGGGACATACTGTACTCACCAGAAGAACTAAATTAAACTGTAGTTGTTCTAGAGCAGGGGTGGGGAACCTTTCGTCCTCCAGATGTTTTGGACTAAATCTCCGATAATGCTCTTACAGCCATAATGTTGGCAAAGCATCAAGGGAAATGTAGTCCAAAACATCTGAAGGGCCGAATGTTCCCCATCCCTGTTCTAGAGACTATAGTGTCCATTTAATGTAGTGGTTCTGTTGTCTATAGCCTATCCTTGCAGTTTTTGTTTACTGTAAACACTGTGTTTTCAAAGAAAAGGCAATGTTTACATTGGTGCCTAGTAACACCTCTAGAGGATGGCACTCAGTGATTCAATGCATCCCTAGGAGACGCTGATTGGCACAGCACTGTGTTTTGCCGAGCATGCACAATTGTCACCCAATTCTTTCCTTTGGGAAAGCATTGGATTGGCTGAGATCGTCAAGTTTTATGTCAACCATTGAGAAAGAGTGAGGCAGGGCCAGCCATTAAATGACCAGTGCGGCGAGATAGAAATGGTCGGTTTAAACACCTTTTTTTACTCCTCTGACACTGTGGCCGGGGATTTAAACTATAGTGTCCCTTTAAATATCACTTTTTCATGCTCATGGGCAGCAGATAAATAGTGGCACCTTGCTGTATGTAAAATATCAGGGCTCCCAACAGTCTCGCTTTGGCAAAACAGTCCCAATTTTGGGGTCCTGTCCTGTTGTTCCCCTTTAGTTCCCTGGTGTCCTGCGTCTCTGGACACGTGGGAACTGTTCCGGACATCACAGTACAAGCACATCATTAGGAGCATGCGGGGAACGCGTCATATTGGTCCAAGAAAACATAGTGGATGTGGCAAATGTTAACAGGACAGAGATGGCTATTTTTTAAAATTTGCTATTGTGTAATATATTTAGCAGATTGTGAGTCAGCTTATCCCAGCTTGTTGTCTATTTAATAATCTTGTATAATGAAAGGAAATTTTGCGAACAAGGATAATGCTGACTCACGGCAAAATTCTGGAAACACCTAAAAAACCTTTCCAAGTCAATTACAGTAATTTTGGTCTGTGATGAGACAGACTAACTCCAGCAATCCTCCCAATTTTTTGCTGGAACTTTAAATTTGATTGCATAATCGAAATGGCTTCAGGGACGAGATACAGAGCATGTCTCTGCAGTGCGAAGAAAGGGTACATAAACAAATGTGCTATTTTTTTTTCTTCTTAATAGTCTATGCATTATGAGAACTTGCCTATGGGACAGGATGTTTATTAAAAAAAATGCATGCTGGAATTTCTCAGTGACAGCGACTTTGCCTTAAAGGGACACTGCATTCTCTCTTGTCATATAGTATACAAAGTAATTGCATTAAAAATATCAGCAAAAAATAAATAAATACAAAATTCTATCTATGTGACATTCTTGGCAACTTCTGCAGTGGAGTCTTCCCAGACCATAAAATGTATGATACAGATCGCTGATGTGTCATGGAGGTTTTTTTATCATGATTTACGAAATTTGGCGCATGAGGTGTTTGTATTGTATGCACGGAATAATGGGGCAAAGCATCTTACAGTATTAATGTGCAGTCCGGGGCGCTGTACTTGAAAAGTACAATAACCAGTCAGCTTATTTCTAAACCTGATTTGCTGACTGGCAGAACATGGATCTTGCCTAATTGATTATTTTACTTTGGCGTATGTCACTTTAACACTGCATATTGCTTTGCTGTACAGCCTGAGTATTTCATGCACACAAAATAAATACACTGCGCGTACAATTTAGTAAATAGCAACCACAATATAAATATATTGTGAACACAATAAACTCGTATATTGCAGGAACAATTTACAAAGACTTGTACACAATTTGATGGACTGATTTAACAAAATTCTCTGTGGCATCTCCAGGTCCGTAGTCTGAGATTATTCCATAATAAACAGTGCAGTCAGTCTGGACAGTATAGGAATTCTGGGAGTTGTAACTCGACTGTCAGCGGGATTACAATTCCCATAAATCTCAGCGAGGAGCCTAACATCCTGTACAGCTGTGTCATCGGAAAATAAAATTGGATCACAGTAGGTTGGAAAGAGAAAGCACGATCCTATCGAGAAAAACAAAACAAAAACAAAGAAAACACTATTATTTAAAAAATATAATTAGAAAAATATCTACCCAGCCCAATTGTTACCTAACCTACACATAGCAGGTAGGCGCCTGAAGTTCTCCATTAAAGAATAATTGTCACTCTGGAAGATAGCTTTTAGTTAATGGTTAACTGCTAGTTGTGCTTAAAAAAGGAAAATATATATTTTTTTATTGTTGAAGACCAGTCACATCACATGGAGTTAGCTACTTGAAAATCACAGTGGAAACCCAGCATTTAGACTATGTTCACAAAAAACAGCTTTTTTTTTTTTTTATATAGAACTGTGTGCAGAATGGGAAACAGAATTGTGGAATGTAAGCAAAAACGAAACTTGCCAAAATCTGCTATATTGATAAATTTGGAAATTGTGGACTGATGGTTCTTAATCAACTTCATGTTACTGCTTAGTAAAGAGACCTTTGAGATTATACTTCCCAACTGTCTTGAGTTCTGGAATTCAGTCCTGATTTTGGGCTCATGTCATGCCATACCAGATTGGTTCTCTAACCAGAGGTGGAGGTTAGACCAGCGGTTCCCAAACTGTGTGCCGCAGCACTCTGGGGAACCACGTGCACACAGGGGCACCCCAAGATATTTCCCCGGTGCTATGATCATATGATCATAGCACCGGGAACTGTGCTTCCCTCTTCCCGGCCGGCTCTGCAGGAGCTAGAGGGGAGATCAGAAGTCTCGCGAGAGTGAACTCTAGCAGCTCCTGAGGCTGCTAGAGTTCACTATCACACTTGGACCACCAGGGCTTCACCACCGGACCACCAGGGATTGCAGGAAATGTCCCCCCTCCCAGGCAAAGGTAAGCAGGGAGGGGGATATTTAAATTATTAGGTTTTTTAAAATTAAAATAAATTAATGTATATTTATTAATCTACCCACCTCCTACCCTTCCCCCCTATACACACACACACACTGCTCCCATATACACACTGCTCCCCATACACACAAACTTCCCCCCATAAACACACACTGTACCCCTCACACACACTGCCCCCCTTACGCACACACTGTACTCCTAATGCACACACTGTACCCCTAACACACACTGCACCCTTCAATCACACTCTGCCCCCATAAACACACTGCCCCCCACGCACACACTGTAACCCTCATTGGTTCTCTTACCAGAGGTTGAGATTAGACCAGTGGTTCCCAAACTGTGTGCCACGGCGTCCTGGGGCGCACAATGGTCACACAGGGGCGCCACAAGATATTTCCCCGGTGCTATGGTCATATGATCATAGCAACTGTGCTATTGGCTAGTAGGTAGGAATGCTTAGGTTAAAGTGAACCTGTCGCCAAATATACAACTTTAGCTATTTTAAAAGAGTTTAAAATTCCATCTTCACATTGTACTAGCAGTTTCGCTGGAAAAATTGTTGTTTCTCCCATCTCTTGCTCAGTTCCTCAGCACGCACTCAATGCTGAGGAATTGAGAGGGAGGGAGAGTGAAGAGACCTCCTACAGAACGTACCTCAGCTCTCCACCTATAGCAACCACAGCTCATGCGCTGTGGTTGCTATGGTGATTTCCTAGATTGCAGCAGTGGAGCAAAGGGTCAGGTAAGGCATGGCAGTTTCCCTTTAAAATGATTACTCCAAGCACCATGACCACTGCAGACTACATTCTAAATGGTCTAACCATTTTGAAAGGTTTCACTTCTTACTTGGGGTCCGCTGGGAACCGCTCACCAATCCCAGTACTGACAGAGGGCAGAAAAAGCCCAAATAGGAGCTTTTGTTAGTTCTCCTGAGCTAAATCTTGCAGTGTAGGGCTTACCTCATTGGCTGAGAGCAATAAGCTGACTTTATGGTAGCACTGGCACCATAACCACTACAGTGAGCTGCCGTGGTTAGGGTTCTTGGAATCCTCATTTAAGATATAGTGATTTGTTCCCCTTTTAATGTAGTGATGTAGGGTAATGATGCACAGACCCTGTCGCTGAACTCTGAAATGGCAACAACGCTGTCTGCGAGGTATGAAACTGTTACGTTTGTCAATTAAAATGCTTCTAGTGGCTGTCAACTAGAGAGGCATTTCTGGAAGAGGTAAAGCCTCTGGTAGTAGTCAGTATGACAGTCACTGGAGGTGTCTTAACCCTGCAATGTAAAGAGGTTCTAACACTACTAACAAACTACCATGTTTTACATCGCAGGGTTAAACTGACAGGACCACCGCACCAAAACCACTACAATGAGAAGAAATGGTCTGCGTGGCTATAAGGACCCTTCTTTAATTTAGAATTCCTGATATTGGAGAGTTGATTTCCTAACACAGTATATACAGGATTCTACAGTTCCGTCAGTGTATACAATAGAACCTTTTGTGGTCTGAGGAAAAGTGACAAAGGATTAAAAACAAACAAACAAAACAGATATGGGCCCCAGACTTACTGACAGATACAGGTTATTATACTGAATTTAACTGGGTGTTTTTTTTAACTCTCAGATAACAGAAGGTTATAGTACTGAAAGAGTTAACATATGTTTTTTTCAGCCCTTTTTTACTCGGTTATCCCCTGAAGGAAAGTAAATCCAGGGATATAATAGGAGGCTGGTGTTTGGAAAGTGCTGTTGGTGAAATATGATCCATTTAGTGAGTCCCCTAATTAATTCCAAGCTCTCAGAGAGGGCATGCTGGCTGGGGTATGTGGGTCAGGGCCAGCAGGGGTTACTGGGGAGGGCAGCAAAGAGGCAGAGCTTTGGGAAGGTTATGTTTCATGATTTGGACCCCACATCTCTAGCCTGTACCCCCCAATCTGGATGTTTCCAGCCTGCATCAGAGGGAGGTGCCATAAGAGCATCCTACATTTGCTTTTCCCTGTTTGCAAGTGAAACACAAGTCACACAGTGTGGAGGGGAGGAGGGGAAAAGGAGGAGGAGCTGCTTGGTGTGAAGGCACAGCATACAGAGAGCTCTGGACAGCAGGAACTCAGAGCTCCATGGGCTGCAAGCAAGTCAGCACTTACTGAGTGCCCACATCAACAGACTGGCACTGCTTCCACTGTGCCCACATCAACAGACTGGCACTGCTTCCACTGTGCTCATATCAACAGACTGGCACTGCTTTTACTGTGCCCACATCAACAGATTGGCACTGCTTCCACTTTGCCCAAATCAACAGACTGGCACTGCTTCGACTGTGCCCACATCGACAGACTGGCACTGCTTCCACATCAATTGACTGGCACTGCTCTAACTTTGCCCATATCAACAGACTGGCACTGCTCTCACTGTGCCCAACTCATCTGATTGGAACTGATGTCATTGTGCCCAGCTCATCTGATTGGCATTGCTGTTATTTTGCCCAGCTCATCTGATTGACATTGCTGTCACTGTGCCCAGCTCATCTGATTGGCACTGCTGTCACTGTGCCCAACTCATCTGATTGGCACTGCTGTCAACTAACTAAGCAGAGGACTACTTGTACTGCAAGCGCCCAGACCCCCCTGTGCCTAACTCATCCAACTTACCGTGTACCCATTATGCCAAGGAGCTCTGCCTGGCACTGCACTTTATACACTGTACCCAGATCATCTTTGCCTCTGCACCTGCTTGTTTGACTGGCATTAACCTGTATCCCGGGCTCTATAGACTGGCACTGAGCATTATAGCCACATAGAGACTGGCACTGGGCACTATACCCACACAGGACTGTACAGGGCTCCTGGCATTATATAAACCTTCATAGAGACTGGCACTGGGCACTATACCCACACAGGACTGTACAGGGCTCCTGGCATTATATAAACCTTCATAGAGGCTGGCACTGGGCACTATACCCACACAGGACTGTACAGGGCTCCTGGCATTATATAAACCTTCATAGAGGCTGGCACTGGGCACTATACCCACACAGGACTGTACAGGGCTCCTGGCATTATATAAACCTTCATAGAGACTGGCACTGGGCACTATACCCACACAGGACTGTACAGGGCTCCTGGCATTATATAAACCTTCATAGAGGCTGGCACTGGGCACTATACCCACACAGGACTGTACAGGGCTCCTGGCATTATATAAACCTTCATAGAGACTGGCACTGGGCACTATACCCACACAGGACTGTACAGGGCTCCTGGCATTATATAAACCTTCATAGAGGCTGGCACTGGGCACTATACCCACACAGGACTGTACAGGGCTCCTGGCATTATATAAACCTTCATAGAGGCTGGCACTGGGCACTATACCCACAAAGGACTGTACAGGGCTCCTGGCATTATATAAACCTTCATAGAGGCTGGCACTGGGCACTATACCCACACAGCACTGTACAGGGCTCCTGGCATTATATAAACCTTCATAGAGGCTGGCACTGGGCACTATACCCACACAGGACTGTACAGGGCTCCTGGCATTATAAAAACCTTCATTGCAGCCAGTCTGGGTAGTGTGAGGATCCTGAGAGCTACTTACCGGCCGGAGGGGATATAATGCCCCCTGTGCAGCCCTGAGTGGCCCTCACTGAGTGTGTACTCACTGCCTTGCTCTCAGACTCGCGGATTCGGAGCTCTAGCGGCGGGAGCATGGCCCAGGAGCGGCTGCAGCCCCGGCTCTGCCACATCAGGAAGGGCGAGCAGGGCTACGGCTTCCACCTGCATGGCGAGAAGGGCAAGACCGGCCAGTACATCCGCAAGGTGGAGCCCGGCTCCCCGGCAGAAACCGCGGGGCTGAAAGCTGGAGACCGGGTGCTGGAGGTCAATGGGGAGAATGTGGAGAAAGAGACCCACCACCAGGTACCTACCTCTACCCTCTGTATAAACACCTCTCTATAGCCTGACCTCTGTATAACGTACCCTCTGTATAAACACCTCTCTATAGCCTGACCTCTGTATAACGTACCCTCTGTATAAACACCTCTCTATAGCCTGACCTCTGTATAACGTACCCTCTGTATAAACACCTCTCTATAGCCTGACCTCTGTATAACGACCGACCTGCTGTCTGGATAACGACTTGGCCTCTCCTCTCTATATATTATATTCTCTATATAACGACCTGCTCTCTGTATAACCACCGGACCTCTCTATATAACAACCTGGCCTCTCAATATAACGACCTGCTCTCTATATAACGACCTGCCCTCTCTATAGCATGACCTGCTCTCTGTATAAAGACCTGACATCTCTATATATTATAGTCTCTATATAACGACCTGACCTCTCTATATAACGACCTGCCCTCTCTATAGCATGACCTGCTCTCTGTATAAAGACCTGACATCTCTATATAATGGCCTGACCTGTCTGTACAACAACCTGCCCTCTCTATCATAACCTGTTCTCTGTATAACGACCTGACCTCTCTATATCATGCCCTGCTCTCTATATAACGACCTGCCTTCTCTATATCATGACCTGCTCTCTGTATAATAACCTGCCTTCTCTATATCATGACCTGCTCTCTATATAACATCCTGCCCTCTCTATATCATGACCTGCTCTCTATATAACGACCTGCCCTCTATATATCATGACCTGCTCTCTATATAATGACCTGCCCTCTCTATATCATGACCTGCTCTCTATATAATGACCTGCCCTCTCTATATCATGACCTGCTCTCTCTATAACGACCTGCTCTCTCTATAACGACCTGACCTCTCTATATCATGACCTGCTCTCTATATAACGACCTGCCCTCTCTATATCATGACCTGCTCTCTATATAACGACCTACCCTCTCTATATCATGACCTGATCTCTATATAACGACCTGCTCTCTGTATAACAACCTGACCTCTCTATATGGTGACCTGCTCTCTGTATAATGACCTGACCTATCTATACCATGACCTGCTCTCTGTCATTTCTATATATTGGCCAATCCCACTGACCTATCATCTGTATATATTGACCAATCATCTGTATAGAGCAAGCATTGGAACCAACCTCTACATATTGACCAGTGTAACCAACCTCTTCTCTACATACTGACCAGTGCCACCCACCTGTCCTCTACATACTGACCAGTGACCTGTCCTCTACATACTGACCAGTGCCACCCACCTGTCCTCTACATACTGACCAGTGCCACCCATCTGTCCTGTACATACTGACCAGTGACCTGTCCTCTACATACTGACCAGTGACCTGTCCTCTACATACTGACCAGTGCCACCCACCTGTCCTCTACATACTGACCAGTGCCACCCATCTGTCCTGTACATACTGACCAGTGACCTGTCCTCTACATACTGACCAGTGCCACCCATCTGTCCTCTACATACTGACCAGTGCCATCCACCTATCCTGTACATACTGACCAGTGCCACCCACCTGTCCTGTACATACAGACCTTTGCCACCCACCTGTCCTGTACATACTGACCAGTGCCACCCACCTGTCCTGTACATACTGACCAGTGCCACCCATCTGTCCTGTACATACTGACCAGTGCCACCCATCTGTCCTCTACATACTGACCAGTGCCACCCACCTATCCTGTACATACTGACCAGTGCCACCCACCTGTCCTGTACATACAGACCAGTGCCACCCACCTGTCCTGTACATACTGACCAGTGCCACCCACCTGTCCTGTACATACTGACCAGTGCCACCCACCTATCCTCTACATACTGACCAGTGCCACCCACCTGTCCTGTACATACTGACCAGTGCCACCCACCTGTCCTGTACATACTGACCAGTGCCATCCACCTGTCCTGTACATACTAACTACTGACCACTAGCACTGACCTGTACTAAGTATGCTGATCTCTAACACTGGCTTCTCTTGTGTGTACTAACCACCTGCACTTACCTTTCCTCCTTATTTTAAATAACAGTAATAACCTGTGCTCTGTATGCTTGTCAGTCTTATGCCCACCACTTTCACTTACCTCCCATTTATAGTCACATTGGCCTCCTCTCTATATGTGCAGACTGTTTTGCTTTATGACTTTTGCTAGCCTTTGTTTTATGTATACCTTTATAGGTATAGGTACATGTATGTATACCTTTTATAGGTAAATGACATGCATATGCAAAACTCTGATCAGTATGTTTTCAGTGTGTGACCTCTTGTTTTGATATATTGAAGTAAGCGATCAATTATCACTGCCAGTTAATTTATTTAATTACTAGCAAATTTGGTTAATCTTAATTTCAGGGATTGTGGTTAACTGATAAGGAAATTTAAAAATGTAGGCCAAAATAATTAGAATTAGATAAAAAATGGACATCTCAATTTTCTGGTATTTTGCAAACTCAGCTGTTTTTTCCTAAAAAGTGAAATTTTCTTGTAAAATTTTAACTTGCAATGCAAATATTTATATAGATTAGATGTCTATAACCCCTTACCTGTTATATGTGTAGGCACCAGACTATCAGTCTTTCAAAATCAACCTGTTCTATTAGTAGATAACCAGTCTTAATCTAAAAATTCAATACAGAATGCAAATATTGACCCTCCCCCTTGTCTTTACTGATGACAAATGCAAACATGACCCACTATATACACGACCAACCCCACCGTTGGTCTACCATTATATACTAGACCGTGCATGGAGTCAAAATAACTTTTCGGCACCAGTTAATGAGATTCTTAAACCTATGCATTAGTGCATTTAAAAGGGATTATGATCCAGTAAGTTTCAGATTTTGGATTCTCCGGTTCCTGCACTACACACGATCACTTAAAACTGACTTGGACTTTGTAAACCGACTTGTTCTGACCACCGTCATTGATCGTTCCTCTGTGATCAGACTCGGGAGGGTGGATATGCGAATATAGAATAAACTGATAATAAGGTAAAAGATGAACTGTCGAAAAACACCACCACTTGATGTTCAGTGCCCTCATAAACATTTCATTTAGAATACATTAAAGAAGGCAGTTGGTGGGTTTCGTCTCAGAAGATAAGTTTGAGAGCAGGTGGCGTGGAGAACTATGTAAAGACGAGAACAGTATGCGAGAGCAACATGACAAATTATTAATGGTATAAAATTCAATTAAAACGTGCAGGTACAGTGGTATTTAAATTCCACATATGTCCCAGCAGGGGAAAGTTTAGAAAGACGCGTCTGCAGAGCTGAGCGCTATCTCTCTCTTTTCAATGTCTCTAAAGTGTTGTTAGAAGATAGAGTTTCAGAGATGTCAACCAACTGCTGTCAAGCTCTGCCGAACAAATCAAAGGCAATATTTAAGCAAGTGCTCAAATACATTTTCTATTAATTAGAATTTCCAAATGGGACAATATGATCACTCTCAGCCTATCAATGACTGCGATAGCTGGTATGATTTGATATGGCGTAAGTTGGAACATAATGACTCCTAAGTCATTTCGTCATATGAGTTGGGCTGCTGGGAACCTAATTCACTGTTAAACCATTCAAAAAGAGTTTAAGAATAGCACCTGGGGACATAAGCCACCATACCCACTTCAATTAGATGAAGTGGTTATGATACCTACAGTGTACCTTTAATTAAAAGATGCAAGAATTGTATCCTTTATGGCTCTTCCTATAGAGGAAGAGCATTGATGATCATTAGGCATCAGTGTTCCAATAATGATATTTTATGATCTCATCACTAACTGGTCCCTTAATACTTTATGCTATTTTGGACTGTCCTGTTTATTTAGCACTTGTTGCTCTATAAAGCCCTGCAAAATGCTAAACATTACCCAATGCTAGAATCAATAAACTGTGTATCTATGCATGGTCCTTGTCTGTGTTTGAAAGATCTACTATGGTAATTCAGCAATAGATAGTTTTCGGTTTATGCTGGCCAAACATGCTATCTGTCTTCCTGTTTACGATATCTGATGGCTAAAGTCACGTGAGTAGAGTTTACAGTGAAAGGAGAACATTAAAAAAAAATTTGTTTCAAATTTGCAAAATGTTTTATCTTTAAAGAGCAGACCTTTTATATAGTATACTTTCCCACCTTAAAGAAGAAGTTAAATAATATGACACAGTGTCTCTTGCCAAAGTAAGCCATAGACTCATAACACTACTTTTAATTTCACTTCTTTCCTGGTAAATGAGAAGTAAAGCAACAATGCCCTTCCTTTTTACAAGAATTTTAACATAGTAATATGATCTCCTAAACTGAATTGAAAGTGATTTACAAAGTGGATCCTTATCTGTGAAAAAACATTCGCTGACCTCTTTGTAGTCCCTACATACATTTTTTTTTTTTTAATGTACAGAATTAATCCACCAACAATACCACAACATCATTATAAAAACAACAGCAACAACACACCAGGGTGTTTTATACGTTCCTCTAATATAATACTCATATATCATATACAGTCACTATATCATTCTAAAATAATTTTGCTCTTGGTTAAGATTTGATAACTTTCGATTAGTCATTGTTCCCGTAGAGTTAATTATAATGGCATATTTGAGAAATACAAAAACGTTTGCTAGGGCTGGTGCGACTGAGACTCTCAATACTCTCAGACAGCCACAACCAGTCAATCTTTAGCTGTGGCATTAGCCGTGTTCTGAAAGCCAAGTTGGCATTGCTGATTTTAATAGACTGTATTTTCTGTGACCCTCAGCCAGCCAGAACATTTGAAATAGCCCTTTATTTTTCTTTACTCAAACCCATTCACCATCAGTAAGCATGTTGCAGGACGTGAATTTACTATAGGCTGACAAGGGATTGTGAGCCAAATTCAGCTGGAAATAAACTCTGCTTTTTTGCCCCCAAACAGATAGAACCAGGAACTGGCAGCCTAAGTTGTGCCTGCTGTGGCTGAACTTTAGGGGAATCGATGTCCAAAGCAGCTGTGAAAACAACTTGTTTTTTATACAGGATTATTTACTGGAGTGAGAATTGATAGGAATTCAAAGTGACTTAAATTTAAGACCAAAATAGCGGAACCAAAAAAATTCTTCCAAATCAGTTGTGCATCCTGTTCAGCTACTTTCGTCTTAAATTTAAAATTTACTTCCAATTTCCAACAATTCTCACTCTACTAAAAAATAATTATAGTCTACTGACATATTAAGATTTACTACATCTGCCTATCCCAAAGATGTACATATCAGTGGTGATATTTTATTTACTTACTATCATTTTAGACATATACTGGTTTATGTTTGAGTAGAGAAACTTTAAAGTAACACTCGTAACTTTAAATATAAATATAAATATATTATTTTTAAAGTTAGATGTGTTACTTTGCCGTTTTAGATTTAGGCTCCCCTCTTTTACATAAAGTAAAAAAAAAAAACACAGTCAAACAATAAAATAAAAGTGATTACATTTAACTATAATCCAGAGTTTGGACTGGCTACTTGCAATATCTGCTCCGCTTACCTCAATGCGAACATCAATGCTGATGATCCTTTTTGTAATCCAATAGGGGAGCTTTGGCGACCTACAGCGCATGTGCGACGATTGCCCCGCACCACCAGTCCGATGCTTCTTTTGGGGAAGCATTGAATCGAACGCTTCTCCATCAGAAACGTTCCATTGCTTTTGGTCGTCACGCTGTGAGTGATGATACTGATTGTGAAGACTTTTGAAAATCAAAGGTCTTCAATAAGCAAGTGCCTCTAGCTGCCGTCAGTCAATCAGCCCCCAGAAGAGTGGTTTTCTGAATAATGCAAGTAATGAAATTTCTCTGAAATGAAAATTCATTGGGTACAAAAAAGGGACAGAATCTATATACCAAAACGACTTCATGAAAATGTATTTGTATTGGTGCTTAGAGTGTCTCTGGGTTTATAAGTATTTGGCTGATAAAACAATATTCATTGAAATCCTTGTATTCCAAAATCCCTTTGAGGACATCTCAACTGAGAAACATTTTTGGCCATGAGTGTGTGAAGTTGGTAAAAAAAAAGTTCTAAAAAGACCAAAATAGCCAAGCTATGATAATTGAGTTAAATATATTTTCCATTACAGCTCTTTTGGTGAAAACGTTAATTTCCATTGACAGTTCCTGGTTTACTGAATACAACTGGTAGTGTAGTTTGTATACAATATATTAATATGTTATTTTTGCCTAATCAGTTTATTCTGCAATATAGAATTAATGAAAATTCATTATTTCCTGGATTATGCACCATTAAATCTGGACTACCATGTCTATGACATCCCAAATTCAGCATTTTACATTCCCATCCCGAACAACCCATTAGTAACACTTCTACAGTATGCAATTAGGGTTGTTCAATGTAGAGTTCACCTCTGTATACAGAGCCTTACTATGAGAGGGTGACTGTATACAGAGCCTTACTATGAGAGGGTGACTGTATACAGAGCCTTACTATGAGAGGGTGACTGTATACAGAGCCTTACTATGAGAGGGTGACTGTATACAGAGCCTTGCTATGAGAGGGTGACTGTATACATAGCTTTGCTATGAGAGGGTGACTTTATACAGAGCCTTGCTATGAGAGGGTGACTGTATACAGAGCCTTACTATGAGAGGGTGACTGTATACAGAGCCTTGCTATGAGAGGGTGACTGTATACAGAGCCTTGCTATGAGAGGGTGACTGTATACAGAGCCTTGCTATGAGAGGGTGACTGTATACAGAGCCTTGCTATGAGAGGGTGACTGTATACAGAGCTTTGCTATGAGAGGGTGACTTTATACAGAGCCTTGCTATGAGAGGGTGACTGTATACAGAGCCTTGCTACGAGAGAATGACTGTATACAGAGCCTTGCTAGGAGAGGGTGACTGTATACAGAGCTTTGCTATGAGAAGGTGACTGTATACAGAGCCTTGCTATGAGAGGGTGACTATACAGAGCCTTGGTATGAGAGGGTGACTTTATACAGAGCCTTGCTATGAGAGAGTGACTGTATACAGAGCCCGTGATCTGCCTCCTAGACAGTCTCAGCCAATCCTATAGGGAAGCATTTTGATTGGCTCACAGCAAAGCTTCCGATGATGTTAGCCAAGCAGGCAAATCAGGGGAAAGGCAGCAGCTGCAGACTTGAATAGTAAGATTAAGTAAGATTTTACTAGATTTAGGGGAACAGGGGGGATAGATGGTGTTTTTAACACTATAGGGTCACGAATATATGTTTGTGTTCCTGACCTATAGTGTTCCCTTAAGTATCAAATAATGTCAGCCAAAGTCAAGATAGATGGTGCCTAAAGTTTAAAACTCCAAAGAATGGCTGGTTTAGTAATTTGTTGCCCCAACCCCAACAGTGGGCTACTGAACGTCTGACACCCCTGGATTACAAGCTCAGCAACGAAAGCGGTGTTTTGGCCAGTCTGTGTAAGACACAATTGTCCAAAAGTTAGATCCAAACCTCAAGTAGATCTACAACTCCTATGAAACTCTATTAGTGTTTACAGCTTTCTTTCGGCCATCTTTAAAGGGACACTGTAGTCACTATAACCACTTTGTCTCTTTGAATTGGTTATAGTGCCTGGAGTGGCCTGGCACTGTCCCTCCATTCAGTGTTGCACCATGTTTGTGCAGTATGCCACAAAATGAGTCCCTGGCCACCCACAGTCCGGCCCCTTCTGTATGTGTAGCTAAAGCAGAGATTACACACTTCCTTGTTGTCATACCCATTCATACCGTCAGTTGGAGCTCTGACAGGTTAAAAGCAGTCAGCTGACACTCTCAGCCAATCACAGCTGCCCATTGCCTCTCAGGGTAATACTTCCTTATTAGCCAAAGCAGCACAGAGGGGATAGACTGCCGTGGACTCTTGTTTAGCATTAAAACATTACATTAAAAACTGTTTAATGCTGAAAGAAATGATGGTACCAGGGGACTCCAGACACTATAACCAGTTTAATGAGATGAAGCAGATACAGTGCCTACGGTGTCCCTTTAATCTAATGGGACAACGCTTGGCCGTCTTCCCTGTCTATGTGAGAAAAGCTGAAACTTGAATTTACTTGTCTAGATTTTTGTTGTTGTGATTTTCTTTAATTTCCTGTGAATCACAACTAATTAAATATGTTTAAACCATACTCTGTAATGCCACAAGCTTGTTAAGGCATTTTTGTAAAAATACACCCAGATAACTTGACCAGCAACAACTTATAACATGGGGGCATGAAATTAGATTAGTTGTTTGTATTTACTGCAAAGGACTTGTGTCCCCACATCCACCTCTTTCAACTCCCTCCAACTTCTGGCAGATCCGCTTGTTAAATTTCTATCTGCACGGGTGCACAAGGATTTTAAATAGACCTACAAACTACAGAAGATCTGGGAAGATAGCGATCATTCGCTGGTCCTTTTGTGCATGTGCACCAAATTGTCATAAATTGAGGCTAAAATACTTGTGACTAAACTGGAGACATTTTTCACTAATCAGCAATCTTAAATCAGATTTTCCCATTCGGAATTCTATCAAAGACAATTTGTAGGTTAGTGAATATGCCCTAATGTTGCATTGCAGGTAAAAAAAAAAGCTGATGACATTACCCATTAGAAATCATGACTGATTGGAAGGATGACAACTTCCATATTGGAAGTAAAATTGGTACCCAAACCTTTTCTTTTTTTTTTTTTTGTCCTTTTCTCTTTAAATATATGGGAGGGGGAGGGGGGGAATAAGAATTACCAAATATCAGATTTTTTTAAATTAAGCATTTTAGTTTATTTAAAAAAGTGGGTAACGGGTCTGCTTTAATAAAAGCCGAGTTAAGATTCTTTTACAGTTTTCTCTGAAGGTGAGCTTTGAAACGTGCATCCCATAATGCATAGAAAGTCAAATATACTGTAGCTGTAGCTATAAAGTACATCCAAACCACATTAACCTACGCCCTTAAGTGTTTATTACTTCCTGAGGTCCGTCAAGTATTTCAAAAATGCAAGACCTTTTGCTGCATACCCTACACCTGGAAAATGGTTAAACCGTGGGGTTAAACTAGCCCTAAGGCTGGCAATCGATTATGGCATCTGTAGTGAAAGTGGTGAGGGCTTCATTTTGACAACACTTGGTTTGAGGCACTAGGATTTCAAACCACGTTTGGTAAACCCATCTGGCCTGTTCCCATATTGCAATAAACTATAAAGACTCTGAAATCTCTTTTTCAACATCTGATACCAACTTTAACTGTGTCTCTGCCACACGGAATCCTTTGTAACGTGAAATTGATTAATTCTGGCAGGAGAACACACATTTTTTTCTTTAATTTAGAGCTGAAAAAAAAATCAGCTTTTTGAATTGGCGCAGAGACTCCCTCTACCGTAAACATATTTTACATACCAATTTAATTTATTTTGGAGAATAAGGAACTGATGGCAAGAGCTAACATCTGTAAGTTCACTAAAACAGCTGAATAAAGAATTCCAGCCTGAATTGCTTTTGGCATAAGCAAAAAATACATATATTTCTGTTTTTCAAAATAAAATAAACTGTTTCTGGGAGATCACCAATGTAGTATTAAAGGGACAATGTAGCGTTAGGAATACAAATGTGGATTTGTACCGCTATAGTGTCATAGTCACCATTTTGGTGATTGCTCCTAGTCTCCTATCAAAGGTTAAAAAGGTTATTACCTACCTGTTATCCCACACAGCACTGCTCTCGCCACGGTTGACACCGCCTCATTGGCTGAGTTCATCAATCTGGATGATCTCAGCCTATCTAACTTTCTCATAGAAAAGAACTGGGAGGCTAGTGCACATCTGCGGCAAAACTCTGCAGTTAGCCAATCAGGTCACTATGAGACCATTTGATTGAAAGAGTCGATTTTCAAACGGCAATCACTTGCAGGGTTAAAACAAACGGGACATGGCAACCAGATCACTTTATTGCGATGAAGCGGTCTGGGTGCCTATACAGGAAAATTCACCAAAGTAAGAATTCAAAGTAAGTTTCAAATCTAAGGTCAAAATAGGCGAATTGGGAAAAAAATTTTAACGCAGCTATTCTTCCATTTCAGCTAGTTAAAAAAATTATTATTTAGTGACAGCCGTGAAAAATACAATATTTTTGTATGTTTATCCAGTGGTTGCCCATGCCTACAGATTTTACGGTATGAGTAAATTCTTAGACAACAGTTAAAAAATAAAACATTAAAAACAGGTCATTTAATTTGCACTACTCATTCACGAGTATCCCTGAGAGTCTCGTATAATGTGTAGATGTGACCAATAGATGTGACCAATAGGCTGAACACAAAATAGTCGTCACTGATTTTATAGATGTTGCTTTCTGAGCTCCTACCATTTCTGGGATTTTTGATGAGTCTAAATTTGATGTTGTATCTAGTTCACATAAAATCAAGCAAGTAGAACGTAAACTAACAAGAAAAGTAAAAAGAAAGAAAATTGCAGAGCGAAGGTTGCAGAATCCTCATCTCTTTCTCACAATATTGCTCCCATGGTCCCCAGACCTTACAAAATGTGGGTAGCATGTTTCTGACCTGTGCCATCAGTTTGTCCACGAGGGATATATCTTTAATTTTGGATATGACCTGTGCGATGGCTTTGTGCAAGGACAAATTGATCGTAATAAAGAGCCTCTGCTACGTGATGGACATTCTCTCTACTGGCCAGCAAAGTTGGTAGGTCCAGAGATTTGTCAAAGTGTCTATGGAATATTAATTAGAGTATTTGCTTCCCTCCACAATCTAGCCACTTACGGACACATCCACTGCATATACATTGACGAAACTGGCAGTTATTTTATTTTTGTGAGCATGTTTAACATAAATGACTAAATTTGAGGCCCTCAAAACATTACATTATCGGTACCAAATTACACACTTGGAAGAAACAGATGACTAATTTCGAGTGAACATATTTCCCTAATGCCCTTAGAGACTTACTTTATTAAATTCAGGTAGGAGTAGTACAGACGTCAATCCCAAGATGAACATTTGACTCCAGAGAATTGTTGTACATACTGAAAAACACAGCGTGTGTAATATGGCTGGAATTTCTGTGCAGCTCCGCAAAAACACACACAATGGGCTTCGATTTTACCTTAATTTAGCAGTTTCTGTGCAGCACTTCTATCCTGAGTGCTGAGATTGCATTTTTTGTAATTGTGAGAGTGAGATTGTCATTTTTGTTTTAAGGGGCATTTAATGCTGAACTTGAGAACTCTTTTTTTTATGGAATTCATAACGCATACTGTCCCAGGTCTCTGGGAATAAACCCGAGTTAGGACCTCCTGATGTCCTAATTTATTCCTCAAAACTGCTGCCTATGGTGATAACAGCTGCACTAGGGCTGCTACAAACTTTCTGATACGTCTACTAATATAGGGTTATTCACCAAAGTGTAAATTCAAAGTGAATTTCAAGGTAAAAATAGCTGAAATGAAAACACTCTCTAGGAGAGCTATGCTTTTAATTCGGCTATTTTGGCCTTAGATGTGAAATTCACTTCAAATTAGATCAGTCGCCATTTACAACAATGCCTCACAATCGAATCGAATGCAAAGCACTGCTAAAATAAAGAATAAAAGAAAAGAAATTCACTTAAAATTAATTTTGAATCATCACTTTAGTGAATAGGCCGATATTATTTATGAAGGGAGCAAGAGATGATGGAATGACCATGCATGTACCCAACATTGGCTGTGACTTGTTCGGCAAGAGCCCATAGGGTGGATGCATGCGGTTTAAGTACATAGACAGGTAGATTAGCTTCCTTCTGCAACCTATCTCACCGGAGCAATGCAATGATTGTAAAAAAAATTGCGATACTGTGTGCAGGGACATTGGACATTATATTCTATCCAAGGTTGTTATGGTGCTTAAACTTTTTTGGTTTAAAGGGAACTTTCAGTACTGAGGATTTTCATTTAAAGGAACACTGTAGGTTCTAACCAATTGTTATTTTTATAAGTTGTTATAGTGCCTTCAGTCCTACCCCCCCAAGCCCTTTATTTTGATCTCTGTGAGTATGAGAGCTGGGACTGTTACTTTCCAGCTCTCATACCATGACACCTACTGATACCAAAGGGGGAAGCCGCGGCAGCAAATCAAAAAATGGTATTACTGTTCATTTGCAAAATTAATTTGGTGTGCACTGAACTTGATTGTAATTTTTGTTGGTTGTTTTTTGCTAAATATTTAGTTTTAATTTGAAAGAAGGCGGGGTTTTTTGTGTATTTTTTTTTTTTGAAATTTTTTTTTTTACTGTTATTTGATAGAAGCGTTTTTTTCCTTTTTCATGTTACTTAGTGTACACAGTTTGGCCAGTATTGATAACAGCATGACAGGCAGTATGGCCAGTATTGATAATATAACAACTGTAGACTTGCATTTAAAGGGCGGATTATGTCTCTAACAAAGTGTTTTTATTTTGTGATGTCATAAGTGTTACATATTTCGGTTGTTTTAAAAATCTAATATTCTAGTGCTGCTGATTAAAAGCAACTGAGAATTCCACTTACAAAATCCTCTTTTATTGATCGAAGAGAGTTTTCAATTAATAGGCACCCTTAAAGTAGCACTATAGGGCCAGGAAAACAAACCCGTTTTGCTGGCACTATAGGGCTATTCGGTCCCCCCCTCCCTCGTGGCCTCTCTCCCACTTACCTTAATCCAGCGCCAGGCTTTCTCGGTGCTCGTGACCTCTCCTCCCCCTGCCGACGTCGGCTCCCGAGTGGAGCCGAATGCGCATGCGCGGGCAGAGCCGCATGCATTCAAACCACCCATAGGAAAGCATTAATCAATGCTTTCCAATGGGGATCTGAACTCACACTGCGTGAGTACAATGCGATTTCACACTGAGAATCGCGGAAGACAGCCACTAGAGGCTGGATTAACCCTGCAGCATATAAACAAAACAGGGGAACACATTTGCAACTTTTGTATGATCACGTTTGTAATGTTTCATGAAGTGTAAAAAGGCCATATACTGGACGATGGATAATATGAGGCATTATCACCATTTCCATGTGTTCCATTTCTCTATAGACGTGCATAATCTTTATTGCCCACTGATCCCCATATCTCTATAGGTTTATGATCTGCTTTGCCATCAGCTCCGTAGCTCATGCACATATCTGAGGAGATTATTCTTGGGATTATAGCATAAGCCACAAATCTTTTCATCAAGTAATGGCTATGCCAAAGCACAATAAAATGTCAACAGTTACGTTGAAAGGGTTAAGAAGGCTGTGTCACATAGTGGCTGGCTCTGTCATTGTCCCATTATACTTATTGTCACAGAACCCTGTGTAACATTGTTGTTGTTTTTTTTAGTGAACGATGTCACTGAGCAGTTTGTCACATTGTGTCCCGAATCTCATTTTTGGCTGATGTCTTGTTTTTTATTTTTGCCCCTTACATTTTTAGTTATTTCTGAATGGCTTTAATTAAATCCTGAGAGATCATTCACTCTGATTTTGAAGAAAGTGCCGCAATTAAATATCTCTGTTTTTGACATCCTTATGAAAAAAAAAAAATACTTGTATAATACATTTCTAAATGTGCTATAGCTTTCAACTAGATGTAATTAGGTGTCAGATGTAACATATTATAATCATTTCACTGTATGGCCCAGATTAGCAAATTATAATGGTGTTAAATAGTAACAAGCTTTATATTATAGCTGTAAGAAGGAATAAATCTTGCAATTTTACTCTTTTGGAAGTCCTCCGTTTTGATGACAGTCATGTGCTAAATATCTCGTTATCCTTGTAGATAGAAATATATATATATATATATATATATTTATGGAAAATAGGCCTTTTTATTAGTGATCTTTGCTACAGCAGTGAAAGGCTTTGGATGTGGATGATAATAGAAAGTTGAAATATAGAGTATTCGATTTCTTGCCCTTGTTTAGTGCAGGTAGACAGCTTGAACTCACCAATCCAGAGTCTCTTTTTTTGTGTCCGTGAATGGATACTGTATTGTGGGGTGCAGCGATGCAGCACCTTATGGGTGTTCTCAATTCCTCTTAGAGTGGGATAATATGGAAAACAAGACGACAGGAAACGCAATATAGTGCAGTATTTTAGTATAGGCATTGAAAGCAGAAGTTTGTCTTCAAAGAGTGGAGAAATTGCCTTCGTCCCTAGATTCTTGCCAAAATCCATATAGTCCTTTGTGTATTTGGATACCTATGAAATGCTTGATAACTTGCAATGTGAAATCCTTGGGAGTTTGGAAATAATGGACAGCTAGAAGACATTAGAGCCGTGAGTAGATGACATGATGTCCTTCTATCAGAGAATATCTTAAAACTTGAGTGTAGTACAGATTATTTTCTATACTCCCTTGAACTTCGGTGGTGTTCTCAATCAACAATGGTTTTTGAAGCCCATCTCTAGAAACATATCTGTTCCGGGTCTGCATGGTGTGAAGACCCCAAAAAACATTGCTTGAAGGTTTACCCTGGCATCGCAGGTCTGTGTGGTCTGTAGAGTTGGAAGGTCAGAGGGCACTGCTAGGTCCTAACAGATTAAAGGTATAGCAACACAAGCTACGTAAAGACAGTATTTAGGATTCCACTGGGAAGCCGTATCTTAAAAAAGTCCTAAATTCTACATGTGCCCTTCTCATTTTTAACTTGCAATATTTGCTATCTATTTGTATCTGCACGCTTAGTACAGTTATTGTTTCTAAAACATGGTCTCTTTTTACACCTTATATTCTATTTAATCAAAGTCAATTGATGCAGAATCTTCAGTCCCTTTAGTGCATACTATTTACGGAGCTTAGATAATTTCTTATATTTCCTTTCCTTCTAAGTCAGATTCAGAGTTACTAACTAAAAATGTCTACTTTTCTTCCCATGACATCATTATTTTGCCCTTACATGTAAATTTGGGTTTTACAGTGCAGCAGCTTATTTGCATATGTGGTCAAGCTGAATTCAGAAAAGGTCACGGGTTAGAAGTGGCAAATGAGCTTTCTTTTTACCTAGCAGTTCACGTAGGTCAGGCTTGCTAGGTTGTCTTATTGTCATTTGTAAGACAAACACAGAGTAACTTTCTTAAGGCCTATCCTGATAGTATTATGCATGCAGGGCCTTATTTCGTCAAGTCTATTGTGTTGTCTCATTGGCAGTCAATGCCAAATGACATTGCGATAGCAAGCTTTAACAGCTGGTTGAATCTTGGCATGGGTGCAGTTTGGCCCAGGCTGGCACTAACTATATGACCTTCTCGTATGTCTCAATCCTCATTGTATAGATATAATCAACCATTGAAAAAATTTGGGGCCTAGCTATGCCGAGAACAATGGTGCTAAGGTGTGTTCTCGTATCGCCACAAATATCTGCCAAGTAAATGGGTATTTGTATGTTTTATGTAAAAACACCCCATAGTAAGTACAGGGAAGCATTTCTTGAATTGATTCTAAAAAGAACTCTTAGTTTCACTCCTTGCGTGATCAGAAAGGAGAAATGTTCTGAAGGTATTTTCTTATTTGACTTTTTATTTTAATTTAAATTTTTTTATTTTTAACTTTTTTTCACAGGGGAACGTTGAATTTTGAATACGTTTTTTTTTTTATTTTTTTTTGGTCAGTGGGAATCTGTACTGTGGGCAAAATGCCTGAGAATTCAGAACAATGATCATTGTGCCTCTAAAAAAGATTTTAGTTTTTTCCATAAATAAATCTGGGCGTATTAAATTGTACAGAACTCCCCTTGGGGACTATATGTATCGGTGCACGCAGCTTTTGTAAACAAAGGCGAGCACGGCAAACCCAGAGAGCCGAGTGGTCCTTGTATATTTTTATGGGCTCACAGAGGATGTAGAACAATTATTAAAGGATGTTCTCAGGAGTGCTATTTTTATATTCAGTTTATTAAAGTGAATTATTTTGTTTTCTGGCTCAAAAAATGCAATTATGATATGATGCAAAAAAAGTTATAAATATCTAATTAGCAAAGTATTAATAGCCATTAAAAGGAAAATAAGGGGGCTAAGGAGTTTTTCTTTTAACATCCACCTCTGTGTGTAATTCTTTAAGGATATTGTAGTTATCCTCTCTCCACGTCATTCTGATACATTTATAACTCTATTAAAACCTGCTTTATAATTAGCATAGAATGAGCGTGATATCATCGAGGTTTTGACCAGGGGTAGGCAACCTACAGCATTCCAGATGTTGTGGACTATATTTCCTATAATGCTTTTACAGCCATAATGCTGGCAAAGCATTAGAGTAGGTGACGCTCACAACATATGGAGTGGTTTAGACTGTTATATGTAGTCGCCTGTACCGCTTGGACTGTAGAGAGTGTTAAAGGACCACTATAGTGCCAGGAAAACATACTTGTTTTCCTGGCTCTATAGTGCCCTGAGTCTGCCCCCACCCTCAGTGTCCCCCTCCCGCCGGGCTCTAGGGTGAGGAAGAGGTTAAACTTACCTCTTTCTCCAGCGCCCGGCGGGGAGCTCTTCTCCTCCTCTCCGCCTCCTCTCCTCCTCTTCGGCTTAATGCGCATGCGTGGCAAGAGCCGCACGCGCATTCAGCCAGTCCATAGGAAAGCATTCACAATGCTTTCCTATGGACGCTGGCGTCTTCTCACTGTGAAAATCACAGAAGCGCGGAAGTGCCTCTAGCGGCTGCCACTAGAGGCTGGATTAACCCATTTATAAACATAGCAGTTTCTCTGAAACTGCTAGGTTTATAGAAAAAAGGGTTAAACCTAGCTGGACCAGGCACCCAGACCACCTTATTAAGCTGAAGTGGTCTGGGTGCCTATAGTGGTCCTTTAATGCGGAGTGTACGGGGTAGATTTACTTTGGTAAAGTGATGCAGCATTCTCAAAGTGGAGCAGTCTCCTTGGAAGCCAATAGCATCATCAGGAACCTTCCTATGGTTTCCATGACAATCGCTTCATTTTTAGAACTTTGAAGTTAATATCTATTTTATTTTTTTGTGAGACTTTTAATAATCTCAGTCTTTTACACAGTCCGTTTACACAGATTAATTCAAACTATTAACTTTTCACTACCCAGGTGGTTCAGCGTATTAAGGCGATTGAAAATGAGACACGGTTGCTGGTGGTGGACCGAGAAACAGATGAACACTTGCGTCTTAAAGATGACCGCTCAACGACCGAATCTCTACCCAACTCCAGCGCTCCCAGCTCACCTTCTGGGGGGAATAACAACGGGGAGATCTGGAAACCGAAAGAAGATACAAGCCACGAGGACAAGTTACAGAACAACCACAGCACAGAGAATGGGAAGCAGGTACGTGATTGGCAGTGACGGGCAATGCCCGAATATTGAATTAGCTAATCAATGGCAAAAAATGAAATACTTAGGAGTAAATTGCTTGTGAAAAACAAAACCTCATTAAAACCCCGTCATAGTGTAAAATAGCTTAAATCAATAAAGCTCTTAACAACCATATATATATATATATATATATATATATATGCCTCGTTAATGCTTTTTAAAACCTTTCAGCTGTTTTAAGATTTTTTGTAATTATAAACATCATACTTCTTGTTTTGCAACTACGTAATATATGATCAGGAAAACTTTCCGTGTTATTCACAAACGGGAGACTTATCTGGAATTTTAAGTGAATTCAAATTTAAAGTCAAAACAAATGAACTGAAATTAAAGAATAGCTGAATTTTCTGTTTGTGACCTTAAATTCGAAATGTATTTTGAATTCTTGACAATACTCACTTTAGTGAAAAATCCTATTCAAGTTTACTAAGGGAATTCCTTTTTGTTTTTGTCCAAATAACCAAACTGGAAAAGCACTTGGAGCTTTGTTGACCTAAATTTGCAGTTCCCTAATAATGTTCCGCTGTTCACCGTTTAGTAGATAAGCCACCTGGTCACATGCATGCTGGGTGTTGAAAAGATCTAAGTTCAAGATATAAGCGAACCCCTAGCATTCTTATCTGTATTATGAATGCCATTGTAACTGCTTAAAAACTTTATTTATTTTATTACTTTTCCATAAAATGCCGCTTTTTTGACCATTTATCTTTTTGTGGGCATTTTTTTTTTTTATCTACATCTGACGTTCATTTCTAACCACACTATGGTAAACTATAGAATGCTTATATCCAGCGGCAGACATGGGTTTAACATAGCTCTCTTAGAGTATTGAGTTAAAAGGACCTTCATGCACTCTGCAATAAAATAGCACAGTGTGCATAAGATTTCACATACCGCAAAAGTCACATGATAACCTAGAATGCAAAGCCGCCGGTCAGCTGATTAGATTACTTTTAATTTACCATTCACAACATTTTTCTTTAAAGATATAGTAAGGGTGTAAGGGACTTTGCTAAACAACTAAAATGCATTCGATTTAAAACAGAATTGCAACATTTTTTTATTTTTTTTTAATATTCCACAGTTCGGTATTTTGCGAATAAACTCCTATGCTTATCTCCACTAAATTTTATTTAATAGTAAAAGGTTAGTATTTCTATATTTAAAGTTGTATTTTTTTTCATTTATTTTAGCATTTCAAATTAAGCTAGGTAGAAATTATTCCAATTATTAAAAAAAACAAAAACAAAACAAAACGCTGAACTGCTTTCGAAAATGTAAAAGAAACAAAAAAACAATAAACTTCCTCGAAATATTATTTTATCAACTAACTGCTTGAGAAAAAATTTCTTGGCCACTTCTTGACAACTGAATAAATTCCGCTGAGCACATTTCCTAAGTCAAGTTTGTTTTCCTCCATAATACTTTTTAAAAATCACCTTTCCCATGTCCATTTCCCCTTAATTGTTATCGGATATATTTTAGAGTCATGAAGGCCTGCAGCATGTAAATGTTCAAATAACCACATGACGTATATATGTGAAGCAGGTCAGGAGCGAATATTCTCAGTGTTTTTGGCCTTGAGCTCACACTGTTTTTTGTTTTTCCCAATTCTTGCAACACTCTTGGCCCAAAACTCATCCAGTCATAAATTCCTCTTTTAACGGGACATTCTAAGCACTCTAACCAATACAGCTCAATGTAGCAGTTCTGGTGCAAAGAGTGTTTGTGCGCAGTCTGTCCCTTTGTTTTTTAATAAAAAGGTAGATTAGCCCAACACTTTGCATCCTGTTATTGACATCCACATTTGTACTAATTTGGAGGGGGTGATAACGAGAGAGTCCCCGTTTTTCAAACAGTTTGATAAAATCCAGAGGGCTCACACCCAGTGATTTTTTGCACCATAACTACTACAATAAACTGTCGCAGATCAGGTGCTTAGAGTGCCTTTTAAAGGCATAGCAAGCCTTTTTTTTTTTCATGTGAAGGATGTGCAGTTTTTCTTTGCTGTCAATTAAAGCTATAGTAGACTTCCTTTAAATGTGGACACTTTTTTGTGTTTAGAACTTTCCTCTCTATTTTTTTGACATGCCAACTGCCTGATACCACCATAACTACTACAACAGGCTGTAGTGGGTATGGTGCTAACATTGCTTTAAGGACAAAGTAAATATTATTTCTGTGAAGTTCAGTTATACACTCATACACACCAACATAATGGAGCTCTGGACCTAGACAATACGGACATTTAACATTGAAAAAGATTGGCAGACCAATATGGACCAAAATAGGGACTGTCCTTTCTAAACAGGGACACTTGGAAAGTATGCTTTTAGACTCCATAGTCATACACTACCACTGGGTTGGTGGAACCTAAGTTTAGCTCTCGGTATATTGTAAGCTGCAGACCTCTGTTTCCTCCAGTTTTGCTAATTCCAAGGGGCCTGTTTCTGCTCCCCCATGACGATTCACATTCCCACAACCCTGCGGTGGGGGGAGGGGGCTGTTTTTGTCTTTTGCAAACATTAGCTGGTGAACTGAAAATGTTTTAAGTAACATAAAACAGATCCGTGAAGAAGAGGGGAGATGGGGTCACAGCCAAGTAGTAGACTTTTTGTTTGAAAGGTTTTTATATTTTAGTTACTAAAGAGACATGGGGGGGGGAGGGGTGCTGACTATTCTACTTGGACCCTTAGCAGGACAATGCTGTGATCACTGAAAAGGATCTGTACTAGATGTGCAACACTTGCCATGCTGTGAACAGCTACTATGATGCTCAGAAAAAGCCGTAATATCAATCACTCAGGGGATGAGCAATTAACGGTGTTACTCTGTCCATTGGCACGTAAAAGGGTTAACCTGCAGATGCACGCTTCCCTTTTTTAATGTATTTTTCAGTCTTTAGTGCCTGTTTTACGCAGCATGTAAAAGTAATAGATATTAATGACCTTGGTTTAAAAAAAACACCTTAAATCGAAACTGTACTAAGAGATACATTTCGGACAATGCAAGTTATTGAAACAGAGATTGCATTAAAAAAAATATATTTTCTTCCCTAAAATTTACCTTGTGTGGGAGACTCAATACTCAATCTTCTCTTTCGTGTATTACTATGTTTAATACTTTAATAACTGCTGACCTTATTTTAACGCTGGGATTGCCACGAAGGTCGGCACAGCATTATGGGAGTTGTTGCCAGCTGGAACCTACAGTTGAATAAATTAAGCACTAGAAGCAAGGTTGTTTTTTTTTCTCTGTCTTTACGATCTGTCTGTCTGTCTATCTATCTTTCAGTCAGTCTGTCTGATTTGCATAATGCTTCCTACGTAACAGAAATTACAAGAGAGTTGTCAGAGATCAGGTGCGCGCAGGGAAGGTATAAATACACCACATTTCACTGTGGCAATTTTCTATTATGGACTACATCTCCCATTATGCTGGCATGAGGGGAGATGTAGTCACAATATCTAGAGTGACGAACAGTTGCGCACTCCTGGTTTAGAAAATAAACTCTCCTACGTTTATAGATAAAATACTGAGATATATATATATATACATTCACTTATTACTATAATTGTACAACCTGTGGAAGGGTTAAACAGCTTTAAACGCGTTGCCAGGTAATTTGTTCTGTGCCTTTTTATTCCCTGGGTTCATTCCATACATTATTGTGTACTTTGGCCCCTGACACGAAAACCGGTGTCAAGGTTATAAGCAGAGCTCATCAAAAGCTGAACTCCACGTGAGGACACTAAAGCATTGGGTATAACTCTTCCCTGCGACAGTACCCACAGGTATTAAAGAAATAAAATGACCCAGGGGAACGCGTCAGTAATTGAGTTAGCACAGAGCCGACGCACTTTCTGGAGCTATGTTTAGAAGCTCTCAGGAACAAACATTTTAATTTAATACTTGCTCCTGCCGGCCTACTGTGAGATCTCTTTTTTATTATTATTTTGTTCAAAATGTCATCTTACTCTAAAATCCATTCTTTTTTAAAAAATTCTCCTTATGGCTGATTTTAAGAAAACAACCTGTTTTATATATTTATATATTTATAGTGCTACTTTGTATTATTCCTAAAATCACATTATTAATACTATTACAATTCCAAGTAATATTAGACTTGCCAAATCCGCTATATTTTCCTGGGCACGTATCACAGCTATACACTGATGGACTTCACATGAAGAGTGATGCCATGCAGTAGTCATTCATATGATACAAGAAGGAAATGAATGTGTTAATAAAGAAGGAAGCCAAAAGGAACTGCCTTGGTTAGATAACAAATTTCTTTGCCCATCACTCTCAGACAGTTAACGAAACCTGGTTGGAAGAAATTCACATTAATGCTACGGATTATCAATGCAAACGTCGGTCTCCAGGTGCAGGGAAGAGCCCCATTTTATATCAAACTGTTCATCATTTGATAGTAAATTGGAGGATAATGCCTGGGTGCTCTATAAACAACATAATCTCAACAGTGAAATGTTTATGTTACTTAGGGTGACCCTTTAAGTGAACATCGCGATTGGTTGAGGTACTTCCTGGTTTGAGGAGATTTCACTGCATAAGCTTCAACGAATAGGAATTTGCTGCCAGTGTAGGGTCTTCAAATGTGAATATTTATTATTAATATTATTATTATAATTTTGAATTTATTTTTTTTAGATATATTTTAAGTGCAGTATCTACAAAATGTTTTAAAATAGAAAAGGCCAACACCAGGAGGGGGGGCGCTTTCCCCCAGACACGTTAGCAGCCATAGTTACTGTAATACCAAAAGAGGGCAAGGACCCGACGAATTGCGCGAGCTACCGCCCCATATCGCTACTAAACGCAGACCTTAAACTATTCGCAAAAGCCATTGCCCTGAGAGTTGCAAAACACCTCCCCCACTTGGTACATTCTGATCAAGTGGGGTTTATCCCGGGTAGGGAAGGGAGAGACAACACGATTAAGGCCCTGAACATCCTACACATAGCACGAGCGCGCCGTAGAGAACTTCTACTACTTTCCACCGATGCCGAAAAGGCTTTTGACAGGGTGAGCTGGGTGTATCTGAGGAGTACCCTTACACACATGGGATTCGGCCCCAACATGCTGGCCTGGGTGCTCTCACTGTACACGTGCCCCATTGCGAGGATCTGCATTAACGGGGCACTTTCAGCCCCTTTCCCAATCAGGAATGGCACCCGCCAGGGATGCCCGCTCTCCCCCCTCCTGTTTGCCCTCTCCCTGGAACCATTTCTGGGGGCGGTCAGACGGAATGGGGGAATCTCTGGATTCGACCTTGGTGGTCACGAATACCGGGTAGCCGCATATGCAGACGATATGCTGTTCTTTCTTACACAGCCGTTGATCTCACTGCCCAACCTCCTAGCATCTTTCCGAGAGTTTGGGGCACTCTCTAATCTTAAACTTAATACGGATAAGTCCGAGGCTCTCCACCTCCCACCCCCTACAGGCCCCCCAACACACCTTCACACCCAATACAAGTTTAAATGGTGCGAAACTAAATTAAAATATTTGGGCATATGGCTGACCAAGGACCCGTCCCAATTATACCACCATAACTATCACCCTCTCCTACTCTCACTTCAGACGGACCTTAAGAAATGGACCCCATACTACATCACCTGGTTCGGACGTATCAATGCGATTAAAATGAACGTGTTACCCAGGATACTCTACCTATTCCAAACAGTGCCAATTACTCTCCCCAGAGCCTTTTTTAGCTCTATGACGACTGCCATCCGCAGATTTGTTTGGAACTCTCGCCCAACCCGAATAAAAAAATCAACCCTGGAACTACCAAAATTGATGGGGGGCACGGGACTGCCCTCCATAGAGACATATTACCGCGCCGCCCACCTGCACAGACTGACGGACTGGCACGCACAACACCCATTAAAACAATGGGTGACCATTGAGCTAGAACAAACTGATAGAAAAATACCCTCTAGGCTTTGGCTACATACTGCCACATACGCCGACCTGCACACCGAGAACCCACTAATCGACGCCACGCTCCGAGTGTGGATAGCTATACGCTACCGACTGCAACTCACAAGTTCTCCTAGCCCCTTGACACCCATCACACATAACCCAGACCTGGCCGATGCTCTAACCCCACAAGACCTAGCCGGCCTCCAGCAGGCAGACTGGATGTACCTGCACCAATGGCTCGACACTCAGGGACTTAAACCACTCAGAAACCTCTGCCCAGATAGACCACCGACGATACTCGAACAATTCAGATACCACCAAGTTAAGACGTACTTCATATCCTTACATGGTCGAGGACACCTGACTAGACCCCTCACCAGCTTTGAACACCTGTGCGTACACCGAACACACGTACACAGAGGTATCTCCACTATACATACCATACTCAAGACCCAAACTAACGAAGATGTGGTGCTCAAATTTAAAGATCATTGGGAGAGAGACTCGGGGGAAGTCCTTACTGTGCAAGACTGGGACAAGATTTACACTCTCACACATAAATGCTCTATCAGCTCCAAGTACCAGGAGCTGAACTACAAAATTTTAACACGCTGGTACAGAACCCCAGACGTACTCAATCGCATGAACGTAGGTGCCCCGGACACCTGCTGGAGATGCGGCTTGCATACCGGCACGTACTTCCACATCTGGTGGCAGTGCCCCGAGATTACCACATTCTGGGAGAGGATCAGGGTAGAGATAAACAGAATCACAGGTGCGGAGCTAACCCTAGGACCCCTAACGATGCTATTACACCACACCCCCACACCCGTTAAGACATATAAGAAATCCCTCTTGCTGCCACTACTCAACGCGGCAAAGGCCCTTATCCCTATGATGTGGAAACAGAGGGGAGCGCCTACCCTCCAGCAATGGGTGACAAGGGTGGAAGAGATCCACTCAATGGAATCCTTAACTGCAGACCTCCACGGTAGACAGGAGCAATGTGCACTGACCTGGTACCCTTGGGAAACATACCTAGCCAACAGATTAGCAAACCCAAACACGGCCCCCCAGAGGCCCGCAGTTAACCGACTCATACAGAGCTAAGCCACCCGGCTACTCCTCCCTCCTAGGTCCCCTACCTCCTGACCCTTTCCCGAGACTGGACATTGGACTGAACCCCAACGACCGACTCTGACGAGCTCGTAAATGGGGCTTATCAATACGCACACCCACTGTAATCACAGGTGTAAAATACACAGGAAACCGAGACCCAACCTAGAGCTGATACCGGCATGAAAATATCCCCTCCTGGCCTCCTAGACTGATACCTAGAGTATCCTCCCTTATGACAAACTATACCGATAGGCATACAAATATATACACCAGCAACAGCCAACCCACAATAGTGGGGAACTTAACCTAAACCATCACACTTTGCTCTCACCTAGGCGACAAGATGGCCTTGAATGTTAATAAGTGCTGAGTAGTCTGGGGAGGAGTTAAGGCACTAAAGATATCTTTTCTCGCTAGCGTGGCCCTATACCATGCCCAACAATATATATATACATGCCAAGCGACAAAAAGGTTCCTGACACTGTTGGTATGAAACGTGAAATGAGAAATGTAGCGTGTCAGAAAACTTACCCCCCACAGCACCCAGACTAGACACCGATTCACACCCTACACGAAGAGCGCACACCATAGGTGCAACAAACTGCGCATTGTAGGCTAGTGGGGATACGAGACTAGAAACCTGACCTTAAATAATTCTACCTAAAGCATGTGATGGAAACTATAGAAATATTGTTTGAGAAAACTGTTTTGAGAATGTTAAAACAATGGTGACGAATGTTGTTAAGCTATTCAGAAAACTGATGTTAAAATTGACGTTATACCGTTACTACATCTTTCCTTGAAAAAATGATAAAACTTGAAAATAAAGATTGTCAAAAAAAAAAAAAAAAATGCCTTAGCTGCTCAACCCTGTAATGAAAGAGTTAATGAAAACCCAAATCTTATCATCCCCAGCTCTAACTCCAGGCTCTACCCTTAATTCTATAGCTTAACTTAAACTCTCTCTAGTTGCTGTGTGCTACACTACACGTAACTCTACGCTGAGCAGATCCGTGAGTCAGAGTCCACATGAGCGTGCCATGGGACATCAATCACACAGGGGACATTATCGTGACCACACTGCTAAAACAAACAGAACGTATTTTATAATGTCTGTTTACTTTGTTAGTTTGTGCTGAAACCAGGTGCCCTCAAACACCTTTCATTTCAGGTTCATGGTCGTCCATGTACCTTCGGTTCTTTAGTCCCCTAAGCATCGATGATGGTCTATGACCTCATGAAATATTTTATTTAATATAAAATCCAATATATAGTGACATATGCAGTCTGTACTGCTAGAGAAGAATGGCGTTTAATGCTAAAATAAGGTGTTCGAAAGTCATGTTGAGTAGAAATTACCAGTGGCAGACCCTCTCGGCTTGCAGTGGCAAGTAACATTTCTTTGTTAGCTTTTGTAACTTTGTTTGGTAGCCTAGAACTTTAAATTTTGAGCCCTATATTAAAATATATACTTGAATTTCATAGTTATTTTATTTTTATTTATAAAATATTTTACCAGGAAGGACACATTGAGATTTCTCTTGTTTTCAAGTATGTCCTTCATGGAGTCCTGAAATGGATGGTGTTGCTAACCGGGCGCTAAGAAATTGGCATTTCACAATACCTTTTCCAAGCCAGTTTTGTAAATAGGGAGTCACGGATTGGCTGTGAGCATCAGTTGACCACTCTCAGCCAATCAGCGGCACCCCTGCCCGCCGGCGCTCCGAGCTTCTTGAATCTGAAAAATACAGAAGGGGTGAGTGGACATCGCTCCTGGATGCAACTTTAGGGTTAAACCGTTCGAGAATACAGTGTTGCATAACTCCCAGACAGCAGGCAATATTGCGTAATGTTTCGGGGGCATTTCTTATTTTTTTCTTTACCACTTCTTAATCTAAATTTGCGAATTGCCTTAACTTGTCAATTAGCCGCAGCAAAATAATGAACGAGATTCTTTTGTGCCCCCGTGGCTCATTTTGTGTTTTGCAATGCGTTCTGGCAATTTGCACCTCGTTAAGAGGGTTCCTGAGCTGCGAGTCTCTGTAGGCTTCGCTTGAATAATTGTTATACAGGCCTCTGTGCAGGGAGAAAGAACTAGTCTGTTTCCAGAGAGAATTGTCTTTCATTTGAAAAGAAACTTGCAGCTAAAGGCATCATCAAGGCCATGGGTAGAAAAAACAGCAACAGATGTAACAAAAATCTCTTCATTCTGCCTTAGAGGGACACTATAGTCACCAGAACAACTACAGCTTAATGTAGTTGTTCTGGTGAGTATTATAGCTCCCTTCAGGCATTTTCATGCAAACATTGCCTTTTCAGAGGAAAGGCAGTGTTTACATTGCTCCTAGGGACATCTCCAAGTGGCCACTCCTCAGATGGCCACTGGAGGGGCTTCCTGGCTCAGGGCTGCACAGTAGGCAGCCCTGCCGTTCAGCGTTTCCACGCTGTGCATGGGGATGCTGAATTTCCTCATAGAGATGCATTGATTCAATACTAACAAGTTATTTACCTGTCAAATCCTACTCTGAATTTTGGCCCACCCTGTATTGTGACCTGAGCAGACGTTGCTGTAGTAGGTGCAAGGTTACAACATCTTACTGTGGACATTGCCTTCACAATAAGTGATTATTCTCAGAGACTTTATTTTCTGTCTATTCTTGTTGGCATTGCCAATGATGCTCTGTATCTTTCTGCCAGGGCTGGCATTGGAAACAAGCACATTGTATATCCTTGTACAACTCAAACTAATTATCTGAGAACAATGCGATCTCAGATAATTACAACTCAGTCCTTGGTCATTTTATTAGCTATTTTAATTGTGCCATTACCTGGGTGAAAATAGACACCAGCCCAACCAGAAGTGCTAATTTATTCCTTCTTGCATTGTTAAAGTTCACCTGTCATTATAAACTTGTCTGGCAGGATTAATTACTAAACTATAAATTGTCGGGAATTCGAACCCTGTTAATGTCATTGTACGGGAAATATAATTTTTATCCGGCTTTGTACTGGCCAGATTGCTAGCAAATGTATAGTTACAAACTTATAACTATTTTGTGTTTCCTAATCCTCTTAATTTTTAAACTGCATAACAGTAAAAAAATATAATATGTATTCATTAAAAACCATATTATTGTGAACTGCAAAATAAAATAGTGAGTGTTACTGAATTGGAGGAGTGCTCAAGTTCATAACATTGTGCCTACATTGTGCACAAATGTGTCACTCCACCGGCCAAATAAAAAATAAAAGTACGTTGACATGTCCACAAAAGCAAAAATGCAGAAGTTGAGCAAGATCATGAGGGATACTGTTTAAATCTAACTGTAACTGCTCTTATTTTATTCCCCTGTAATTCCTGCTGGGGCTCCTTTAGTAAATAAATAAATATTGTCCTGAAATTGGGGGTATGTTTAAAAAGATATTGTGTGCTGCCTTTGTAAGCCCTCCCCTTCTAACCCCAACCAGACTTTCTGTGACTGTCCAATCGCAGACTTTCCAATGCAGGTCAATAAGACTTTGCAAGGCAGGTGCTCTGAGCAATTGCTGCCTCTTAAATTTAGCTTCACTAAGCTGACCAAACCAGGAAGTAACAGGACTGACTGTTTGATTGACAGCTCGAGGGGGTGTAACAAGGTTAATTTATAAAAGTGCCAATTTGTAATGAAATCTGTACTTTTTGTAAAATTAAAAAAAGAAGACACACTCCTCACACATAAAGCACTTCAGCACACTGAAGTGCTTTATGCATGTGAAGTGCTTTTTAAAACCGTAGGCATGTCAGTAGCTTGTTAGGTACAGTGTAGGTGAGTCTATTTTCTCAGATGTTACTGAGAAGTGAGATACAGGGACGCTGGCCCAAATTGTGCCTGTTCTGTTCAATTCTCTTTCAATGAGGTGTGTTTGAGAAATGCAGTGAGCACATACGAGGCGAGTGACATATCTGTCACTTTATTTCCTCTCACACACCAGCCCCTAGCCAGAGTACACAGGCCCCAATCGGTGTTTGGTGTCTAAGAGTAAACATACGAGCATGATTTTATAGCAAATAAGTGACTTTTTACAGAACTAACTTGTAACCCGTCCATGTGTCTTGTTTTTACCTTATTCCATTTTCCTGTCCAAGAATTTGTAAAGTAGAATTTCCATTCATTTTTTACACCTGGGTAACGGAACAATAAACCCGTAACGTCAGCCAATGTAACATAGTTCCTTTCACTGTGAGTTTGCCGCAGTGTGATTACAGAGCATGTCCTCAAAAGGAGATTAAAACCCTTACATGCTGTGAGTTATAAAATTAATTTTTTATGTCGAGATGCTATTGACTTTGGCTCTACTTTGGCATTGTTTCCATTTTTTTGTCATTATAACGAAGTGTGTGAGAAAACAAAAAATATATATAATGTGATTATTAACATGACTTGTGTGGAAGCAAGTGTTAGAGGGTTATTATACACTAAAGGGAGAATGGTCAAATGTAAGGCCAAAATAGACAAATTGGTGACATTCTCCAATTCAGCTAGGGTTCCAGTTTGGCGCATGCGACTTTAAATTTAAAGTTCACTTTGAACTCATGACAATTCTCATGTTAGTAAATAACCCTGTTACAGTTAAAGAAAGTGCACCACCTCCTGTAGGGTGGAAGAAGATGGAATATCTTTGCCATATTTTAATTCAGATTATGTAGTTTTTATTTTGTAATATCCAAACATCCAAAATATATGTGATATATATATATATAACCACCACCTCAAATTCTCTTAGATTGCAAGCTTGTTTGAGTAAGGCCTTATTTACCTCTAAATGTCTCCTTTCTATCATTGTAAAGCACTGCGTAATATGTTGGCTCTCTATAAATGCTAATATTAATAATTTATTGTTTCAATGATTGGTCCAATATGTTTAAAATGGAATGTTGGAACATGATGTGCATTTTACACTTAATTAGCAATTTAATAATAAAACCAATACTGTACTAATACTGATTGGATGGCTTGTCTCCAAGTTGTGGCTACACTGAGGACAAGTATTTAAGTTAAGAGACCAGCAGGGTGAAATCTTTAGATGTCTTCTCCAGGAACTCAGGTTATCTGACTGAGAACTTCGGAGAATTCATTTTCAAACCAACCCCACCAGCAGTAGAGGTCCAAGACCGTATTCAATTTAGTTAAAATCGAGATATTGATCAAATTTGGATTATATTTATCCAGTAGGAATAGTTTTGGCAAGATTGCCCTAGTGTATAAGTTGTGATGATCGTGGACAACTGCTTGTCCACTAAGAAATTCCAAATTTACATTTTTGATTTTGTTATAATATACCCATAACACAATATAATAAAAATGTATTTCGAATAGTTCAAGATTTGATCAAGGAGAAGTGACCTCCCATTCCGGTCAGGACTGGGTGGTGTGCCTAGTCCTCTGATTATCAGCTGGGGTGGGGAAGACATCCTAATTGGCCATCAACCAGAACTGTAACAAAACTGGCTGTGATCCAGAACCTAGATCTTATCCTCCCTAAACCAGGGGTCATTGTGCGAATAGGAATCTGCCTTCTGAATGAGCATTGTATGTTCCAGTACAAACTTAATTCTAAAGGAGAAAGCACCTTATGTAATCATCTATGGGACCTTTTTAGTAATCCAATTTGGAATGTCACCAAGATGTTATTTGACCAGACTTGGCTCGTGTTCTAAATGCTAGAATCCACAAAATATTGCAGGTAGCAGTCAAAACCAATCTGTAGAGTCATAGCTTTAAAACTCTGTACATTGAGGGCTGTCCTTTAAATGACTTTCAGCACAACATAATGTTCTCACTTTAAACTGAGTGACTTTTTGCCAAATCAAAAGGACCCTTGCTTATTTTTGAATATTTGTTTATTAGTTTCTTTACTCCAGAATATATGTGATATGTTTATGGCGAATTTATGTATATTTTTAAAGAGATTACTAGTATCTTTCAGACCGTGCATATCATCACAGACCAGCATGATACATGATGGTATTGGCTAGACCCTCTAGCTGGGAATTTTTTTTCACAAATATCTGCAGTTGTGATGGTGGAAGCACATTGTTCTGCAGGGATTATATATTCAAGCACCATGACCACTTCAGTGATTTGAAACGCTGCACATACAGAGTTTAATGCGCCTGCTGCCGGATGTGAAGCTCCACTTGCGGCAGCGTCATTGGTGTGTCATTAGCAAGCCTGGAACAAGAGTTCTGGACTGGCAAATTATTATTACTGGTATTTATAAAGAGTCAACATATTTTGCAACGCTGTACAGTTGGGGAAAAAGACAGTACAAGATCTTTTGAAGATCTTTTACACAGAGTACTTTTCTAGATAGCCCATGAGCTTACAATCGGTTTATGACATCCTACTGCAGGATGTCTTCAATCTGCCTATAAGGAAGATCAAGAGCTTGACAGGACCCAGCTTTGCCCATATTTGCCCATACTGGGGAACAGGCCAAGGTACTCCTCACAGAGGGGTGCAGTGTTTATGATGGCTGGAGTAAGCCTTTAAGCACACAGCCCTGCTGAGAAGAGGAATGCAGAGCACTAGTAGTCAGGGTAAGGCTCTGCAAAGGACAATAATTGAGTGCCGCACTGTGCTTTGGGAGAAATGGCACAAACATTGCAGGTAGACGATGCAGGTAGACGATACAGGGATCCCATTGTACAGCGCTGCAGAATCTGTTGGCGCTATATAAATAATTAAATTAATTTAAGGAAAATGTGTGCATTGATTTCCGTCCATTGCAGCAGCCCTTTTCGAGAGGAGAGTTTTCCTAAATAGTTTAGTGTTTTGATGTAGCTTGTTCAAACAGAGATGCTGAACACGATATAGGAAGTAGTAGCCCAGAAGAAAGTAGACAACCTGAATTATAGCGGAAATGTTGTTTATTAACCAGTCGGGTTCCTTATTAACATTCTATTGTATCAGAGTTACAACATCATCCAGTTCAGTTACTTGCCGTACCTTGCGTCATACATCATTTCTCTAGTGCCGAATGGAATTTTATATGGTTATGTTTGTAACCTGATCAGTTTTGTAAAAAAAAAAAAATCTGAATGTTTTCTTTTTTATATATTACAGGTTAAAAGCAAGTCTCATAATCCTAATTCTTTAAGAACTTGTTTTTTTTTTTTTAGTTATTTCAGCTTTGGTTTTGTGGCATTAAAATCTGAATGTCCAATTTCCCAGGCGATTTAAAGCTTCCCAGCTCATATGGCTCAGTTAATGGCCCCAGCTGACATATTTATTGCTTTCAGGTGAACAAATTGCATTCTGGGTCAGGGACTTGTGACTCTGTGACCTCTCTGATTTGTATGCAGCCATGTGTAATTAGGGGCAGTGAAAGGCCATTGAAAATCAGCACCTCTAAAAAAAACCCATAAACATTAAAATTCAGAATATTTAATAGAATTGTACAGTCTGTTTTTGTTTATCTGTTTATTTTCTCAATCTTTCGTATTTCCATTTTTTTCTATCACTAATGTGTCTGTTTTGTAATCTGTAGGAGTGCTGCTTATTGTCATTTTAGTCTTTTTGTCCTGAGGGTTTTTTGCTCCACTGTGTTTAGTGCAAACAGGGCGTTTCAGCATTTTTAGATTGTTAGAATGTATTTATACTATAACTGAGACTATAACCAACTAAGTAACCAGCAAAAACGTCTGTTATCCTCAGTATCTAAATCCGGATTGTGGGTATTGTAGTCAGTCCCAATGGTTACTGGTTGATTTTATATATATAGACTGTAAGCTCGGTTGAGCAGGGTCCTCTTCAACCTATTGTTCCTGTAAGTTTTCTTGTAATTGTCCTATTTATAGTTAAATCCCCGCTCTAATAATATTGTAAAGTGCTACGGAATGGCAATAATAATAATAATAATAATAATAATATATAAATAAAAAAATAAAAAAAGAAGAAAAAATAATAATAATAATAATAAAATATATATATATAAACTACAATATAATTAGAAGTTGAAATAACTTTAATCCGCTTGGCAATCTGTGTTTTGCCAAAGTCCGCTGCATGTTGGGTTTCCTGTAACCAGTGTGTAGCTGTGGATTCGGGGTTTGTATATACAATCTGAGTGTCACGCAGATTGTCCATTCTTAGAAATCCCCCAGCGTCACTCATTACAGCTGCATGTCAGAACACCGCAGATAGGGCGTGAGGAAGGGCAGAATAAGTAAAGATCAGACCACATTTCCTGCCTGCTTGCTGTGCCTTTAATTTAGGGTAATCTTTATTTTTATTTTCCTTGTATTTTCACTCACGTTTCCCAAAATGAATCCTCACTAAACCTAACAGGCTATTTACCCATCCCCCCGCTATTATATAGAATTTATCATTACGATCTCAATAGGTGGTGAAAATGCCACCTTATGGCTTATTTTGTTTCAATGCAGTCATTAATCCATTAACCCTTCATTGTCAGCTGGTTGCCAATTTGACTGCCGTTAATGCATAATTTTCCAACTTTAAAGACACTTAATAATTGATAACCTAACCGAGTCAATATGGAGTTTTTGTCTCCATTTTTAGTTTAATGTAAGGTGACGCAGGTGTCACCCGGTCAGACGTCTGCGTGATTTTGTTGCTTAAGACACATAGCGTACAATGTTTTTATAAAAGCCTTTTGTGACCGCCTCTGCTCTCATCGCTCTTGTATGTTCTGTCCGTGACAATATGTAATTCTTTGTGTACTGTAAACTGTTTATAGTATAAATTTGGCTTAAAAACTACGCTGCTGGCTGCATATAGCAAACAGAATCCTGATTTGGCATATGTCAGCTGCAGTATTTTGCATACCTAATGTCTTTATTAAACAAATCTGGTTTATTGTCTGGTCGAGAAGTGCAGGATAAATGGAATTTAGAAAAATTGTGCAATCGACAAGTTATGTAAAACCCACCTCCTACTTATTCATTTATTTGTCTTTTTTACGTAGATAATAACGTTTTTTTGTATGTTTTCACAAATAGTTTTGCATTAAAGTAATGCGCCGGGCTCCATAGAAACTTTGTCTCAGTGAAGTTGTTATGGTGCCTGGATATTATGGGCACCGTCTTACCTAGAGTGCTCTTTTTATATATTCATTCTCTTACTCATACATTTTTCCTTTTCTAACATGTCCAGCTTTCAAGCATTCGGTGTGTGATTATACAATATATTTCACCTCATGGGCATATTAAAGGGACATTCCAGTCACCATAATAACTTCATTTAAATGCAGATAATATGGTACCTGGAGGCCCCCGGGCACACTCTTTCATTCAGGGGTTAAACTGTTCCTGAATGGTTAAACCCCAACGTTTGCCTCCAGTGGAGTTCTGCAGGTACCCCAGGTGGCATTTGGTTTATGCATTTCAGTTACAGAAAGTGTGGCGTGCTGCTGGGGCGCCACTGATTGGCTTAGAGCAGTCAGCGATCATATAGATGAAGTTATGGTGACCCGAGTGTTCCTTTAAGGATGAGAGATGTCTGCTTACAAGTTAAAAGGACATTCTGCAGGAATGGAAATGTTTACATTACAGGGTTAAAATGTCACTCTGACAACAATTATTGTTACTTCAGCCAAAATAGCTGAGTGAAACTCAGCTATTTAAATCAGATGTTCTCACAGAGACCATTTGATTGGCTCAGCGTGTAATTTTGGCGCACATGCGCAGCAGCCTCCCAATGCTTTCCTATGGGAAAGCATTGGATTGGCTGGGATCACCTACAATGATGATCTCAGCTAAAGAGGCATCGCTTCCCCACAAAGACTGGGGGACACGGCGAGGGCTCAAACATAAGTGAAACTCACCCCTTCAACCCTCACACGGTGGAGGAAGACACTAGTATAAATACATTAAAAAAAAAGAATTAGAGATGCATGCTTATATTCCCAACGCTATAGCGTTAATTAATGCCAAAAATAAATCTGCGGCAATAAGACCTTATGCTGTATAAATGGACCGCTAAATATATACAGTCCTGTCTGGCTTTTTAGTTATGAACTGGGCCTTGTGGGTGGGATCAGTCTGTAATGGTAAAATTGTGAATTTTTTTGGAAACCTAACAGAACCAAAGGGCAAACTAAGTGTTAATTTCTTTTAACGATTGCTGAATATCTGATTTCTCAAGTTGGAATGCATTTTGTATCCGTTTATGAATTTCCATTTAGGCATCTGGGAGAGTCATCGCCTTCGAAGTGCGATTAGAATTATAATTGTACGTCCTTATCTCAGGAGATCGCTCCCAAAAGAAGCGTGAATGGCATTTGTTCGTCATAGACTCATACTTTGCGTCTGGCCGTGCCACTCTTGGGAATTCACTAAACAGCTTACAGATGGAGCTTGTTACAGCATAGCAGGGAAGGGGATCTGCTTTAGGGATTGGATACGGAAACCTGAGCTTTGGTTTTTTAATTTTGCAAACAGCCAGCAAGCTATGTTCAGGAAATGATGGCGCTTATATCACAGTGAACCAGATATTGATCGTATACGTTACATGCACATGTCATAAAACCGAAGGTAAATAAGCGTCTGCTAAGAAAGTAGAACTTGTCCACGGATCTGAAATTGAATGAAGCCTATTTTTTTGGCCGATGGGGTGTTAGGAACTGTTTCGATAGGGATTGAGAATCTGTGCGGTTTTCTTCATTTACTGCTTGAATAAACCCTGCCATTTAAAAACCCCTTTTCTAGTCATTGCAAACACAGTGTGGGAATATTGCAACCTATACCCCAGACGAACCTCGCAGTCTCTAGAATGGGAACGTGTATTTGCTTTTAGAACATAATTAACTCTTAATGTGTTGCACCCCTGTTACAAAAAATAAAGAACATCTCAAACACTCCAGTATCTTTTTTGTATTCAAATGAGTGAATTAGATTCTTTTAAGATTGTGCCAAGACGCCTAGAAACTATCTTTCAATAAGAATTCGTTTTTTTTACTAAAGCAGGGAATTGTGGGAAATTGACAGGAAATTGCATATATTAGGGCAAAATTGCTAAACATAATGTATTCCATTTGTAGTACTATTCCAGCCTAAATTGTGCTATTAAAATATTGAGACTGTAGGACTAATTTACAAAAGAAAATTAAAAAAAATAAAAGCCAAAAACAGAGTTGCATAATTCAGGGTACAATAGCCAAGCAGTGATTATAGTGGAGTTGTAAATTATGTCCAGATCGGCGGCTTTAGGCTAAATTTTGCAGTTTGGTTTTCTAATTTACTGCAGTTCACTGTTTAGCGAATACGTGCCAAAATCAGTTAATCTCGGATTTTCAGAGTATTAAATGTTACTTGTACATATGTAGGTAGATCTTATTTAAATGGTGTTATGTGGATAAAAAGAAACTGGTCAACTGCCGGCTAAAATCTGTGCATTTCATTGTAATGTCCGAGAATGCACAATCCGGCTTTAGTTTACTTTATAAGCGCGTGTTTGAGTTTTCAGCTCTACTACAGAGCTCTCATTGTTCCACAGCCGGATTGTGAGGGTGGATGCAGGTTTAATCTAGACCTTTCACCTCCCCGTTTGTTCTTGAACTTGAACCAAGGCCCCTGAGCCTTCTTGTTTGCAGAACAAGGCAAGACCACGAGACATATTGCGTTACATAAATTCCACCTGTGACATGTTGAACGGTTTCGTGAAATTGATTTTTATTGATTTGTTAATGTTAACTTCATATTAAAGCTGCTCTGTCACTTATTAGTATTTCATAGAGATATAGTCTTTATTAAATATTAATGGTGACTGCGTTGGAATTTGAATGAAGTCCATAGACCACAGTATTGTAATCTTGTGCATGCATGAGAGTATAGCAGTGACGTGGCTCCTGGGAGATGAAGCACCAGGAGATGAAGAAGGTCACCTGGATTGAGATGGCGCCGGCCACAAAGGACAACTTCAGGTAAAACCTACCTTTGACTGCTCGCAACAGCTACCAGACTCTTTGGAAGTCTTTGCAGAATATGCAATAACTCCTGAAAGTGACAGATCCACTATAAGTATAGAATACGGAAATAGCAAGTTTTGCTGGGATGCTGGGATACGTAAGCCCTAAATGTTGCACAGTGATAGACTAGATTTCCCAACATATTTAACCAGACATTCTGGCCAATTATGATGAGTAATGCACAGAAGAAGGGACAGGACATGATCCTGCCCAAGAAATGTATGAGATAACCGTGAACAAAAACGCTGAAACATTCTTAACCAATAGCCGGGGTCTCTAACACAGGAATTCCACTGTTTGGACTCCACTAGTCCTTATTCATAGACACATCTACAGCCCAGTGCAAATTACAATAATGTCCCCCTCCTCCCCAGAGTTTCTTAATAACATGATTGCTTTCTGCTAAATTATCCAGATATTTATAATTGCTTGTCTTAGTGTTTCTTATTTAGCAATGTTATCTTCTTGTGGTATTTTGCCTCCAGGCAACCACTCATACTGGGTAGTATATAGTTGTAGTTTGCCATTTTCCATTCAGGGATGGCTGCCATTTTGTCTTTTCTCAGACTACGGGGTCCTTTGTCTCTCTTTGAAAAAGGCCCTGAGGCTGATATTGTTTTCCGTTGGTGGAGTTAACAGGATGTGCCTCTGATGGAGGAAGAATCCACACCCCAGGAGTACAAATTTTCCTTTTAGGCTTATTTTTAGCCTGTGACAAAAACCAGTTGACAACAATGGATTCTGCATAATCTGATGAGGCCTTTGACCTTAGTTTATTTTGGGAGCCATTCTACTTCTGGAATTTATAGAACCTACATAAACTTTGCATTCTGTTTGGAAATCAATAGATAAATGTTGGTTCACAGGGTTCTTGAATTATAGAAATTTGTGCACAATGTATTCTAATTTCTTTAAAACATGAAATTGTTGTGAATATTGCACAATTTAAGCCGGAAAAAAAAAAATCAACTCCACTATAATCAAAGCTTGGATAGCTTAAGGTTTTCAACTAAAGAGGGAAAGCAGAACAGAACCCCAAAATCGGGGCTCTCCCGCCAAAACTGTTGGGAACCGTAGTAATGTGCCTCTTTCAAAGTATTTTGGGCAGATCCCTCTGCGCCTACTGTTCCTGTGTGTCGTACATGTTTTGTTAGAGATACAGGTTTGTCTTGTTTCCTATTGTACAACTCTGGTGAATATGTTGGCTCTATATAATAATTCAGCTACCATGACGCTTGAAAAAAATTCTCAAGGTGACATAGTGATTAATGAGCACGTGGGCCGTTGCATTGAAGTTTGCATAGAGACGTGACGAGACGTTTTTTTCAGAACTTATCTGCTCTGGCGATAGTTTCTGCACACACTTAGACCGTGCTTTGTTGGTTGCATTAGGAATACAAACGGTTTATTCTCTGCAAATTCAACTTTTCCATTACAAGTAATTTGTTAATCTCATGTTAAATGCTTGGGGATTTAATCACTATACATTGGGTTCTAGTGAGCTGGCAAATTAACTACAAAATTTAGGCTAAAGTTGCAGAATTGGAGATTTTACCAGTTCTTCTTTATTTTTGGCCCCAACTTATCATAATTTTGTGTTTACTGATTTAACCCCTTGGAGTGCCAGCCTGGTACCCAAGTGAAGTTTATGGGTTTCATTATTTAAGTAAACAATACTTGGATTACACGTGTCCTATTTTTAATGACTACCCTTGGATATATATTTGAATCTATAAATAAAATTGAAAGCTAATTGCTTAAGAAGTTAGTAATGGCAGAAAAAAAGTTACAAGTGTCGCAGCACCCTTAGTGCGGTGAAATAATGTTGAATATTTGCCAACTTAGTTTGTCCTGTTTCCATTGAGGCCTAACTTATGGATTTGCAAACCGCAAATCATTGTTGCCATCTGTGTATATTGTGACATGAGATATGACAGGCTCAATTAAAGGGACCCTCCAAGTACCGTAACTACTGCAGTGGGGTGTAGTGGTTATGGTGCTTAGCAGTTCCCTGGCACCTGCTCCATTGCAAAAATTATCAAACTGTTTTAGAAACGGTTTGGCGTTTTACCTAGGGTCCCCTGGCCAGTGCTTCCGACATCCACTACTTCCGACGAAGAGCTAGAAGTGGACAGTTCTAAATTTTTTGACTAATTACATTGGAGGAGAGGGGTGGGGGGTGCATTTAACAAGCTATTGAATAGAACAAGGATAGGCAACATTCCTGATATTTTGGACTACATCTGCCCTAATGCTTTGTCAGCATTATGTCCAGAAAAGCATTATGGGAGATGTAGTGCACGTCTGGAGTGTCTAAATTTCCTACCCCTGTTCTTGAATATCCAAACCTTTTGTTCATTACATTACTTTCTATTTCTGTTTAAATTGTAATAATGAAAAATGTGTATGTCGGAGAGTGGCACTCTCATATAATAGTGACACTTCCAAAGGTCTGATGCCTTTCAAATGTCCCAGAAATCATGGTGCCATCCAGATTTGGGGTGCACATCCCATGTTATTCTTTAGGTGTCCCACTTTTTTGAGACATTTGTGGAATCCAATGAAAACTGACAAAATGTGTGCATGTGATTGTGCAACTTACACAATTTTACAGATCTCTTATGGTATCTGGAGAATCTTCTCATGCAGACACACGTGATGGTAGCCATACTTGCGTGTGCTCATTTGTAGTAAATCCGAACTTAACTTCTTAGTACAGGGATGGCTCCAAAATATATTTACAGCCTTTTTTTTCTTGTTCAGATATGATTTTCTTGTTGGCATTTTAAGAGCAGGTTTAAACGTTTATCTTGATCATTTTTATCACTTTGTATTTTTTTTTTTTACCATGTCATATTCATTTGCCCTACCCAAGCAGACCCACACATTTTTCGCATTGTTTTTCTGCTCATTAGTCACCAACCTACTTATTCTGCTGAGGAGGCTGTCAGGTCCATAGCCCACGTTGGAAAAGGTATTTGGCACCAAGGTCTGTGATCCCAGCTCTGCAAATACATCACCTGCAAATGTCTTCTTGTTAAATCACTTGTAAAAATCTATTATGCGATCAAAAGATATCACACCCAAGGTCAGATACAGGTTACTTATTAAAGAACGATCCGTTGTGAACTCTTTACATGCCACAAAAAGGTCTCCGATGCGTTTCGCAATAACTATATCACCAACCTAGTCTAAAGTTATATAAATAAAACGACACAAACTATAACGAGGTAGCACGCACATTCTAATTTGCTTGGGTAGAAATTCCAATGAATATATTAAGATATGGTCAAACATGATAAATAATTATCACTTACTTACATGTCCCTTTGGCACAGACGTGCATACCCCTATGTGGGCCTGAAGGATATGCAACATGTGGCTTGTCAAAATTCTCTTTAACAGTTACTGAGCAGCTGATCAACTCAGGTAGAAGTGATGAAAAAAAATTAAAAGGATTTAACACTTAACTAATCCAAGCAGGCCATTTGGGGTTCCGATGCTCTTTGACTAAGGGAATTAATGTTTTTTCACAGGAGACGAAGTCCGAGTATTAGTGGGCACCACTTTTAATGTGTTTTCTTTCAGAGAGTAAATAAAAAGATGTATCACCAGAAATTTACAGAGAATCTCTGTATCCTCACTAACGAGCAGGAGACTATGTTCCTGTGGGATTGTAGCCAGTGTCATAGAACCACGTGGCCACGTATCGTAGCACCTGGGTCAATCTGCCCTCTGAATTCCTGTTTATATACTCCTCATCAGAAAGCAATCCCGTTCCCTGCTAATGTTATTAAACCTTTTAAGTGGATCCATATGTTGTAACGAGGTTTGGGCCAGTCTTTAGGAATTGCAGATTCAACACCCACATAAATAACCACAATTTCCTGGTGGTTTTGCAATTGCAGAGTAAACACAAAATGTATTTCGTTGTTTTTTTGTCTGTGTGTGTATTTAGTACAGATCGGACGCTGAATGACTATAGTTATTTGTGTTTAGACTGGATGTTTCCTATAAGCTAATGGGGATATAGAATACATTTTGTTGCTGGACATTTATCAAATATTACAAAAACGTAACTGGATAAGTTTAAGTCACTTAAACTGCATTGTTTGTTTATTCTAGAGTCTCTACACTGTAAATATAATTAAATACTTAGCAAACGTATATTACAAAGACAAAACTCTTTTTTGTAGAAATCTATTGTAGTTTTAAATGAACACTCCGGTTAATCTCCCTGTTTTATTTATTGCATTGTGATAAAGAGATTCTTATCTTTGTTCCCTACAAACTGGCAGGGACTAGGCTATACTAAGATTATTTCAGCCTATCCTAGTAATCCAGTTGTTTGCAATAGAAGAGATGTGTGCATTTCATAAATACAGCTTCTCTTGGACCGACTAGTAGTTTCATTCACATTTTTGCATGAATTGAGCATTTCGTAGCTAGAATAAACAGATTGAAGTGAAACAGTGACAATCTGTACTGTAATGCCGTAATCTGTTCGAGGAAATGGATGGTTATGGTGCCTGGAGTTCTCTTTAAATTTAATATTGTATCCTTAAAGTTTAAAGTTTAACGTCATTGTGTCTTGACAGTGCTATTACAGATTCTTAAACAGTAAATATATAATTTACCATAACGATAGATTATATATTAAGCCGTTGTGGATTTACTCACCCCGTGTCCAGTGGTGCCATGCCTGGACGTCTGTGAGTTTTTCACCGTTTGATACTCTGGTTCCTCTTTTCCCTTACCCTCTTGGATTCTCTCGCCCTAGCTTGGGAAGATATCTCCTAGCATGGCAATCTGCTCCCTTGATGCTAGATTCATTGCCAGTGCATCAGTGTCAGAATAGAGTGACGTCTAACACTCTGCTCCTCATTCCCGTACCAAGACATGCCTAATGGGGGACTATCTGTGATGGAAAGCATGAGGGTTCTCCAGCTCCCCCCTTTTACTCAGTCTTCAGCATAGATGTATATGCAGACTTCTATGATGAGAATCGACTGACAGAGGGGGCATGTTTTAATAGAATTATCTCAAAATCTGTACATTTGCTGGCATTAAAGGTACAGTTAAAATATTGAAACAGTGTTCCTAAAATATGTACTGCTGGTAGTTACGTCTCTTTGATATAGAGCTCTTTGACTGGCTCATACAAATATATGGTTGGTATCTCTATATATTTATCTAACCCATCTGGCTAAGCATATGTCAACCCCTAATTTTATATGCAATGTATAATATCAGGATATCTGTGGAAACATTGTACAGATACCTGTCTGATCTAGTTGTACAAATAATCCATGCTTACACATCTCCGAAATGTCCCTATTTTTGGCCGAAATTCATCTGTCCCTCCTTTCTCTCCTAATGTTCCTCTTTTGTAGGAGCTCCATATTGTTGGTGTGCAAAAATACTCTCAGTAATGTGTCTTTAAAGTACAGTAAACGTGTTTAGAAATTAGTCTCTGTAAATAAGATACATCATTATTGTTCTAAATAACATTTTAGATGTATAAATTGTTATTACTAAGTCACTTAAAAAGATTTTGAACAGACCCGCCCCTGGTTTCACCCCACTCACACCCATAAAATAAAAGTGTTGCTCTTTATCCATTTGAAATTTTGGAAGGTATGTTAATATTTTAGACAGCTCTGGTAGCTATAGTTATTGACATACATATAAAACACTGCCTACGTCTATCAAAAACAAATGTAGAGGTTGAGAGAGAGAGTAGGAAACTATAAACTAGTGTAATATATAGTAGTTTTATTACCGAGTAATGTGTAGTGGTTTTATAACTGCTATAAAAATAGTTATCTTGTGATAACAAATATTAACTACACAAGAAACTGAATGTTAAGGTTACATCTTATTCCTGTTTGTTCTTACCTTACGTGTCCCTGTCTTGTCAGGTTTGTGCATTGTATCTGTGCCTATTACAGGTGCTGTCCTGGTTAAATGGGCACATTCGATCTCTTACACAGTACATGTGGTGGACTCGTTAGGGCATGGGCCAGGGAGAGCACCAGGGCAAGTTTCCCCACCCTTCCCCCGAGATGCCAGACAGGTACCCACATCAGGTTACTCAACGTGGGTACATGTATTTTTTTTATTTAGGTACTTGCAAGGTGGTGCAGTATCCTTTTGTGCGTGTGTGTACACAATACCCTACACTACAATATTAAACGTCCAGTTCCCCTCCTCAGATTGGGTTCTGGATCTGCCTCTGTGTCAGGCTGTGATATTAGATATGTGCCCCCTTACATGTACCAGTCTAGTCAAGCTGACACATTAGGCTTGGCCCTTTACATGCACCAGCCTTATTATATTATTATACAATATCAACCACTAGAGCGATCATATTCAAGTTATTAAGATCTCAAGTTCTTCTGGAGAACTCTGACATTTTATACAAGATGACACCGTCACTTCTTTTATTCAGGGCTGTTTGATTATTAGTATAATTAGGTTAAGCTGTCCTCACATCCTTTCAATGTCAGTCTAAAATTCAGCTCATGGATTGAAGAGTCCCGGCTTTCTACTCATTTCTGAGTGTTTGGCTTTACTATTACAAGAGGCACGGTTTAGAATCCGTGGCTGCTGGCTCACAGTTCCACAATTACCTGGACACCAACCAGAGACCACCTTGATCATTTTAGCTGTTTGTGTTTCTGACATGCCACTCAAAGACATGAGATCACCCAACATTATTTTATACATTAAAATTATATTGATGAGGCTACCAGTAGACCTCATCCATTGGTTGGGGGTACCATGATCAATCACATAATTTGTTTCCTTGCAGTAAACGCACAAATCTTTAGCAGGGGGCATATTACTTTTAATGTTGGAAAGGGAATAATATATATACACAGTTATAGAATTGTTCATTACAACCTCCGTTTGACCAAAACCAGGTAGCAATTGGCTGCTGTTGGTAACCAATAGAATATCAAGTAAAAATACTACAGGTCATTCACTTGTGTAAACATTCCGTGATGACATGTGCATGTGCAAAGCAAGCAGAGGCAGTGGAATCTGGTCAGGGCTGAAATGTTTGGCCCTTTTTAAAAAAAATTTTTAACAACGATAACCAGACAAATGTCATTGTTTTATGAGCCATCTGTCTGAAGGATTAGTGTTTTGCCTACTGTATGGAGAAATATGTTTGAGTTTAGTAAACATATTTTGTTTTTTCGACTTTTTATGTGCGCCCATTAATCTGTCGAGATAAGTCAGATATTTTATTTATTTATTTTTCCCCTGACCACTAATTCACTAGTTAAACGAGACAATAAAAAAAAAAAAAAAAAAATCTTGTTTATTAAGCCTCATGGAATTTTTGAAGAAAAATAGTCATTCCGCCTGATGCTTTATGCTACAACCAGAAAGCGCAGGAAATGATGTCACAGGTGTAAACTCGCTACTGTTTATGCCCAAAGGTTCCCCATAGGCATTAATATTAGTTGTTTATGTACCCCATCACCAAAGGCTTACTTTAATTCCCTTCAAGAAAATAAAATCACATATGGCTTAACTGCCCAAGTGTGGCATTTCTCCTATTTCTTTCAAGGCACGATTGGCATACCTCCCAAGTCTCCTTATTTAGGAGGGACAGTCCTTATACTGGGACCAAATCTCTCCGTCCCCCTATTCTATCCTAATGTCCCTCTTTTGTAGGAGCGCCATATTGTTGGTGTGTCTGTGTGTATAACAGAGCTCCACAGCAATATTACTCCTAGTAATGTGACTAAACTACAATAAATGTGTTTAGAAATCAGTCTATTTAAATAATGTGAAAAAGGATAAATCATGACTGAGTTAACAAATAAAACAAAACAAAAAGGGCTTCTAACAAAGTGTAAATAAGTGGGTGCTTTTTTGAAGATAAGACACATTGTTCTTGTTCTAAATGACATTTTAGTTGTATAAATTATTAGGAAGTCGTCTAAAAATTTTCAGAACACCCCTGCCCCTGGTCAGACCCCTAATATTAAAGTGTCCCTCTTTGTCCATTTGAAATGCTGGGAGGAATGAATTGGAGAATCTCCCCGGGAGTATCTCAAGTGAAGGAAACTATAAGATAAGAAGCAAGCAATGTTAAAACAATTCCCATGCTTAAACTATACATCTGTTTGCAAGATTATGAAAATGTGAAATTTATTTTTCTTCCTTTCCAGCAATAAAAGTGTCACCGAATTAAAAAATAGGCACTAGAGCTGCGTTCCCACAGGATGTCAGAATGACATCTTTTACCAATATCAATTTGGATGTAATTTAGAATTTCTTTATATTTGTGAAATAGCACAGTTGTGGAAGCAGTTTGTGCTTGGCTGCCTCATTTTGTTGAGTAATTGAACAACTGCAATCCATTGCCTAATTTACCAATTACCTATGAGTAACACTCACCGGTGCGAAACGCGTAAGACAGTTTGTGCTAAATTTAGGACTGACAAGGCATTGTGGGAATGTAAAATTTTAAAGCAGCCGAGGGCGTCCTTTTCGGCTATCTCTGCGCTTTTAGGAAAAGGATATACGTGTACTCAGGAGGTAGCAAAACTCATTTTAATTCTTAAAAATAAAATATAAGATTTGTAGTACCTATAACCACAGACTTTTAACTTTCAAGGAGAGTTGGCCAATGTTTACTAGATATGGAATTTGCGCATCAGTACAGATGGAATTCAATGGTTTCGAACAGAATCCTTAAATGTTGGATTTGGATGTAGTTAAATTATTAGTTCCTCCTGTATGTCCGCAAACCACCGCTATCAGCTGATTCTAAAACATTCCTGGGCCGGGTGCTGAAGGCTGATAAGAGGGGTGAGGCTCATTTGGCTTCAGGCTCACTTAACTCATCTGTGTGAGGAAAAACAAGTTCATAAAAAAAAAAAAAGCAAACCTTTGTAACAGAAATGTTCTGATATGTGGACAGAGGAGATTCAGCTGCCATTACTTCATTTCTTGATAACTGACACCTAAAATTTACATAGATAATGCTTTCTTAATGTGTCCCTTTAAAATAATTAAAAGGGAAATAGGATCTGCAAGACTTAGGGGTAATTAGTTTAAAGGGACACTATAGTTACCACAACAACTACAGCTTAATGTAGTTTTTTTTTTTTTTCTGGTGAGTTTAATCATTCCCTGCAGGCATTTTCTGAGAAAAGGCAGTGTTTACAATGCATCCTAGGGACACCTTCAGTAGCCACTCCTCAGATGTCTACTAGAGTTGCTTCCTGGGGCAGTGCTGCACAGTGTGCAGCACTGCCATTCAGCTTCTCCACGCTCTGCATGGAGACGCTGAACTTTCCTCATAGAGATGCTGATTGGCCAAGCCGGCATTTGGCCCCAACCCTGTCCTGCTTCTTTGCTGAATTCACTCAATCTAATGCGTTCCCTATAAGAAAGGATTAGATTGGCTGAAATCATAAATTCTGATGGTGTCAGCAAGGAGGTGGATAGGGGTAGGGCCAGAGCCGGCAGACCCGCGTGGCGCTGGAAATAAGGTAAGTTTTATTACCTTTTAAAGAATAAGGTAGGGCAAGACACCTAAATGGTGGTTTTAACACTATAGGACCAGGAATACAGGTTTGTGTTCCTGACCCTCCAGTGTTCCTTTAACTAAAGAACATGTATGAAGTAATTTTTGACACCAGATATTTAGACTTCCGTTATTACAATGGCCCGAACTCTGTGATTAAAAAAAAAAAAACAGAGTAAGATTATTGACAGCAGCCATTTTGAATTCCAACAGTCTGCCATTGATTTTAGTGGATTCACTTTAAAAATGTTAACATTGAAATGTCAACCTTTAAGGAGCCAAACTCATGATATCAATGCTATAATAGTAGCTCCACTTTCAAAATACCACTGCGCCCATTATATCTCTGTTTATATTGAAATATGCCCCGTAATATAATCCTGTGTTAATACAGCAGGATTAACAGGGTTTAGGATCTTGGAAATTAGCATTGCTAGTGGCCATACAAGATGGCTGCACCGTGCAACAGCAGCTTGAAGGTTGGCAAGATAAGGAAAAACAAGCCATTTTCAGCTACCATTTTAGCACTGCTGCTGCGGCAGACTACATTTCCCATGATGAACTGCAACAACTGCAGTTCCCAACACAGCTGCATTGCCGAAAGGGCACTTATCTCTGTCCGAGAGTGAGACGTGTTCAAAATAAAATGACGGCATTTTGAAAGAGTTGCCAGGCACCGGTTGTTGAAGTTTGGGGAGAATTTTCTGTCCTTTAATATACAAGAAATGGCCCCTATCAAGTTGAATAGGAAGTCTTTTTCTGTAATGATCCATGACTTTAAGTTCGGAAAAGATCCATCAGCGGAATCTTCTCGTATTGCGATTTTCCAGATGATCGCACGCGTTCGAACATTGTGCTTATTGTTATAGTGTTGCAAGTTCTTACTGGGATGAATGGTTTTAAGGATGGAAGGAATCCTGCTTCCCAGGCTGCGAAGATACATTTAGAACTCTACAGTCCCATCTTATTTCTCCGGACAACAAGTTTATTGTCGGTGTTTTCCTATTTATAGTGTGTGGCTTTAACTCTCACTGAGGATGTTTATAAAGAATTTGGTATTTAGTTATTATGGATGTTTCAAGCTTTGCAGGACTGGAGCCTGACATCAGGTCAAAAGTGACAATTATAGATTGTTCAATACATGTAGTTTATACATTCGATATTATCTTTTACTTGTTTGTTTGTTTTGTTTAGGTATTGTGTGTTTATGCTTTCTATCCCAACCTTGATGGATCTCTAATGACCATTATCATAAACCAGGGAGTTTAAAATATTAAAGGGCTACACCAAACACTGGTTTTGGTTAGAGTAACCTTTCTGAAGTGGTCTGCTTCACCCGTTCCCACTTAAAAAATATAACTAAAAGAAATGCTAAAACATACCTCTGTTCCAATGCAGAGGCCAAGTTCTCCCCTCAGCCCGAACCTCCTTGGCTAGGGGAGAAGGTCAGGAAAGACAGACTAAGATGAGTACATTGGCCGTAGGGAAGGTGGGCATACTTCCATTGGCTGGCTGTTTGGCACCAGAATAGTAGCCTAGCTTTGCTTGCAGTTTTCCAATTATGTTCTCAAATCACTGTTTAGCAGATACACACCCTAACTTTGATTGTACTAATTACGCAACATATGTAGCGGCACAGAATATGTTAGCACAATAAGAATAAAACAAACTTAAAGAGGTATATGCTTATCAACTATCAGTATACCAATTTGGAGTTTTTCCCTATAAAACAAAGCTGCTACAACACTAAATGTGCAATTCTCCCCAAACCACACAATAAGAATAAAGACTGTGGTTGAAATAATTTCTTTAAGGGAGAATGTCGAAAGTGATGGATTCAGTGAAATGTGTGTGAATCTGTAAACAAACAGATCTGGTTGCATTGTGTGACGTAAAATTACATAGAAACCAGACAGACAGAATTTACTCTTTGATAATCTGGATTTGCAATTGTATCTTGAGGATTAGCTTGCTGGCCCTCTGCTGTGAGCTGGAAATTAAGAAATCAGCACAACAGACAACAAGAGGTTTATTTGTTAAGCAATTCACTGGAAACAAACTTTGAAAACTTTAGACAGCAATATCCAAGTTGGTAAAAGTGCAAATCATTTACATTCACATCTACATGCCACCCAACAGTCCCCATCTTGTCAAGATAGTCCCAATTTAAGGGTCCTACCTTGCTGTCCCACTGTTGTTCCTTGGTATTATTAATCTGGTGACAGCAGGGAACGGTCTCTCGGCAACACAGCAAGAAAGCATGTTTAGAAGTGATCGCTGTGTGAACGGGCACTGGGATCATGCAGAGAGCACTTCTGCAGCACTCTCTGCGTATTCCTGTATGTTGGGGGAAGGCTCCCACCTCCTTTGGCACAGCACTGTCAATTATATTCAAAATAATATCGTTATTAAAGGACCACTATAGTGCCAGGAAAACATACTCGTTTTCCTGGCACTATAGTGCCCTGAGAGTGCCCCCACCCTCAGGGCCCCCCTCCCGACCGGCTCTGGGGAGAGGAAGGGGTTAAAACTTACCTTTTTTTCCAGCTCCGGGCGGGGAGCTCTCCTCCTCCTCTCTGCCTGCTCTCCTCCCTTTCGGCTGAATGCGCACGTGCGGCAAGAGCTGCGCGCGCATTCAGCCGGTCTCATAGGAAAGCATTTACAATGCTTTCCTATGGACGCTTGCGTCTTCTCACTGTGATTTTCACAGTGAGAATCACGCAAGCGCCTCTAGCGACTGTCAATGAGACAGCCACTAGAGGATTTAGAGGCTGGATTAACCCATTTATAAACCTAGCAGTTTCTCTGAAACTGCTAGGTTTATAAAAAAAAAAAGGGTTAATCCTAGAGGGACCCGGCACCCAGACCACTTCATTAAACTGAAGTGGTCTGGGTGCCTAGAGTGGTCCTTTAAGCAATTACCCCCACATGCAAAATTGTTTTTTGGCTCATATTTGTTGTCAGGATAATCTTAATGCCCAACACGCACTACTTAAATAACTAATAAACAAATATAACATACTGTAAAACATATTACCAGACCTTAGAATGGCCGGATTTAACGTTAATATAGAATAGTACATGACAGGCCGAGCTCAGGGAAACAGAATGTAACAACAACGGTAGACAAGCCAAAGGTCAAGGGATACAGAAGTCAGAATAGTCCGATAACAAGCCATGGTCAAAACACACAGGATTCATTCAAATAAATGCACTCTTGGATAACCAAAGTGGAAACCAGGACACACTGAGAAAATATCATAAAATGTTTAAATACCTGGAAGAATGTCTCTGATTGGCCAATAAAGGTCATGCGATGTCGGAACATTGCATGCATGTTCCCGGGCGTAAGAAACACGAGGGACGTAGGGAGCCTTAAAATACTCTGGCACGCAGAGACCACCGTCTATAGTACTTTCAGACCTGAATGCAGTCAGTGAGAGGGGGACAGGATGTGCGCTGTGACACTTCTAACACACTTTGCCCAAAATCTATCATGTTGCAAAGTATGTCGTAACTTTTATGCTATTCTCTAGTAGTGAGCCCTGTGTTTTAGAAAGCAGGCAGTGTGAGACCTAGAACAAAATAAACTTACACGTTTTAAATCACTGCTGGATTTTGGATGGTTGCTCACCTGGTCTTCTCAGCTACTCACAATAGGTAGAAAGGAAAATTGTAGTCACTGACCAGAAATGAATAGCTGATGGTAACTTAATGGCAACTCCACTGATTTCTAACTAAAGTATCATAGGACCAATTCAACAATATATATTTAAAATCTCCTGATCATGTTTAAAATCTATATGTCTGTAAAATAACTACAGCCCGCAACCCCTTTTTGTTCTTTTATTCCCCCTCTTTTTTGTATAATTATTTTCCTCTTTAGATCTTTATCAAATGGTGTTCGTTTCAAAATGCAGTTTCCTGTGCTACATATGCATCGATCTTGTCTAAAAATAAAATTAAAATAAAAAAAAAGTAAAAAAATAAAAAATTATTTCAACTATACACTTAGTTCTTAGAAGCCACAAACAATTCAACTTTACAAATAGAGTTAAATGACAAACTAGATGACGGATCAACACAATCGCCTTCCCTCCTCCTTTGTGTGGTTTAGCTATTTTGTAGACTGCAGAGATAAAGAAAAAAAAAATGTAGATATACCTAAAATAGCTTGCTTTTGAAAGTCCAATTTATAGACTTGATAGCTTAGGGGTTAAAATATTAATTATTAGAAAAAACAAACCATGTTTTGTACATTTAATTGTTGTGCAAGATGGAGTGAATTAATTTTGTACTGTTAAAAAAAAAAAGAAAAAAAGGACTTTTTGGCGTATTTACTCATAACCTTCTTAAATTTCTTTGTGAGCGACACATGTGCTGTTCCTTATTTAAAAGATTTCCAGAGATCAGTAGCTTGGAAGAGACTGTGGGTCCCTCAATAGGGTGTTTTCACAATAGGTTCTGGAATTCTATTGTCTACAGGAAAGCTGATAAGATGTCTTTCTTAGAAGAATAAGAGATAAGAACTCCGAACACAGGCAAACTGCACACAGTAAACTAAGATTACTTATAGCTACTTAATGTGTTTTGGCGTCTTGATTGCGCAGTTAACGGACTAATATAGGAGTCGGAATGGGTGCATACCATTGATTCCATGTGTATCACAGGTGAAGGGTGGCAGTTTCACTGCATTGATTAGAAACTCTCTGATAATTTGACAGTCGAAAAGCAGGCCCTTACATTGACTTTTGTAATTAGGCCTATTTAAAGTGGAACTGTCACAGCTCAGGATTTTTGATATTTTGTTTACTTAACCTATCTGAATGGTGGTTTTAACACTATAGGGTCAGGAATACACATTTGTGTTCCTGACCCTATAGTATTCTTTTAATATAAATTTAAAAGAGAATGGAACACCACATGAAAAAGTTTGCACAAGTTCTAGCTCATTTGCAACGGTTTTTTGAATCGTGTAAACTCTAGAACAGTTACAGTTCCCTTTAAAAAGTATCTGGGTGATGCCTTCTTGACGTGAATGGCTTGTTGGCATTTCTCTGAGAGGTCACTTCAGAACCAATGATGTCCTTTAGACAGAGTCCTTCTGTTTTAACAGCTGAGTCCAGGCCTCTTAGGGAATGATTTACAAGATACATTAACTCTCTTGTTGATTTTGGCTCCATTACAGCAAATCAGTCACACACAGGTACATATTCCCACCGCAAGAGGCACAGTTTATTTACACATACACCTGTTAATTACACCATACAGTTTATACTCCTAGATTTTAATCCATTTGAGCCAGGCCGTCTACACCTCTAAATATCCCCTTTCTAGAATTGTAAAGCGGCGTGTAATATGTTGGCGCTGTATAAATGCCAGTTAATTTTATTTACCGGTGATGGCTAAAGCTTCTATTACTTATCCGGCCAGCAGACACCGGTTAAGATGGCGAACTATTATGAAATGGTTTGACTACTTACATGGAGATGGGGGAAGCACTGCCTTAAAGACAGTGTGTTGAGTGGTTATGGTGCCTGGAGTTTTCCTTTAATTTTTAATTCTTGATTTTGCTAGGGAAGTAATTACATACACTAAAATTAGAAACTCAGCCCCTAGAGCTTGCACTCTAGTTTACGTTATTCCTTGCAGGGCTTGGTTTTAAAATATAATAATGATCTGGGAGATAGATAATGCTAACACCAGCTGCTATTTTTTTTCTTTTTTCTTTCTGTTGTTGCATAATGCAACAAAGTATGATTTTTTTAAAAAAACATTTTTTAAATGTATTTATTTTTTAAAATTTCTATTTCAAAAGCGCAAACATTTTCCACAATTTTTGGATAAGGTCACGCAGTTTACAGATATCTCATTTGCAAGGTTAAAAGGAAAAAAAGGAAAGATTGTGTGCAGGAGAAATATTTTCATAGAGGAACAGTGTGTGTTTGGAGGAGGGACTCTCGGAGCCACAAGGTCACAAATGTAAGGGAGGCTGATGAATTACTTTTAATTCTATGTGTTGCAATTCATGGTTTCTTTCTTAACCTCTTAACGGCTGGTAGGAAACACACACAAGCTGGCTGTGGGCGTAGTACTATTGCGCATTTGTAAAATAGGCAGCCCCTTTAAATTCAAACCAGGAAGTGAATCCCACTGATTTGCTTCACTTCCCAATAATTATGCCAGGGCTTTGTAACCATTCATACACATACAACATATTATGTTTAGACACTTAGCTTATAGTAGCACACTTAGAGGAGTTTCCACAAAAATCTGGGTGAACGTGTTGGATCTAAAACCATTCTCAGAAGTATGTGTGTACATTATTAGTATTATGTTATAATTTATATAGGGCCAACAAATTCCGCAGCGCTTTACAATGGGTGGACGAACAGACTTGTAGTTTGAACCAGATAAGTTGGACACACAGGAACAGAGAGGTTGAGGGCCCTGCTCGATGAGCTTACATGCTAGAGGGAGTGGGGTATAGTGACACAAAAGGTAAGGATAGTATTAGACTAATTACATCCCTGAAGGGTCTACAATTTGGGTCATTTCAGCAATTTTACACACTGGAATTAATGCGAATCAGCATCTTGATTTGGGCAGAACTATGATTCCAAATTCAATGTCAGCAGCCTTTTAGGGTACCATATAGTAAGAGTTAGCAATGGCGAGTTATTGCATTCTAAAACAATAGTACTTAAATTTCCCACTGCTATGTTAATTCTCTACACTTCCCCTTTACTGGGACACAGAGTCCTAATTAAAAATAAATAGTTTTTCTGGTTGCCATAGGTATTATCCTAGAGGGACATAATCCATATAGGCTGGGACTGATGGACCCTGGGCTTTAACCACAAAGGAATTGGGAAAAGACACACTTTAGCCCCTTAAGGACCAAACTCCTGGAATAAAAGGGAATCATGACATTTCACATGTGTCATGTGTCCTTAAGGGGTTAAACTTGTATAAACATCCTTACATTGAGTTTCTGGTTTTTAGACTGGTGAAGCATTAGCTGGGTGGACAATTAGCTCGGGATAGGCACACATATCTGAATGCTGGAGATTCATTATTTTCACTTTGGCAATTATCCAAATTAAACAATCGTCTCACATTAGGGATTGACAGGTGTGTCTCCCCACAATGAGACTCACTTTCCACTCTTCCTGGAATCGATGGAGTATGTGGCACAGGTGATTAGAGACACTTCAAGGACAATGGCCTGTGTATACGGATATAGATTGATACGTCCAAGAGTGCCCTCAGCAGCGATCAAATAAAGCAACAGATGATGTACAATTGTATTGCACAAACTAATATCACTTTAATGTTTTTCTGATTAAATTAAACCCTGGGGCCATTGTCCACAGAAAACATTTACTCTGATGTGTAGAAAAATGGCTGAAAGTAAGGTGCTAGTTCACATATTTAATTTGATTATGATTTTTTTTTTCTTTTGTTAGAATCTGGAAATAAATGCTATTTACTAATTTATAAAAAAAATTAAAAAAAATCTTATTTAATTGATACATTAAAGGGACACTATAGTCACCTGAACAACCTCAGCTTAATGAGGTTGTTCAGGTGAGAACTATAGCTCCCTGCAGCCTTTCTCATGTAAACACAGTATGTTCTGAGAAAATACAGTGTTTACATTGAAAGCTAGGAACACCTCCAGTTGCAGTCACTCAGAGTGAACCAGAGGGACTTCGGAGTTGATGAAGGCATAATATGCCTCCATCCACTCAGATCTGCTGTCAGCTGAGCACAGGGCAGCACTGTGCACAGCATCCTTTGATTCAGTATCTCCTCCCTCTGCATGCAGACACTGAACTTTCCTCAGAGATTCATTGATTCAATTCATCTCTATGAGGAGATGCTAATTGGCCAGGGCTGTGTTTGAATCATGCTGGCTCTGCTCCTGATCTGCCTCCTTGTCAGTCTCAGCCAATCCTATAGGGATTGGATCAGGCTACCAAATGTCAGCAGACTGCTTGTTTTTCTGAGTCTAACAGCATGCAGATTTACAGCTTCAGGCCTGAATACAGTTTTACTATATTTATGGAGGCATGAGGTGTCCAGGGGAGCTAGATGGTGGTGTTAACACTATAGGGTCAGGAATACATGTTTGTGTTTTTGACCCTATAGTGATCATTTTAAGTAAAAAAATCTCTCTCCATGCCTTAGATCACTTTAATGTTCTACTGATTCGAATTTGAAAATTGTATATGGCCTAGTGACCTATTGGTAACCATGTACGTAACTGAGAACTTTTGATAATCAATTAGGTAACTGAGAATTGTAAGTTAGAACAAGTCCAGGGTATTTTTATTTACACATGCTGATTTGTAAACACATGTATTGTAGTTTAAAAGACCAATTACTGTGAGATTTACTACTTTGAAACTCAAGTACACTGCAAAGAGAGAGGATAGAAAATAGGGACTGTCTTGCTTTAATAGGGACACTTGGGAGGTATTGACTTGTATGCAGCAAACTACTTTAATCGGTGCATATATCTGGGTTGCGCGATGTTCAGTTGCCAAGCCAGAATTCTATAATAATAAAAATTGTTATATTCTCATTAATATCAAAAATAGCACGGACATTTTTTACAGAGCTTTATGACTATAGATTTGGGGATATATGACAACATGTAATTGACATTTAAAATAATATTGACAGAGACTAGGGTCGAAGAAGGCCCTGCTCTAACAAGCATTCTAATTTTTGATTTGACATAGTTCATACACTTTCGCTGAACTTCGTCCATTCCACGCGTTCTCACACCCCCTCGCCATCCAGCACTCAGAATGTGCAGTTTGCGCACCACACGCATAGTCTGTGCCAATGGGCTGTCTAGTTATTCTGTAGGAGTAAATCTTTGTGAAATTCTTTTCCTTATGGTTTCTGCATTCCAGAAAAGGATCATAAAATGCTATGCATTCTACTCCTCGCCCCCCCTTCCGACATTTATTTAATGACTAAACTATTGCTACTTTAAAATGTGTGCTGTCCAAAGGGACTCAAAGAGAATTTTCTACATCTTGGGCTGTTAATACTAGTGACAGGCTGGAACTATGAAATACATTTACTATGTTAACTCTTTGTGCTTACAGACGATTAGCAAAGGAAATATCTGATTGTCATTATGTGAAAATAACAAAATATAGATATTCAAGTCTTTGCAGAAAGTATCCAGCAATGTAATATGAAAAATAGAAACATTTATTGAATAAGATATGATACAAGAAACATTGTAAATAGGATAAGGATTCTGCAAAGTCCTTTGTTGGAATCGCCATCAGCTGCCTCGTTGTATTTACCTGAAGCTCATTGATGGTCTGAAATTTTTTCTCTTTCAAACGTTATTTCAGTTTGGGAAAAGCCAGAAGTCACAGGGCGCCAAATCTTTCAACAGATTCTCGACTCTCTTTGAAGCGTTTTGTGCCACACTTTTATTTACGCTGCACTCATTGCATCGTCCTCGAAAGCCTTCTAAACCATACAAATAGTTACCGCGGAGGAATGTTCAAGAATAACGCAAAATTTGATGCAGATTTGTTACTCTATTCGCTCAGTCATTTTGAATGCAACGGCCACACAGTACACATGCTCACACGCGGTGTCTAGCGCACCCACTGACTAGTACAGCTAAGCCGCCATTGTTCACGCATGCGTATTTTAGTTCACTCTCCTTGGCTGCCAGGTTACATCGAATTCGCGCGAACTGTTTTTGTTATATTAAACATGGCTGGACTTTTTCCGTACAGACAACGTATTGTAAACCACCAGCAGATACCCTTAAAAGAGCACTATACACAAACATGTATTCCTAATGCTTTGGAGTTCTAGTGTCTAGTTAGATCCTGCCTGCCCTAACTTAAAATATTTGAAAAGTTTTTCTTCAACACCGAGACTCACTCCGTGAAGGGCAGATCTTCTCTGCTGACTCTTTTTGTGCTTCTCGTGTAATCAAATACTTCTCACATTGAAGCATTAAAGGACCACTATAGTGCCAGGAAAACAAACTCGTTTTCCTGGCTCTATTGGGTCCTTGGGTCCCCCTCACCCTCTGGGTCCCCCTTCCGCTGGGCTCTAGGGTGAGGAAGGGGTTAAAATCTTACCTTTCTTCTTCTGACTCTTCTGCCTCAATGCTTTCCTATGGACGCTGGCGAGATGGACAGTGAGAAGCTCGGAAGCGCCTCTAGCGGCTGTCAATGAGACAGCCACTAGAGGCTGGATTAACCCATTTGTAAACATAGCAGTTTCTCTGAAATTGCTATGTTTACAACAGAAAGGGTTAATCCTAGATGGACCTGGCACCCAGACCACTTCATTAAGCTGAAGTGGTCTGGGTGCCTATAGTGGTCCTTTAAATCTGATGCTTTCACATGAGCAACAATTAAAGATGTTCAACGTCCACACACGTCTCATCACTGAGTGAAACTCTGTTCTTACAGGGGAAGGGCCTCTATTGAAAGACAGACACTGCAGATGTGTTAACCCTGCAATCATAACATTTGTTGGATCTACTAAACATCACTGTTTTACATTGCAGGGTTAAATCTACAGGCCCACTGCACCCAGACCACTTTATTTAGATTAAGTGGTCTGTGTGTCTTTAGTGGTTCCTTTTTAGTGGTATTCGCCCCAACAGAACTACAGGTTATCAATTAACCATAACTCAAAATGTGCAAGGTTTCAAGCAAAAGCACTGCACATACATACTCCTACCACCATCACCACTTCAAATCACTGAAGTGTTCATGGTGGTTGGAGTAACCCTTTAAAGGGATACTATAGTCACCAAAACAACTTTATCTTAACAAAGCACTTTTGGTGTATAGATCATGCCCTTGCAGTCTCACTGTTTAATTATCTGCCATTTAGGAGTTAAATCACTGTTTCTGCAGCCCTAGTCACACTTCCCTGCATGTGACCTGTACAGTCTTCCTAAACACTTCCTGTAAAGAGTCATCTAATGTTTACACTTCCTTTTTTGCTAATTCTGTTTAATTTAGTATTTATGTCCTGCTCTGTTAATAGCTTTCTAGACCCTGCAGGAGCCTACTGTGTGTGAATAAAGCTTATTTCATGATTCTGGGGACATTTTTAAAACTCTCTCAATGCTCTTTGTGTTTGTAATAACTCCGGAACCCATTGATTGCATTATTTGTCCCTAATGCATAGTTCATGATCATTCTCGGCCCCCAATTGGGTATGATGTTAGATCAAAATCTTTTGGCCTGCACATAGAAAAGCTTGCATCTAAACTTTATCCAAAACTACGTGCCCTGTACAGAAACAAATCCTGCCTAAGCCATACAGTAAAGGAAAAGATTGTACAGCAAATGCTGATGCCAATCATTGATTATGGGGATGTAGTATATGCATCTGCATCGCAATCCCACATTAATAAACTCAACACATTGTATAACTCGTTCTGCCGATTTGTGCTACAATGTAATTACAGGACCCACCATTGTGACATGCTAAAAGAACTAAACTGTCTGTCGCTGGAATCCAGACGCACCCTTCATCTTTCCAGCCTTGTTTTTAAAAGCTTTTCTGGGAAACTCCCACCCTACCTGAACAAAATGCTTTCCCCAGCTGTTCCCACTTCCTATAAGCTCCAATCCAGTACCAACACTTTACTTAGTCTACCTCAATACAAAAAGAAAGCGGCCCGATCCTCCTTCTCCTACAGAGCACCGCAATTGTGGAACGACCTCCCGCACAATTTAAAATCTTCCCCAAGCCTAAAGTCCTTTAAGAGATCCCTCTCTACATACCTCAAAACAGAATGCACGTGTTATGGTTGATTATATATTTCCTACCTGTTCTATGTTACATTTTGTATATATTGTGTATTAATATTGTTTTTGTATTTTATTGTACCCTAATGTAACAATGTAATGGTTTGTGGACCCAGGACATACTTGAAACCGATAGAAATCTCAATGTATCTTTCCTGGTAAAATATTTTATAAATAAATTATGTATTCTTTATATATAACGTGATCTGCTTGTTATTGTAACAGATGGACAGGTTTTTAGGTTTGACATCACCTTGCACTGTCAGCGATTACTGCATAGTGTGATGTGGCTCAATGAGTCGTTGAAAAATCGAAATTCGGCTCATCGTAAATTTGACCAGTGCATATATACTTTAGTAACAATTAAAAAGCTTAAATAAATCAAGGATCTCAGCCTAGGAAAACAAGTCTGAAAGAGCGGCTGTTCAGATAAAGTTCTGGGGTTTTGGGGTGTGTGTGTGTTTGGTGAGAAATAACACCTCTTTTTTGATCTTGCTTCCTATAACACTGTCTTTTAGTGATAAGCAACACCGAAGCTGGCTGTTTACATCCCAAAGTTTGTTTTTTCTAATTAGTGTATGTGCTGTCAGGGCTTATGTACCAAATGATGTAAGGAGTAGGTACTCTTCGAACCACATAGGGTGTGTACAGGCCTTACATCGTTCTTCACGCTATGTTGACTGATGTATTGAATACGTTAATATTGTTTGACTTAGCTGACGTCAAAGACTTTAAACTTTCAATTTCCTCCCGAAAAAAAAAAAGAAAGCAAACATTTAAACTGCACTTAAAATAAATGTGATTGTGAATGTCCACTCCTTGTTGTTGAAAGGTGCCCTTTTAAATCTCACTCTGATGTGTTTGATTTATTTGAATACGCTGATATTTCTCTTATTTACAAGTATTCGTAGGGAATCAGCGAGGGCTATTCAGAGCATAAATTGGGGCAAAGTTCTGAAAATGGATCATTTGCCTTGGAAACCAACAGAATGTTGGGGCTGACCACTGCATTTTTATAACTTTTTATTAAATGCATTGTTTGCTTCGCTTAAATGTTTCTTGGTTTCAAGAACATGCCTATCTTTATAAATCGGTCATATATATAATCTCTTATCATCTCCAGAGGTCCTTGCACACTGACTATTCTTTATAATGCCGGGCCCATCTTACAACCATAACCAAAGTATATATGTAAACGCCTTGCACTCACGGTCTTTTCGTAGTAAAATTCCTTTATTCATTATTCATGTAAAAACAGATCAACGTTTCAGCCCTCGTCCGTGGCTTTCTTCAGGATCAATACATTGCCCTTATCGAACAATACAGAGTTAAATAGTCCAGACTTAGCCGGTCCTTGGTTTTCCAGAAACTAATCAAATGGACTCAGATAAGCTATTCAAACTAGCCAACAATCCATTAACCAGGACTGGCTGCGAGAAACTCTCATTGTACAGAGACACTTACAGCCTAGATTGTATTGATTATGCAAAGCTAACAATTTGAGATGCAAAGTACTGTTTGATTAATACACAAACACGGGTTAATCACCCATTCTGCACAACTGAGCAATGATCAGACCTGTGTGACAAACACAAACAAACCAAAAAAAACAAACAGTGATAGCACTGGTCCTTGATCTATAAATAGTAATTTGTATTATTCTTTAACATTCTGTATGGTTCTGTTTCCCTATGTATTCCAGCTACTTTTCACATTAATGTACTTTTTATTGCCTTATACAAAAACTAAAAAAAACTATACCCAAAAAAAAAAGGGAAATTAAAGGGACATTCGACTGGAGTTGAGACATAAAACCAAAAAACATTATTTAATAATGCTTAAAAAAGAAAAAAATTAAAAATAATAATAAAAGATTCTTACACCTGAAGTCTCTGCGTGCGATCATATACCGTGAAGTGACTGAACCATTCATGACTCTCTCATAAAGTTACTGTGAATCCCTTGACATTGCTTTTAAGGGAGTTTAGCGTTGTTGTCATTTCCAGAAACCCCTTCTGTTCGACCTCTCTGGATTGTACAAGCAGTTAACTTCTCCTTGTGACATCCTCTTGTAAGGAGATGGGCTTAAACCCGCTGTGATTTTTGCAAATTTTGCTCCGGTTTGTGCCGGGTAACAAATCCTTGAAGCATGAAGGCAACACATGTTGTTATGGTGCCTAGAGTTTCTTTTTAAAGGAACAAAACATATTTTTGATACAGTGACATATAAATTGCCAATTTTTTCAGTTCAATTTGGAAGATATATACTTTGCAATGAAGTTGAATGTACTCCAGACACCAAAGGGTTGGATAGTTAGCTTCACCACAACTTTCTAAAAGATGATATAACCAGCTATAATCAACCCCAATCAGAGTACTGCAAGATCAGCTAACTTCATATGAGTTACATCATTTTACAAGATTCTCAGGCAGTCCTAAAAGAAAGCTATTATAATTTATTATTTAAAAAGAGGGCTCAGAGATGGCTGCCGCACTTAAAACAATTATTGATGTACGTGTGTTGACTACAGAATAATACACTACAAAATTTGATTAGTTTTTTTTTTTCAGTAGCGATCAATAAGTGTAACAATTTGCCTTAAAGTAAAAACATTTTTGTAGGTACACAGAAAGTAGTTAAGTGCACATAAAGACTACATACCGGTATTTTGTTTCCTTAAAATATTTTATTACTATTTATTTTTGAAATTATTCTTTATTACCGGTAACTATTAGAAATAACGTAATTAATTTAAAAAAAAGGAACAACAATGTTGTATTCTGTTAAAAATGTTAAGTGGTTAAAGGTGTTAACTAAGAATCCATTAATAATATGTCCCAGCATGAACCTGGCCTCAGACTACTAATTGTAACATTTTAAATATTTGCAATTTATGTACATCTAGTGCAAGAATCCAAAAGAATAGTAGTTCTATTTGTGTCTAGTAAATATTAATAACTGTATTCAGAACTGCCTTAAAAATGTTAATACAACAAATGTGTGTTTTTTTTTTTTAAATGCTCCTTTGATTTAATTAAAATAATATATATATATATATATATATATATATATATATATATATATATTATTTTTATTTGCTCTGATACATTGTTCTTGGTTTCCTCAGGATATCAATGGCCAGATGAATGACCACTGTCCACGTCTGTGTAATTTAAAGAAAGGGAATAATGGTTACGGATTTAATCTGCACAGTGAGAAATCGCGGCCTGGCCAGTTCATTCGGTCAGTGGACCCAGGATCCCCAGCAGCTAAAGCAGGTCTGAGACCGCAGGATCGTCTGGTTGAGGTAAGAAATGATGGTGAACATTTTGTGATTTTTGAATGAATCAAATATAGATTAGCTTTAAGATAAAGACTCACACAAATCCTTACAGAGTTATTCACTAAAGGGTGAATGTCAAACTGTAGACCAAATATTCTTATGTCCGCTATGTTTTCAGTTCAACTTCAGTTCATCGTTTTTTGGGGGGGGTAGAATTTTAGATTTTTGATTAACTTTCAATTCTATTTCATTCAAAGAATTATGGGAGTTGTAGTTCAGCAACATCTGGAGGGCCTGAGTTTGGGGAAGCTTGTTTTAGTTGATCAGCTGGGGGCGTAATCTGGTAGCGTCCTTAAATCTCTCCAGTTGATCAGCTGAAACGTTCAAGTGAGGGTCTTCTCTCACTGCTTCTCCTGTGAGAGATGCTTTAGAAGTTATCATTTTTTTATTAATAGGGGAGTCTCACAGCAGGAGGCATAAGAGCCTTTGGATAACCACTTCTCCTGTTTACTGTCTATAGAGGGTTAATAATAATTTGTTGCATTTCCTAGTTATGCACAGTTACATGCAGGGCTAAATGTTGCAGCACTTATTTTAAAATCAATGCAATTCGCCATTTACAGGTATATTCAAATATGAATAGTTGTGTATTCAAACTGAATTTGAGAATTTTTCACTGTTACATTTTTCAATTTCATCTGTTTAAGCCTAAAATTTCCTTTAAATAATTGCAGACAATTCACATTTCACGAATATCTCTGTCTTTGAACAAACTATGTTGTCTGCTTATCCCTGAATATCCTGAAAACCCACTTTTCTGCTCGGTTGGGGGAGTAATCAAACTGCTGTGTTCTAAAAAGAGATGTAAACATTGTAAAGGGGAGGATCACCAATGGAATATGCTTGCTGGTTCCATTGGTTTCCATGGTGATTGCCCAACCTTTAGTATTTTTTTTTTAGAACAAAAAAGTTTGAAATATTTCCTGCAAGAGTTTTCTTCCTCTTACAGTGTGGTTTAGCTGTTATTTCCTCTGGAGCAAATATATTGATTCTTAACAATGTAATCATAAATGTAGCTGATTCTACCATATACTGCAGTACAGTACAAGACATTTGATTACATCGAACAAAAAAGAAACGCAAAGCTTTTTACAAGTTTCAAATATCCAAATTGTAAAAGGCATGTTTGGAGGAGATTGTGGAGATTGCACCGGGCGATAACTTCGATAGGTGATTTTCTTAAATAAAGTAAACACCTGTGCTCTGCATAGTGCACCAGGTCATTCGATCTGGCCCCACGTTGCCCAAGTCTAGTGAACCTTGGATGGCCTCTGTCCGGCTGATCTGTCATCTCCTTGCTTTGTGTTCTCCGCAAGTCCTGCCCTGTAAGCCAGGGGCCCTGCTGCATATTTAATGCAGCCAGGGCAGCCATGCGAGGGGGAGTGGGTACCTTGCCAGAGGGGCGTGGGTCTGGTTTTCTGTTTTATCCTCCACCTCTGACAAACCACCTGCGGCATTTGGGAACCTGATCTCTGCTCTACCTCGCAGACATTCAGTGCCTGAAGCTCGCATGAATATTTCATGCCGTATTGTAAGGGACAGAGGAATCCCAGTAGACGTTTGCCAGAGCCGGCTGGCCAGGCAAATGTGTGTGTGTGTGTGTGTGTGTATCAGAACAGCGGGGGTTAACTTTGGTGTCCCGGATGTTTGCAAACTACATTTCCCATGATGCCCAGCCAACCTAGGCCCACCTATCATCGTGGGTAATATAACTCACCATGATCTGAGCTGTCAGGGACAGCCATTACTAGTCTAGAGCCATGGCTGCTTCGGCTCGTGATAGGGTTAATCTTGGCTATGCGCATGTATCCAGCTGTATTTGTAGTTAGATGATGTAATATACATTTATTTCCTTTCTCTCCCTCAGCCCAATAACAACAGACACACTGCCTGATTGGCCATTGGTCCTGACAGCCCCTAAATTTTAGAACACAGCTCATAAACTCAGATCTTTCAAAGAAACTAGCTTCGGGTTACTGTGGTTACAATCTCTTACTTTATCTGTTCATGCATTATATATACTTTCCCAAAAAATAATATGCAGGTCATTATGAGAACATGTTTGTTGGGGAGGTAATGAAAATCAGAAGTTGTAAAGGAATGAGAATCAGAAGATGTATTTTGGGGAAGGGAAAGGCGATCAGAGGTGGGGGGATTAAGGTCAGAAGGTAAAAAGTGGGGAGGGAGGGGAGGAAAGTTAGAAGGTGTAAGATGGGGGAGAGAATGGAGGTCAGAAGGTATAAGGTGGGGAGAATGAAGGGTGAGGGTCAGAGGGTGAAAGGTGGGGGAGAGGAAATGTAAGTGTGAAGGCATAAGGTTGGGGAATGAAGATGAGATGATGTAAGGTGGGAGGAATTAAGGATGCAAGTAACACGGTGTAAGGTTGGGGAATTAAGGTCAGGTGGGGGAAATGAAGGTCAGAAGGTGGGAGGTGGAGGAGGGAAGGATTAAGGTCAGAAGGTGTGAGGTGGAGGAGGGAAGGATGAAGGTCAGAAGGTGTGAGGTGGAGGAGGGAAGGATGAAGGTCAGAAGGTGTGAGGTGGAGGAGGGAAGGATGAAGGTCACAAGGTGTGAGGTGGAGGAGGGAAGGATGAAGGTCACAAGGTGAAGGAGGGAAGGATGAAGGTCAGAAGGTGTGAGGTGGAGGATGGAAGGATGAAGGTCACAAGGTGTGAGGTGGAGGAGGGAAGGATAAATGGTCAGAAGGTGTGAGGTGGAGGAGGGAAGGATGAAGGTCACAAGGTGTGAGGTGGAGGAGGGAAGGATAAATGGTCACAAGGTGTGAGGTGGAGGAGGGAAGGATGAAGGTCACAAGGTGTGAGGTGGAGGAGGGAAGGATGAAGGTCACAAGGTGTGAGGTGGAGGAGGGAAGGATGAAGGTCACAAGGTGTGAGGTGGAGGGAGGGAAGGATGAAGGTCACAAGGTGTGAGGTGGAGGAGGGAAGGATGAAGGTCACAAGGTGTGAGATGGAGGAGGGAAGGATGAAGGTCACAAGGTGTGAGGTGGAGGAGGGAAGGATGAAGGTCACAAGGTGTGAGGTGGAGGAGGGAAGGATGAAGGTCACAAGGTGTGAGGTGGAGGAGGGAAGGATGGAAAGTGTGAACATCATAATGTGACATGTAGAGAAAGTGTAAAGTTGGGGGTAACAAAGGCCATAAAGAGTAATTGAGGGTTGGATACAAAGGCCAGAACTTACAGAAAGATGCACGTCTAATGTGGGGAATCTGGGTGCAAAGGCAATGCTAGTGCAAGGTGGGGGATATTGTGCCGATGTCAGAACATGTAAGGTAGGATACAGGGTGCAAAGGTAAAAAATACTTTAGGAGATTATTAAGTATATGCCGAATAAGACGATACAACGTCCAGAAAGTGCACAAGGGTGAGTGACAACGTGCAAGTAAAGTGCAGTATAGTAAAAGTGTAATATGGACATGCTGAAGTGTAAAACCGAGGAGATTTTGGGAGAGTGGAAGTTGGGGTGGGGGCAGGGTGGGAAGGATAAGAAAGGCAGAGGGGGGGGGGGGTTTATGGTGGGAGACACAGGGCAGCCCAGCTAAACACAAAGTGATTATTTCTGAGAGCAGAATGCAGGAAGCCGTTGCTAGGGAACCAGGAAAAGAGACCTTGGTGTTTATTTTCAATGCTAGAGTCTAGGGCAGGGAGGTAAAGAAAGAGAGGGATTTTTTTTCTTTGCCGTTTTTGTAATGAAAAAGAGCCCGTTACCTTGTACATTACCTCAGGGATCAGGCCTGTATTGTAAAGACGTACAGCAACATGCAGTTACATCCAGTAGAGTGACTAACATCACACGGTATAACCAACATTATTAACAGAGACGTGTCTCACAGCTACAACATGCGTTTCAAATCTCACTATGGCATTTATTCGCTAAACTCGAAACTGTAAGAGAATAAATTTTTTATTTTTTTTTAAAGTAAAATAGATGAAAAAAATTGCTGACTTTTTTTTCTAGGTCTGCAATATTGGGTCACAACATTTTCCACAATTCCTGGTTTAATGGGAAAAAAAATAAATAAATATTAAAAATATATATATATATATATATATATATATATATATATATATATATATATATATATATATATATATATATATATATATATATATATATACACACACACACACACAAACTCCATGGATTCACTTGTTTGGCATATGGAATCAGGTGAAATAAGTCTTGGCCAGGGGTGGCCCCAGATGATGATGCAATAGCCATTTCGGCTACCACTGTCCAAGCCATTCAATGCCGAAGCTAAATGAAAATGAGAGCTTTAAGTTAAAGGAAGTTCCTGTAAGCCAATATATTACCCTGATTTTCTTGTAAATTTTATAAGAGGCACCATTTGCTTGTTGGTTACCGATTCTCAGACCCTTTAAACATTCCTTCATGTTGCTGATTGTAGGTGAACGGGCACAATGTGGATAATATGAAACATTCCGAGGTGGTGGCCAACATAAAGGCCAAGGAGAACGAGACAACGTTACTTGTGGTGGACCCAGAGACAGACGAGTACTTCAAGAAACTAGGTATCGTCCCTACAGAAGCCCACGTCAAAGGTGAGTGGATTCCTGCAACACTGGTGGCCTTTAAAAATGTTTAAAATGTTAAGAACAGTGAAGGAAATGTCAATAAGAACAAATAAGATGACAAAATCATGGGAGTAGGGTTGATGGTCCAAATCTAATTCTAAAATAATGTATTCAGTGGTAATGTCTAAAAACATTTTATAATGTTTGTTTAAAATTTGTTCTTCATTTTATTTATTTTTTTTAGGTTCCGTCCCGCAGTCCTTGAGCAATGGAATGACACAGGTCAGTATGTTATCATGTTTCTAGGTGTGCGTGTTTGTGGGTAACTGAAAAGGATAAAGTAAGAATGTGTAGAAAAGACTTTATCTGAGGATATACAAAAGTTTAACCAAAGCCAGATAAAATGCTACAAATTGACAATGGGAAAACACAGCTCCTGATAAACTATATCACTTTCCTTAGGTAATAAGATCACAGGCCATCTCCCTAGGCTCATAGATAGGTCTCTCTTTTATTTGTGTACCAGTGTGTCTATTTATATGTTGTACTTGATTACCTGTTTTTAATTCACCCATTGTACAAAGCACAGGAAAATAGAAATAAAATTAAAAATAATATTTCAAGCAACTGTTCTTTTCTAAAGTACCCTGCACCCTTATCTCCCTCCCCCATTTCAAAAAATGTTAATCCTGACCTTAAGATCTTAACTTGCTTATCTAATCTGGGTTTTAAAGCTTCCATGGTTAACAAATACTAGCCATTCCTTATAATTAAACCATGCACCCTGCTTTATCAAGACCTTTAATTTGCAAGGATGTACAAAAATCCTTTATTAGGTTTTCAGACATAGGATAAGGACTGTGATTGTTATTGGGTTTTATGTACTCCTAGTTTCAACAAACTGTAATTACAGATTTCCTAGTTTACGTGGCAGGTTATACTTACTGAACATGTATAGAATCTAGTGATCTGATGTTTCCTGTCTTTGTTTTACAGTTGAACGGAGGCTCCTCAACGTCTTCATCCCACAGTGATCTCCAAAGTCCAGACAAAGATTCACAGGTTAAAAGCCACTTATATGTACACTTTTCTGTGAATGATAATGTAAGCAGATTGAGAAGAGCCCACACCTCTTTCAGATAACTAACACGATAGTCAGTGTTCTATGTTGAAAAAGAAATTGAATGTAAGAGGTGCAACTCTCCTGGAAATCTTGTGGACACATTGGGCACACTCTATCACTCATCTGAACTTATAATTTAAGATGAAAAAGGACCTATTCGTTGGACAACCGTCTTGTTTTGGACCAATCTCAAACTGTCGCGGATAGATTCCTAAACCTGGACTTTTACGACGTAACACTTCTTTTCTAGAACACTCTGGTACAAGTCTGCAACTGTATACACTAGGGCGAACACGAAAATACATATTGAGGCCTATAGTAGACATACTTATTCAATTATACTATCTAGAGAAGAATGCCTACACAAGAAGAGGCAAAATATTACACTAGCTTTTTATGCAACCTATCTGCTAAATGCTGTTAAAAAAAATATGGTGTGGGTTTAGTTACTGTTAAAATGATAAGTTATTGAATGACAATGCTAACGTGTGCTGTTTCTCTCTGGTTAGGCTGGTGACCTGGGAAGGAAAGACCCCTTTGAAGAAAGTGGTTTAAGTCTGAGTCCTACAGCAGCTGAGGCCAAGGAGAAAGCACGGGCCAAGCGAGCCAACAAGCGAGCTCCTCAGATGGATTGGAGCAAGAAGCATGAAATTTTCAGTAACTTCTGATCGTCATCCACCGTCCAGATGGGAACTAACGTAGGACTTCTTCAAACCTTGTCCCACTGCAAACACAAAAAAAACAACTAAATTCTGCGGACTAACCAGAGCGCAAGCCACCGATCCAACCCAATAAGGAGAGGATGCGATCAAAGTTTAACCATTTCAGTTACGGCATTTCAAAGGATCTTTTGTTTTTCTTTTCTTACATCTTAACTTTTAGTGATGGACTTATCAGAGCCCCATTGGCCCCTTTGCTGGAATATAAGCGTCTTAAACGGGACTGACATGGGCTCTGCACAACTGATAAGCAATTTTTCCTCCACACCCAGATGACAGTGAAGTCAAAAGAAACTCTTAGAACACTGTGCAGACACTGAGTCTTAGTGATATTTCATCAAGCTTGATGAGAACTGTAGCCCAGCTGGAGGAGGAAGAGGGGGTTGGCCATCTCTAAAGATAATTGTAGGCAAAATAATCAGAATGTTGATCCTGCAAGGGAAAAGCACTGGAGAATATCTCAGCTAAGGGAAGTATGTATGGCCAAGTACTTGTAGAGATTTGAGAGGAGGGGGTGCCTGAGCAGTTCTCCATCCCAACTATAAAAAGTGCCCCCCACCCCTCCTAACATCTGCAGGAGTTTCTCTGTTTATAAAAGAACTTCCTTATCCTGTCCTGTGGTTCGATCAAGACTTGGGAAGCTTTACTTCCCCATGCTGCGGACACTTTTCATTGTTAGTATTGAAGTTCTCAGGACTGGAGCTTGGTTTTGCAATTAACCAGGATCACCTCTGCGTAAACCTCAAAAAACAAAATGATCATGTTATCATGTTACCCCAATACCTGCGGTAATCAACCCAGTAGGCTATTTCCACCCCAAGCGGGCAAACGGAAAGGCTGAAATTTTTCCTGCAGAAACATAACAATGATAATGTTGCATCTTTATAAAAATATATATCAATGTAAGTATTAAGCAATTAAGGCCTCCACGACAACACACGAGAAAATGTATTTCATAGACCGGAATATCATTTTGTCATCAACAATTTTTTTTTTTTAAAAACACTTTTAATATGAAGCCCCATCTATTTAAGCAAATCAAAATGGTTTCAATACCGTAATGCGTCACTACGTACAAATGTCTTGATTGTAGAGCTTCTGCGGTGATGTCCAATATTTTGTCCATAATAATGCAAATTGAAAGTTTATTGCAATTCCTCTTACATCTATTATGTTGAGCTTACAGGGAAGACAGATTGTGTGTTCCTCGCATGGAGAAAAAAAGTCTAGCACGTCAAATAGTCCCTCAAGGGATGGGCATTCTTTAACAAAGCCAGAACCGCTGGCTTTTGCCTTGTCAACTGATGTGCAGATGGTTTTAGTTAAAGAGAATTATAATGGATGCACTCAGACTAGAGAGAGTCACAATCTGCCCTCAAGCTTTGGGATAAATACCCATTCTGTGCCTAGCTGTGCCCACCCTTTCCCTGGTGTGACATGGATCTCACAAAACATTCAGTCATTTCAGAGAGAGAGCAAGAGACTTCCATTTGCATAATGATGCATAAGGAAGGCATATAAAGCCACTGATTTAATAAATGGATGCATTCAACATGCCCTCTTGTATAACTGGAGACAAGTCACAGTTCTGGTTGTTTTTGTAAAATGTCAATAATAGGATAACCTGCATTATTTTTCTAGAATTGGCAGGGGGAAAGGAGGGGTGGCGGGGGTTACAAAGTCTTTACTGCTGTAGTCCGAAAGCAGCTGTGTCAATTTTTCGAAACGTGCTGGAAAGAAGGTCCCGTACATATACAGAGGATTGGTAACGGGAGAGGTAGCCTTAGTCCATGGCGTTAAACGATATTCTCTTTACTTTAAGAACAAGTTAATCAAGGGGATCATTTACTAAACAGTGGGTTGCAGTTAGTTTACTGCCAAGATGAAAAATCTGAAATTAAAATTAATTAGTTCACCCCCCCCCAATGAATAATTTTGTCCTACATATTGCACCGTGGTTACGAAATGAAAAGCTGGTTTATTAAAACTCCTCCCAACCACAGGCTAAAATATTCCGTTAGATAAAGTTCATCCACTGAGATGTCAAAAGCTGCAATCTCATATTATGAGGTTTACCCTGTACTTGTTCCAAAAACACTCTTTTTAATCACTACAGGGAGATTAGATTGTTGCTGGCCAAAGAAAATATATTTTCGCTGTAATCCCTTTCTCAAAAAAAACAAACAACCCTGTCCCCTCGCCCCCACAAACGAAATTTGGAATACTCATGTAAGATTAAAATCAGCAGGATTCTGGTATAATGAGCATTGGATGCCCTCTAGTGGACAACCGTCTGTACTGAATCTCTAGAGCCTATTGAAATACTAACCCTTATTCCAAAATAATCTTACATTTAAACCTCTCACATTCAAATAGAGACCCTGCATCTCATGTTGACTGTAGTTTTAAACTTGTACAGTAACTGCTGAGATTTGCACACAACCCAAAAGCGATATAGCAGTTAGCTGTGTGTTGTGCCTATATTTTCTTAACATTCTCAGTAGGTTATGTTGGGGATCCTATGTAAGTTAACTCCTGCAGTCCCATAAGTGGGTGCATGTGCTCATATTGGTATTTCTGTTTGGGTCTCGGAGAGGGAATGAGCATGTTCAAGGCATCACATGGCTGCAAGGTCATCTAGAGCTTGTACTTCCACAAAACCACTCTCCACAATAAACAGTTCAATGGTCATGGTCAGTTGATTTTTGTAAAGAACACAAGTTGAGTAACAGTTTAGTGAGCTTTGTTGAATCAAGCAGAATTTGTATGACGTTTCAGCGTTCCAGTATAAAGAGACACTGTAGGGACTGTATCTGCTTCATCTCATTAAACTGGTTATAGTATCTGGAGTCCCCTGGTGCCATAATTTCGTTCAGCATTAAACAGTTCTTAATGTTATGTTTCAATGCTAAATGAGAGTCCCCGGCTGCCCATCCGCTGCTTTGGCTAATGAGTAAGTATTAGCATGAGCAGAAAAAGGCAGCTGTGAGTAGCAGCTGACTGCTTTTAGCCTATCAGAGCTCCAACAGACTGTATTAAGAGTATGGCTACAAGGAAGTGTGTAATGTCTGCCTTAGCCACACCTTCAGAAGGGGCCAGACTGTGGGTGTCCAGGAAATCTAATTGCTCTAACCTGGTTTAAAACTGAATGGAGGGGCAGTACCAGGGGGCTGCAGACACTATAACCAATTCAATGAGATTAATGGCTATAGTGACTACAGTGTCCCTTTAAGAATATGTGTACCTACTAAAAAATAACCACGGCAGTTTCCCTATTTAAATTTACATCTTCCATCATCTTTTTTTCATAGGAACCCTGGCTAGGCTAATGTGGCCTGAAAGGCACAGGGCTGGGTAGATAGAAGATAGTTTTAGAACGTTGTACAAACATAATGTAGTTTGGGTAAAAGTGAATGATATGCCAATAAGAACATTTATCGTTTGGAAAGGAGCAGTTGGAACAGTAGGCCCAGTAGTGAAAGAGTTAAAACGACTGAACCTTCTTATGTCCAAGGAGTAGGTTGGTGGGATTTGTGAGTCCTGGTCCACTAAATTATGTAGAATTAAAATGGATATGATTCATATTGGCATTTTAAGGCAGGCTGTGCATCTTGGGAAATGTGTCTCAGAAAGATCTGAGTTACAAAACTAAATCCGTGAACATAGAAAGACTATTGTAATGCAGAAGATATAATGTAAGGTTATGAACATTCCGTAAAAAGCTTATTATAATTGAATAGGCAGTGAAATGGTGTATGCTTCTACGTGCAAGATTTTTTTTTTTTTTGCTTTTTACTGTTTAGTAAACGTACGCTTGTGAGCTTGTTAAATAAAAGTGAGACTTTTAGTGATATACTGGAGGTTATGGAAGAACATCATTCTGTGAGAAAGTCCACCATCTACTATATGCTCCTGGACCAGGCTTGGCCAATTGATGGGATTCGTAGTTCAGGCACAAAACTATAATTTGTCTACTTGGCGGCATCTGGAGTTGAATTATTTAAAACAAGTATATATATATTAATGTGTTCACATTCATATTTGTTTAACCCTGGTGGACGCCAGTAACTGGTTTATTGGAATCATGTGATATTCCTGAAATCTGTGTTTCACCGAAGACGTATTTAGCAAATTAAACAATAACAACGACAAGAAAAAATCTGAAAACCTCATATAGTGAGGAGTTAGAGGAATCGAAATGTTGATGAATGTAAGCGGAGTGGCATAATTGTATATTATCAATGTTGACAAAACAAATTTGTATTCTACAAGAGACTTGAACTGACCAGTGGGACTGTGCTCTAAGTGAGCCAACATGGCTGAAGAAGGTCATGTGATCTGTGGCACTCTGCGGGATAAGAGACCTAAGGATGCTTGTAGGCAAAAGATCGTCTTCAATATAGACTAGCTGCTGCCCCCTGGTGGTAGTATGGAGACTGAGATATCTTAAAAGACTGCTTCTATTGAAAGAAGTATATTCTGATTAACTGACCGAATATGGCCATAACACTGCCTTATATGTAGCTCTGTTTGGAATCAACATATTTTTGTACTTGTAAACCTAAAATTGTATAAGGCACACATATGAGAACAGTTATATATGACACACACAACATACAGTGTAAACTGCAATGTGCTTAATAAACAGCTTTCAAAGTAGGTGTGTTTTCTGACCCAAATTTGCAATTGTATTGTCATCGGACAAGAATGAAAAAAAATGCTTACATTTAGAGGTTACAATTAAGTAATTCAGGTATTGTGAATAATTAACATGGGAATTTCAATTAGGAGTAGAGTACGGTATATGTATGACAATTTTAAACGACCAATTTTTGTTTCCATGCGTAATCCCCAAGTTTAACGAACAAGTACTGACACTAATTAATTTGAGTGTATCTACATTCATATACCATGTAACATACAGCAATAGCAGTCCTTTTTATAATTGGCCCTCGCTGAAAGGGCTGATCCTACCACCATAACAACTTCATTTTCTGTTTCAAGCAGAAATGCTGCACATACTGAGACATTGGCACCAATGTGCCGGTTGATAGTTGCACCCCTGGCACATGTGACTTTGGCAGCCTAGATCTTGGTTCAACTCTGTGCAAGGGGAAGCCTACATGTCCCCTCTCTCCCTTCTTAACTACCCAATCAGCTTAATTTTTTTGATTATTACTATACTTATTATTACTACTCGCCTCATGCAAATCCATTTCTAATACAGAGAGAACTCTTTTGCATGAAGCAGTATAGTGATATCAGTTGGTACACCTGTATATCTTTTAGCTATATATTTGCTGCAAATCAGCTACACAAGAATGTATCATGTTTAAGTTCTTTCACAATCAGATAATCTAATCAAATGTATTTCTTGCTAATCAAATCTTTCATAATCAACTTGTAACACATTATTTAGGAACACATAGTGACCTGTTATTTACAGATTAATTAAATATTTATGTATATATATTGGGAAAGAGAGAAATTCAAAACTTGTTTTAATTTAAAAAAAAGTTTTTATTGAAAAATATAAACTATAGCTAAGGTACAGATGGAGAGTCTCTCCAAAATGGCTGATGACAGCATTTAACCTCTTCATTGCCACGTGTAATTTTTGGAAAATCCTGGTTATTAAGGTTTAACAGTTCCGCTGTACTCCTTTTCTTCCCAATCAGTTGTGGTCCTCGGTTGGCTTCACTTTTTCTTTGCTCCCGGGCAGATGTCCTTATTAAGGCAGTTGGTACATTGAGGGGATGTAGGTTGGCAGACCTGCTGGCCGAATCCAACTAATAACCAGTTAATCTCACTCCAAAGATCCCTGCAGAAACAGTACAAGCACGAGAGTGGTGCAGAGCAAGTTAAGACTTATCTTGTTTATGAAATAAAACGCTCTTGTAAAAAGATCTCATTACAAATTTTCTTTTTTTTTTTTTTGTGTAAAAAATATATAACTGTGATACATGTATTATGGAAACATAATGTTATAAAAGGGACACTATAAGCACCCAGACCACTTCATTTCAATGAAGTGGTCTAGGTGGCAGGTTCCTCTCCTTTTAACCCTGCAATGTAAAACTTACATTGCAGGGTTTAATAATAGCGGAATGAAACTCGGCTATTTCAATCAGATGGTCTGATCGTGCATGCGCACTAGCGTCCTAAAGATTGTTGATCTCAGTCAAGGAGGCAGGGGCCACCTGCAGGGAAAGCAGTGCGGCATCGATAAAAAGGCTAGTAATCTACCTTCTTTACCGTCGGGTGGGGTGGGGGTGGTCCAAACAACATACATCTGTATTCTTCATGCTATAGTGTTCTTTTAAATTGTTCTGGAGATGGTATAATAAATCACGAGATAGAAGCCTGAGCGGTTTATAAATGTCTCCAGAACTGCAATGTGGCCTCATTCCTTTCCCCATACATGCTTTGCCCCATGTAACATCTATATTTTAGGAACCAACAGATGCTCACCTGGGCATCCAGTCTTCCAGAGCCATACGCGTCTCTTCAGGGGTCTTCGTTTCTTTCTTCACCCATCTAAGCCGATTTGAAATACGATGGACATGTACGTCAACCCCTGCAGAAAAAATGTGACTGTTTTGTTCTGTTTGCACAACAGACACCTTCCCATTTCCCCACTGGGTAGTAAGGTATCCCACAGATAATACCAAGGGTTTAGAAATTGTAAATTCAAAGCAATAAAGGCTTACTCCAAGCACATCACCAATTCAGTGATTTCAAGTGGTCATGGTGCCTGGAGTTTGTATGTGCAGGATAGTGTTTCGCCTCCAAATGCTGCACATACCTAGTAGAACTCTTTGGCTGCTGGAGGTGTAATCACACCTCCGCTAGTGTCATTCCTATATCTGCAAGTGATGTTGATCATTTGACCCTAAGCCGTGTCCTACACACCATGACATGTTTTAGCCAAACCTATTGACTTTCTACATCTGCGGCAGGTCCAGTTATTCCCACGTCAAGGCAGTACGTGTTAAGACCATGCCCCAAAAGCCATATGCAATAACCTCTATATTACAGGTATGGTAGCGAGGTCCCTGTGAATGGCTCTAAACCTACTAGGATAAACCTAGAGACACGCACCTATTCCAGATACATTATTCCATGCTATGTCCATCACCAGGTGTGCCATTTTGGGTCCCACGCCGGGGAGTTTCACTAGCTCGGGTACATTGTCAGGGATATCCCCGCCGTACTTCTCCTGGAGGATCAACGTTGTTTGTCTGATGTTTTTTACTTTGTTCTGAAATATGACAACAAAACAGTTAATCTGGTGCCATCTTTCATTAGATTACACCCATCTCACCAAAATAATGGAACTTTATTAATATATTTATACATTTCCAAGCATAAAAAAAACTATATCTATCCATAATAACATGAGTTGTTTAAAAAAAAAAAAAAAAAAGTTAGTAGAAAAAGTAGGGCACAGTTCTAAACTTGAAGCAATTACCATGGAAACCAATGGAATCCGCAAGAATATTCTGTAGGTTTCCAAGGCGATTGTTCCACTTTCCTGCTTTCCACTTCTTTCCTCGATTTCTGAGGAATATACGATTTATAAGCACAATAAATTTAATATATAGCAATTACTTAAAGGGATCCTATAGTGCCAGGAAAACAAACCCGTTTTCCTGGCACTCTAGGGTTAATATGTCCCCCCCCGGCACTGGTGACCTCTTCTCTCCTGCCGACATCAGCTCCAGAGTGGAGCCGAACGCGCATGCGCGGCCAGAGGTGCGCGCATTCAAACCCGCCCATAGGAAATCATTACTCAATGCTTTCCTATGGGGATCTTATTTGATGCTGGACTCCGTAAGGGCATCCAGCGTGATTTCAGTGAGATTTACTCACTGAGAATCGCGGAAGCACCTTTAGGGGCTGTCAGTGAGACAGCCACGAGGGGCTGGATTAACCCTGCAGTGTAAACATAGCACTTTCTCTGAAACAGCTATGTTTTCAACTGCAGGGTTAAAACTGGGGGGAAACAGATAACCAACAAATGTATCACCAAAAGGTGAAGAACACAAATAGTAAAATATTTTACAATGAGTAGTACTTAACTTTTGATCACGAATAACAGCCTCCCTAGGACGTTAGCCAGAAGCGACCTATATCATATATAGAAATCCACAACAAACAGTTCGGGATATGGCTGTGTAAATCTACAGAGAAGACATAAAATAACACATAGTGTGATATTGTAACTTCACAATTTCGTTATGCGTCTACATCTAGTGAGTGCAAATATTGTTGCGCATAACGAAATTGTGTTGTTACAATACCACACTATGTTTTATTTTATGTCTTCTGTGTAGATTTACACAGCCATATCCCGAACTGTTTGTTGTGGTTTTCTTAAAACTGGGGGGAACTGGCACTCAGACCACTTGATGGAGCTGAAGTGGTCTGGGTGCCTATAGTGGTCCTTTAAGCGTTATAAAGAAAATACAAACACAGAAAAATAAAGTTGTGCGCTTAAACTCCCTCTACTCTAGGGCAGCGGCAATGGCTATAGTATTCACCAACCCAAATACATAGAACTGAAACAAAGTGTGTAGGGGGTTCATAAAAATACCCCGTACTGTTTAATTTGAGGTTTGTACCTTTTAGTATAAAGCAGCAAGGTGAATTGTTAGAGCGACTCAACTAAAAAAAAGGTTTTGCCTTGTCATGGCAGGTGAGCTTACACTTAACCCCTTAAGTACCAAACTTCTGGAATAAAAGGGAATCATGACATGTCACACATGTCATGTTTCCTTAAGGGGTTAAAGGGACACTGTAGTCACCGGAACTACTACAGCTTAATGTAGTTATTCGGGTGTCTTTACCCTCTCCCTGCAGACTTTTCAATGTAAACGCACATTACTGCCTGGGTACACCTCTAGTGGCAGCCACTCAGACAGTGTGCAGCACTGACGTTCAACGTCTCCAAGCTCTGCATAGAGGCGCTGAACGTTCCCATAGAGATGCATTTATTCGATGCATCTCTACAAGGAGATGCTCATTGGCCCAGCGCTGCATTTTGCGGCACATGCACAATAGCCTTTCAATGCTTTTATATGAGAAAGTATTGGATTGACTGAGATCATCAAGACTGATGATCTCCGCCATGGAGGCGGGGCCAAACGCAGTGAACCCAGGGTGGGAGAAAAGATTAGTAAATTCACCTTTTGTCTCCACTGAGAGGGGGGCCGGTTGACTAAACATTTATTCCAGCACTATAGTTTAAAAAAACAAAAAAAACTCCAGTTATTATGATGTGAATAGGGATTTGGGAGAGTGACTCTTTTTGTTTTCGGTTATTATGCAAATACTTACTCCTCCATCTGCTATCTTGTTGCCACCATGATGCCGGTGATGTTTTTATTTTCATTTTTGTATTTTTTTGCAGTGCATAGAAGTGAATACATTTTGGCTCGAGGTACCCCAACGGCAGTCCTCTAGTAACTTTTCAAGCATAGCATTTGAGGTAAAGGAGTAAACATGCACATTTTTTGATAATATCTTGGTTAACAGGTATCTGCATAGTAAGTCTAAACATGGTAGATGATGTGAATTTCTTCACTGCTTAGATTTAAATTTAACCACCAGGGGGCAGCGAGTCTCTGGGTTAGCTGGATAAACAGACAGGTAGGCATAATCATATTTGATGGTTTGCATGTGGGTCTGCAGAATAGGATCAACTGTAATAATTCTAGACATTCTAGTGATGAACGTGGCGGCCATCTTGGATTTCGCCATGCGGTCTCTGGTTGATCGGTTCGCCGCTCAAGCATCATGGGTGGTCACTGCTTCCCCGGTGGGGTCCGGGATAAACCCCCCGGCCCACGGGGGGGGGGGAGAACGGGGCCCTCGGTAGGCGTGTGAGAGGTCCTGCCGGACTAAGCACGGGAGACCGGCCGCATCTCCCGCCAGAGCCTCGCGACAGGCCGCAATCCCAGCTGCCCAGTAGTCTGCATCACCGGTAGGACGGGGGTCAGTATGTACGGCAAGAGTTGTGCTCGGTCCCCTTTGCTTTCTAGTTGCATGGTGTATGTTTTTTTCTGGGGGGGTAGAGTATTTTAGAGCTTGGTATTAGGATTTCATGGAGGAGCCGAGGTGCCCCACGTCCATCCAGCTCGGCGGTCAGGCCCCGCCCCCGCTGGTGATGTTTTTTACGGTCACAAAACCCAAAATAGGATTTATCAGGAATTCAAATTTTAGGCCAAAATAGATTAACTCTCTGGACTTGGCCTAAAATTTTAAATTCACTTTGAATTCCTGACTTTTCTATTAACACATTTATAAATCTTCTCCATTGTCTAAGTACTTTTTTCCTTTTCCGAAAATCAGCTCTGCTCTTTATCACATCTAATTATTAGGTAATCCATTACTTCAAAACTGTTAATCACTGTTGTGTCAAACACTGTGCTCCTGTGATTAACGCAGGAAGTGATGTCACAGATGTCATAGATTATAAACATCTGTAGCCCGCAATTGAAGTTAACCTACAAACCCCGTAATTCTCTCCAGGCCAATGGCTGTCTGGGAATCATGGGAGTCGTGGCTCAACAGTTTGCAAAGTTAGAAAGCTACTCCTGACAACTAACAGGGTTAATCACCAAAGTGAGAATTCAAAGTGAATTTCAAATTTAAGGTCAAAATAGCCAAAATGTGAAACATTAACTAAATTAGCTATGCTTTCCGTTTGGCCTTAACTTTGAAATTAACCTTTAATTCACTTTAGTAAATAACCCTCTTAGTGAACTCTCTACCATACTTGTACACACATGCATTTCAGCTGGCGAGTGCATAAAGTGGCTTTTAACCTACGCTCGAACAAACTGATCCCCCTGGGATTTAACTGTGTATTTGGGGAGATCGGTTAGTTCAGGTGTAAATTAAAAGGCATTCTTTGATATTTGAGTGACGGACTCTCACAAAAATGCTTAGAGGGCACGCTGACCCTATTAACAGTTCGGCCATAAAACTCTGTACAGATGTGTGTGTTTATCCCTGTGAAGGGGGCATTCACTCACACACACGATAGGAAGTCAGAATATTCCTGAGTCGCACTGACCTTCCAGAAACCCACGGGGTAAATAAGCTTTCCGAGGGTGTCATCGTCCGTCTCCAGGATCTTGTTTACTGTCAAGCCGTGTTCCCGCAATCTGCACATGGCCGCGGATGTTACCTGATCCCTCGTCTGGCTGGATAGCATAAGGGACAGCAATACTTGATAGCGCTTGACCTGGCAGACAGAAACACTTTAAACAGGCATTGGGCAAAAAATGCACTCTTAAAGGGACATGGGGCAAACGTGGCAGGTCTGTTAGTAAACACCACTATTTGCCATAACACACCAAATAGCTTTGGCCTTAGTAATCAGTGGATCACCGACGTGTTTCTGAACACATACTGCATCTGTAACCCAGCATTGCAGACATGCTGCGATTTTACTGCCCTTCCAGATAAACGTCAACCACATCAATAAATAGCAAACATGGAATCTTCAAAAAGACCTGTACCAAATAAAAGATCCCATCACAGAGACCTCCTGGTGCTGGGGGCATAGGACAGAAAGCATGTGTGCGGCAGACAGATCTTCCCTTTACAGTGGAAACATTTGTGGTTAATCTGAGAATCAAAGAGAACGGGGAAAGGAATTGTATCGGCCTAGATAGTCAAGCTGCAAAAACAGCTTTGTAGGAGAGCTTTAACAACGTAACTATTCTGACCTAAATTTGCAATTTGTAAATATACAAAAGTGTTCTGTGCAAAAAAATTTATAAAAAAAGGCTGGTATCTCTCACACCCAACCCAATATCATCCAAGACAGGTAACAGGCTTGGGGGAAAACAAAATCCACCAACAGCTTCTATAGTGGAAAATATACACTTACCCCTGTGTAGACACTGAGATATATAAATCCAGTGCTGCAATAAGGGGAAAAGCAATATAGTGTATATACCAAATGGAAATGGGGTGTGTATAATGAATATTAGATGAACTCACATGGTTTACAGCCAAATAGGATCGGCTCAAATCCCAACAGCAAGAGTGCACTATGGTGACACCATCCCTCGTCTGATGTCCAGTGAGGTATACTCAAATAAAAAGTAGAAAGAAGCAACAGCTCCTAGTGCAGGGGTAGGCAACCTTCAGCACTCCAGATGTTGTGAACTACATCCGCCATAATTCTCTTACACCCATAAAGCTAGCAAAGCATCATGGGAGGTGTAGTCCAAAATATCTAGAGTGCCGAAGGTGGCCTATGCCTATAGTCCAATAATAGGCGTATATCTAGAATATACAGATGACTGCTCACCTTATTCAGAGTCTAAGGTACCTGGCTCTGGGTGTGTAAGCTGATGTGCCAGTGAAGGGGGAACAGCCCTTCTTAGGAGGCAGATGAACAGTGAGGCCAAAAGGACTATATATATCCAAATAAAAACTTATCAATTTATCACAACTAGTGCTCGGCGTAGATGTTCACAGGTGTTTTGCCAAACACATAGGCTTTCTCAGTCGGAATGACGTCATGACTTGGGTTTTTGGGGGTTGTAGTTCTGTTGTTAAGCTTCTATAGTAGAAAGTAGATCATTAAACTACAAGTTCCCCAAAAAACATGTTGTGCTCATGAAGCATTGCTTACAGAGTAATCCCAGAAGTGTTAGAGAGAGTTTAAGCGGCACCGTCATGGCCGAATCAAGTTTTTTTTTTAACCCCCCTCCTGACTCCACTACATCTAATTGTCCCCCTAGCCACCCTCAAATGCCCCTAAGCCCCCCATATTACCTAGTTTTTAATCTTTATTTTGTGTCTGGACCTAGGTCCTGGGTGCTGCCATCTTTGTGTGGGTAGATGACGTCCCTGTGGGACACGTCATCTGCCAACACTAGATAGCGCTGTTAAATTCCTGTGCATGCCCAGCTTGGGCATTCAAATGGGACCTTTGTCTATTTATTCATTCGTCAGAAAGACGAAGGAATGAATAGAAATGTCACACGAACAAAGACCGAATATCTGTGTTAGTTTGTTAGTTCAGTTTATTACAAGGAGGGAGCTGCCGGCTCGCAGCTCCATCCTTGTAATATGTAAAGATGGAAGCGGCAGGAAGCAGTGCTCCCCGCCACTTCCTAAGCCCCCCATGTCCTCACTTACTCTATGGGGGTCAATATAACCGCCCCTATATTAGCATAAGGGAGATTGGAATCTCCTGAATGCCCCTACTCGCTATGCCGCGAGTAGGGGCATGTCTACTAAACAGTGGGCAGCCTGTGGCTGCTCACTGTTTTACCCCCCTCCCTTCCAACAAGTAGCCCCATGGTGGGGCATCTATTAACTAGCGGGGGGGGACATAGTGTCCGCCCCAGTGCCCCGCGAGTGGGGGCTATGCAAATAAACGGGGGACAAAGGGTCCCCCTTGGCCCCCAGCCATGAGCGGAGGGTGAGGGCCATAAAAGATTGGGGGGAACCTATTGTCCCCCCCTGCCTCCACCCATGAGCGGCAGGTGGGGGCCCTAAATGTCAAAATACTCCATCCCCCAGGTGACTAGGGGTCCCCAAGCCCCCAAAACACTTCGTCTATTCACTGGTTTTGGAGGGGGGGGGGGGTTTGTTTTGTGTTTTATTCTTTGTGGTTTAGTGTGATCCTAAAGTGATTTTAAGTAATACAATAAAGTATTTTTTTAATTCACGGACTTTCCCATTTCTCTGTACTACCCTTAATAGACGGGTTTCCTATGTAATTGTACTAATAAAATAGATTAGCCCCTTTTTACTAGGGAAGTCTGATGGTGTGTCGCTTTTTTTGGTGACAATAGTGACATTTAACCAATCTTGTCACTTTATTAAAGTCTGTGGTTTTACAGAAGAAGGGGATCTCCAGCCGCCCAAGATGTATCTCTCAGCATTTTAACAGACAAATGCGGGACTCAAGGAAAGGCACCTCAATCACAGGGCAGCGACATTGATTTTAATGTTGAGGAAATAAATGAAACGTTACAATTAGGGAGCTGGTTATTTATATAATTTAACTGGAGCGCCATTTTTCCATCCCAGCTATGTGTTCCAAAAAACCTGTTGGGAGGTACATAAATAGCGCTCCCCAGCAGGAAAAAACATTATTATATACTCCCAGAGCCCATGCAAGCCGCCGATTTGTGTCCTATGGCAGGATAGGAATGCTACATACAGCTGGGCAGCACAATTCATGTAACGTTCAACAGCATGTATACAGATGTGCAGGAAACCATAGCAAAGATGGCAGCAATATTGGTCCACATTTTTGGACCCTAAACACCACATAGACGAAACTACAGTTGGCCAAAACAAACATTTCTCAAACCAATTTTTTTTTCCCACTGTGCGCAAGTCTAGACTTTACCATCCACCCATTTTAATGCATTAAAAAAGATGTACTCACTCCAAATATCCCTTTACTGTAGCATTATTACTCATTATGGTTTTACGTTTTTTTTTCACAGGTGTAGTGGTGGTAAAAGGGATTTTACCCTCCTTCATAGGTGAAGCATACTTGATCATCTTCAACTTAACAAGGGTGCTTTATGAAAGTGCCAATTTCTAAATTTCAATTGGAATGTAAATTGAAAAAAAAAAGCACACACACTTCACACATATAGCAATTCAGAATGCTAGTGATTGAAGGGGCTTGAATGTGTGTCCCTTTAAAATGACACTATAGGCACCAAAACAACTTTAGCTTAATAAGGCAGTTCTGTTGTATAGATCATGCCCCTGCAGTCTCACTGTTCAATTCTCTGCCATTTAGGAATGAAAACACTTTTGCTTCTGTCCTTGCAGCTCTAGCCACACCTCCTCCGGCTGCGACGGACACAAAGTGCATGAAAAAAAATGGTTTCATTTTCATATACATGTTAACTTGCTTTAGACGTTTTTATCTCTGTGTCTGCTGACTCTATCTTTCTGTCTCCTGAGATGACTGTTTTTGGCGTTGGAACCGAGAGATTTTATTTCCTTTGTATACATGTCATTGCCATAGAAACCATTACCTCCGGAGCAGCGCTTTGGTCAAAACATTTCCCTGCTCCCATCTGATCTACGGGGGCATCCCTTGCGATCCTCATTTGTCGGATATTCTCCAAGTGCTGACGCCAGTTGGATGGCTCCCATTTAAGCTTTTTATCTGTATTTCCCCCAGTTTTCTCATATTCGACCTGCACCCGCCTTTTCGCCCTGGGTTCCCCACCAGAGTTTTTATCATTATTGCCACCTGCAAATCAAGAAATAACCCTATCAGCGCCAGGTGGAGTCATGCTGCTGTTTCCTTCACCATTTTAACCTCATTTTAAAGCAAATCCATACAAGTCACTAGAAGCATTCCCAAGAAAACCATTAACTTCTCTGTCACCAATCCTGTTTTCCCCATGGCCTATTACGGTATTTACCAGTCCTAGTACGGCAGAGTTCTAACGGTGTAGAAACCTTTTAAAGAAACACTTCAACTACCATAACCACTACATTCACGTGTTCCTTTAAAATGTTGTGAATCAATGGGAATTGTAGTTCACAACAGCCAAGAGTTAGCCATCACTGGCATAGGAATTATTTTTCAACTAATACCTTGTTGCCCATTCTGCAATTAAAGAGTCTCATTCCTCAATTAAATAGTGAACAATTGTTCATTTTAAACATAGCCGCCATCAGGGCATGACAACCATGATGGTTGTCATGGGCCCGGCGGTCCTGGGGTGCCCGGGCCACACATTACCTATGTGCACACACACACATATATATATATATATATATATATCTCAATTAACGCTATATATCTCAATTAACTCCATCTTTACTTCCCAACTGCTCTGTCTAGGTGTCGTGAGTCGCGCAGAGCGTTGCCATGGTAACCCATGGCAATGCTCTGATGACCACGGCACTCATGAGATTTAGAGCAGAGCTTTGCTCTAAATCTCGCGAGTGCTGCGGTTATAACACTTAGTTTAAAGGATCATATATCCTGGCACTATATAGTCCTTAGGTCCCCACCACAATCAGGGCCCTCGTCCCGCTGGCTGAAGGGGTTAAAATCCCTTCAGCCACTTACCATAATCCAGGGCCGGAATGCTGCTCGCACATTCAATCCGCCCATAGAGTAATGCTTTCCTATGGACGTTCTGCGTTCTCAATGCGATTTTCGCATTGAGCATTGCAGAAGCACCTAGTATAGACAGCCACTAGAGGCTGGATTAACCCTGCAGTGTGTAAACATAGCAGTTTCTCTGAAACTTCTATGTTTACAGCTGCAGGGTTAAAACCTGAGGGATCTGGCACCCAGACCACTTCATTGAGCTGATGTGGTCTGGGTGACTATAGTGGTCCTTTAACGTTTGTACCTGCTAATGTTAATCTTCTCTTATACTTAAAAATGTGCCTGATTTCTCTAATGCTCCTAATGATGCATGACAATATGCTTGTGGACTGCTATTGGGGCACCACGAGCTTGTATGTTACGATCATTATGCACAACAAAAATGTAAAATAAAAAAAAATAAAGTCTGTAAAACAAAAACAGATCTTACACTTTCATAGCATTTGGTTTTAAATCCCATGCGTTCATTAATACCCAATAGGATTTGAATTCAGCATACAACACGCCAGCACTTTTTAACTGCTGCCCATCGATATATAGAAGTGATCGTGATATCTGTGGTTAGGGAACAGGCCATCCGTACCTGTGCATAATCGAGAGTTCTAAATGTACAATCACCATGGAAACCATTAGAACTCTGCACCACAACAGCTCTCTATTCAGAACCCTGGTTAATCCTTTTATCCTTAGCTGCCTCAGCTGGGATTTCCAGATCCACCAAGTTCTCTGGCAGACATTTCACCCCCAGCAGGGTTATTTACCAAAGAAAGAATTCAAAGTGAATTTTAAATTCAAGGTCAGAATAGTCAAACTGGAAAAATTCTCTAAGTCAGCTTTTCTTTCAGCTCAGCTACTTTGGCCTCTTAAATCTGAATTTCACTTTGAATTCTCACTTTGTGTATGTATTGCTGCATAATGCATGGACAGTGTGTAGGATTCATGTGCTGCAGGAGGGGAATGAATTCATGAATCAATGAGGAATAGAACAGGGACAGCCTTAATGCTGAATATGGCAGATCAGCCCTTTTCAAGCCCTGCCCATCAGCATGAAGAAGTGATCTGAGTCCAGGAAGCCCAGGGTTATGCAAAAAATAGATCACCAGCTGCTGCAGTGCTACAAATCCTAGGGATGCATTGGCATGCCAAGCACTGGCAAAGCATCATGGGAGTTGTAGTTCTGCCATAGCTCCTTGCCTTCACATCCTCACCAGGCTGCTGTGCTATGTGCCCACTCTGCTCCTTGCCCCTGGCTCCTTCCAGCACCCTGTTCCTCGCACTCCTTCGCACGGCGCTCCGAGCTGCACTCATCGCCCCCCCTCTGCACAGCCAAACAGGGCTGCGAACTACAACTCCCGGGATGCTCCGCGCACTGCGACTTCCGGGTTGCTGTTTGTGTAGCTGCGGAGAAAGTGGGCGTGTTTGTGGATGGTCAGTGGGCGGGGTTATCAGGCCCAGAAGCCGAGGCCTCCATTAGAGAGCGGTCCCTGCAGGCGGTGGGGAGGGAGAGGGACAAGGTGAGGGTCAGACTGGCTGTCAGGGGACCAACCTGGCTCTGAGAGTACAGGGGCATCATGGAAATACACAGCAAGTGGGGACCACCCACTGCCCTGCAGCATGGGAGGGGGGCTTCTCAATATATATATAATATAATATAATGTAATGTGGGATTATATATCTAGCTGTATATAGTGTATGTTATATACATCATATAATGTGGGATTATAGATCTAGCTGTATATAGTGTGTGTTATATACATCATGTAATGTGGGATTATATATCTAGCTGTATATAGTGTGTGTTATATACATCATGTAATGTGGGATTATATATCTAGCTGTATATAGTGTATGTTATATACATCATATAATGTGGGATTATAGATCTAGCTGTATATAGTGTGTGTTATATACATCATATAATGTAATGTGGGATTATATATCTAGCTGTATATAGTGTATGTTATATACATCATATAATGTGGGATTATAGATCTAGCTATATATAGTGTATGTTATATACATCATATAATGTGGGATTATAGATCTAGCTGTATATAGTGTGTGTTATATACATCATATAATGTAATGTGGGATTATATATCTAGCTGTATATAGTGTATGTTATATACATCATATAATGTAATGTGGGATTATATATCTAGCTGTATATAGTGTATGTTATATACATCATATAATGTAATGTGGGATTATAGATCTAGCTGTATATAGTGTGTGTTATATACATCATATAATGTAATGTGGGATTATATATCTAGCTATATATAGTGTATGTTATATACATCATATAATGTGGGATTATAGATCTAGCTGTATATAGTGTGTGTTATATACATCATATAATGTGGGATTATAGATCTAGCTGTATATAGTGTGTGTTATATACATCATATAATGTGGGATTATAGATCTAGCTGTATATAGTGTGTGTTATATACATCATATAATGTAATGTGGGATTATATATCTATCTATATATAGTGTGTGTTATATACATCATATAATGTGGGATTATAGATCTAGCAATATATAGTGTATGTTATATACATCATATAATGTAATGTGGGATTATAGATCTAGCTATATATAGTGTGTGTTATATACATCATATAATGTAATGTGGGATTATAGATCTAGCTATATATAGTGTGTGTTATATACATCATATAATGTAATGTGGGATTATAGATCTAGCTATATATAGTGTGTGTTATATACATCATATAATGTAATGTGGGATTATATATCTAGCTGTATATAGTGTATGTTATATACATCATATAATATAATGTGGGATTATATATCTAGCTATATATAGTGTGTGTTATATACATCATGTAATGTGGGATTATATATCTAGCTATATATAGTGTATGTTATATACATCATATAATGTGGGATTATATATCTAGCTATATATAGTGTATGTTATATATAATCATATAATGTAATGTGGGATTATAGATCTAGCTATATATAGTGTGTGTTATCCATCATATAATGTAATGTGGGATTATAGATCTAGCTATATATAGTGTGTGTTATATACATCATATAATGTAATGTGGGATTATATATCTAGCTGTATATAGTGTGTGTGTTATATACATCATATAATGTAATGTGGGATTATAGATCTAGCTGTATATAGTGTGTGTTATATACATCATATAATGTGGGATTATAGATCTAGCTGTATATAGTGTGTGTTATATACATCATGTAATGTGGGATTATAGATCTAGCTATATATAGTGTATGTTATATACATCATATAATGTAATGTGGGATTATAGATCTAGCTATATATAGTGTGTGTTATATACATCATATAATGTAATGTGGGATTATAGATCTAGCTATATATAGTGTGTGTTATATACATCATATAATGTAATGTGGGATTATAGATCTAGCTATATATAGTGTGTGTTATATACATCATATAATGTAATGTGGGATTATAGATCTAGCTATATATAGTGTGTTTTATATACATCATATAATGTAATGTGGGATTATAGATCTAGCTATATATAGTGTATGTTATATACATCATATAATATAATGTGGGATTGTATATAGTGTATGTTATATACATCATATAATGTAATGTGGGATTATATATCTAGCTGTATATAGTGTATGTTATATACATCATATAATGTAATGTGGGATTATATATCTAGCTATATATAGTGTATGTTATATACATCATATAATATAACGTGGGATTGTATATAGTGTATGTTATATACATCATATAATGTAATGTGGGATTATATATTTTGCTATATATAGTGTATGTTATATAATCCCACATTACATTATATGATACAATATATATATATATATATCTCTATCTCTATCTCATGTAATGATTGTTTTCCTGGCACTGGAGTTTCCATTTAAGTCAATATAAACGTGTGCTAAAAGCTAGATTTAAAAAAAAAAAAAAAAAAAAATGATTGTAATCTGTCTGCTGTCATCATGTGCTCAGCTATGTGTATATGCATGCGCGCCAGGCTCAATGGCCACTCTCCATTGGCAAATGAAAATGTAGCCACAGTTAGTAGAAAGTCACCCCTGCAGAGTAAGCTATGGCTTGCAGGATGAGTAACGTTTAAGATCTTGCCGCTATCGGTAGCACAGGGCTTCAAATTGCAAGCCCTGTGTATTTGTATGTGTACATATTTTTTGTTTTTACAGAAAACTAGTACCTGGGACTTACTTAGCTGAACCTGTCCCTCTCTCACGTGGCCATCTTTTTCCAGCCGGTCCTCCTCTGCTCGAGAGCACAGCATTTAGGTCTATGGACCACAGGATCCTTCATAGATGCAGCGGTTACTGGTGATGGCTGGAAGATTGACACTTCAATACGGCGGTAGCTCCGCCCAATGTCTTGAAGTGTCAGACTTTGGAAAAATTGCGACTTTTGTCTCAGTATATCTTTTGACTAGTTTGGAATGTCAGTGAATGTGTATTGGTATTTCATCCCTATCTTTAAAAAAAGACAGTGCTGCTTTAAAACCCTCTATGGTTGTAACAAACATACATAAAAACCACTGTTTGATCAACTCTCTCACTTTAAGAATTGGCTCTTCACAATAGTGTCTTTGATGTATGCCTGCCAAAACCATAGAAAAATGCTGCATTTTTACACACCTCTTTAAAATGTGCCAGTCAAAAACAAACATGACATAGTGGCACTGAATGCACAAAATATTGCGCATGTTCTTGTCACCCCTGCCATTGTATATTGTAAGTACTCTCCAATAGACATTTCCTGAGTTTGCAGATATAATGCTTACTGCGATGTCTTTTTATATAATACATTTTTTGAAATATTTTTTTTTTACTTCTTCCCTTACATACTCTTGTATAGTTTTTAAAGAAGGCATTGCTGTTCAACTTCCATTTTATGATTACACTGTGAAAACCTCAATTTTGTGCCTTCACAGAGTCTCCTACTGCTGCAGAAATGGCGCGGCAAATGAATCGAGATACTGGCCTAAGAGAGAAGGTAAAAATGTTCCTCGGGTTGGGGCCACCCCGGGGGAAAAGCAAGGCATCAGAATGGAAGCAGCCCGAATATGTCATAACTGCAGAAATGATGAAGGTAAGGGACTGCTAATGCTGCGCTACAGGGGGAGACGGGACACAGTGTCCGCTGTCAAGTATTATACAATAGTTTATCTGTAGAATGCGTACATTGCGTACTCGCATGATCATATTAATTTTATAATAACCTGCGTTTAGGTTCTGACTCAATACGACCTATTTGTCTGCCACTACAGATGTAAAGGTGACCCATCATATTTCTAGAAATTACGGCACTACATAAAATATCCCAAATCACATAATTTTTATTCACCTTTTGTCATGAGATATTCTGATTTTCTCTTTACTTCATATGAATGCAACTCTCCAAGCACCATAACCACTACAGTTTGTAGTAGTTTTGGTGCCTGGAATTCCCTGGTGCCTTCCCAATGTAAGTAGCAAAACTGTTAATTGTTTGTTTGACTTCTTACCTCGGGTGCTGTTTCTGGCCTCTGCTGGAAGTAAAAACTGGAAGCTCCTGAAAAAGCCTTGCAGTGCCGTGTCAGCCATTGACTGAGCATGTCAGCTGATCACTAAGCTTTGCATCATGTGGCTGAACCCAGAGCTTCCAGCCATAGCAGATGCATGAAGTGGAACAGTATGACTTCCTACGTTGGAAAGTGCTAAGGCAGTCTTGGCACCATTACTACCACGACCATGAGGGTTATGGGACTTGGAGTGTTCCTTTGTAAAGGGGCATGCCACCTCAATAGTTACCTCTTCTCAATTATGTTTTTATGGGTGTTGGAGGCATGGGTCATCTTCTTACCATACAGGGTTAAATTGTTTTTGATCAGGTTTTTTTTTTTTTTTTTTTTTAAACCTTTAATTTGTGGGGCACAGGTCCGCACTCTCTCCGGCTACAATTTTTGTTCCGGAATGTTTGGCTTGAGTATCATTGATAGGCTGACAGTGTCAGCTGACCGTTGCGGCCTATCACTGCTGCATTAGCATGTTTGGAAGCAGCAGTGGAGAGCAAGACAGACCAGCGCTTTGCAGACTCATCTTCAGTGTTCAAACACTTGACGGTAAGAAGAAGCTGGGGGGCACAGAGCACAATAACCACTTCATTGAGCTGAAGTGGTTTCAGTGTGCACGGTAGCCCTTTTAATCTTCCTTGCATAGGTTACGGTGCAAAGGTAATCTCTAAGTCACTATGCTGGGCTCACTGCAGAAGCTGCACAGCAAAAGCAGGAAACTAAAACAAATGAAATGTAGTTGGTATTCTTTTATTTCTTTTTATTTTCACTTATTGTGTGTGTGGTGTTTTTTGTGATTGCCTGCATATTTCCATTTACTTTTCTGTAAACAGGAGTTGACTTCAGAGAGCCCTTTACACGTTCGGATCCGTGCTATGAACCAGATCTGTGAGCTTGCGAAAACCAAAAAATTCGAAGAGGTGAGCATCAAATTAGCATCAGTTGTAATGCGTTCAACAAAAGTGAAATTTTAACTTGAAAGGCATTCAACAACCTTTATAATAATAAAAAATAAAAGAAAATCCAAAGGTTCCCTTTTTTTGTGTGTCTGTGTTTTTTTTATTTATTTTTTTATTTATTTTTTTATTTATTTATTTTTTTTTTTTTCTGTATGATCAGTTCAGAGAGAGAGTTTTGTACTTTTTTTTTTTTTTTTTATAAATAATAAAATGACCTCCTCCTGTGTGCTGCTGAAACAGCAATGTACCAATAGCAAAGGTAGTCTAAGAAACACATTTGTAGTTTTTTCGGGGTTCCATTTGCCATATTTAGAGACTGTCTAGCTCCAAAACAATGAACTCCCTTATACTTCAGGATTTGTTCCATCTTTTTGTGTAGCTTACAAATGGAAAGTGCTTGGGGTTTTTTGTTTTTCTTTTCTCCGCAGCATGCTTTGGAAGCAGTATGGAGGGCTGTCTCTGATCTCATGCGCCCAGAACAGCAAGCAGAGGCCAGATATAATGTGCTCCAGTTACTGAAGGCCTTGGTTGTGGGACAGGTACTTTTGCCATCATTTTATATTTCACTTTCTGGCTATTTTTATTTGGTTATCTTTACGTTTCAACAAACGTGTCCACAAATAACTGGAAGAAAGCATGGACACACTTTTTGAAGTTAATATAAAAACGATCTCTTTGGGAAAAACAATCTGCCCTTGCTAGATCACGCACATTCAAGTCCAAACTATAAACCAAATCCTAAAGGGGAAACGACACGTACCATAACATGTTAAAGGGAACCTGTAGTCCCAGGTTTTTTTTTTTTCTTTTTTTTCTTTTTTTTTTTTCTGGTTCATGTGTTCCCTTAAACGCATTTTAAAAATTGGCGTTACTTCCAGTTTGGAGTATAAAGTGAAATCACAATTTCTGTATGTGGGGAAGCTGCCAAGTTACTCCGTCTAGGTAATAAAATTATTGAAGGGACAGTATAGTCACCAGAACAACTTCAGCTTAAAGGGACACTCCAGTGCCAGGAAAACAAACCGTTTTCCTGGCACTGCAGGTCCTCTTTTCCTCCCATCCCAGGTTGCTGAAGGGGTTTACATAGAAACATAGAATGTGACGGCAGATAAGAACCATTCGGCCCATCTAGTCTGCCTAATTTTCTAAATACTTTCATTAGTCCCTAGCCTTATCTTACAGTTAGGACAGCCTTATGCCTATCCCACGCATGCTTAAACTCCTTTACTGTGTTAACCTCTACCACTTTAGCTGGAAGGCTATTCCATGCATCCACTACCCTCTCAGTAAAGTAATACTTCCTGATATTATTTTTAAACCTTTGTCCCTCTAATTTAAGACTAGGACCTCTTGTTGTGGTAGTTTTTCTTCTTTTAAATATAGTCTCCTCCTTTACTGTGTTGATTCCCTTTATATATTTAAATGTTTCTATCATATCCCCCCTGTCTCGTCTTTCCTCCAAGCTATACATGTTAAGATCCTTTAACCTTTCCTGGTAAGTTTTATCCCGCAATCCATGAACCAGTTTAGTAGCCCTTCTCTGAACCCTCTCTAAGGTATCAATATCCTTCTGAAGATACGGTCTCCAGTACTGTGTACAATACTCCAAGTGAGGTCTCACCAGAGTTCTGCACAATGGCATGAGCACTTCCCTCTTTCTACTGCTAATACCTCTCCCTATACAACCAAGCATTCTGCTAGCATTTCCTGCTGCTCTATTACATTGTCTGCCTACCTTTAAGTCATCAGAAATAATCACCCCTAAATCCCTTTCCTCATATGTTGAGGTTAGAACTCTATCAAATATTCTGTACTCTGCCCTTGGGTTTTTACGTCCAAGATGCATTATCTTGCACTTATCCACATTAAATGTCAGTTGCCACAATTCTGACCATTTTTCTAGTTTACCTAAATCATTTGTCATTTGGCTTATCCCTCCTGGAACATCAACCCTGTTACATATCTTAGTATCATCAGCAAAAAGACATACCTTACCATCAAGACCTTCTGCAATATCACTAATAAAAATATTAAAGAGAATGGGTCCAAGTACAGATCCCTGAGGTACCCCACTGGTGACAAGTCCAAGCTTCGAATATATTCCATTAACTACAACCCTCTGTTGCCTGTCACTCAGCCACTGCCTTACCCATTCAACAATATTGGAATCCAAACTTAAAGATTGCAGTTTATTGATAAGCCTTCTATGTGCAACAGTGTCAAAAGCCTTACTGAAATCTAGGTAAGCAATGTCTACTGCACCACCCTGATCTATAATTTTAGTTACCCAATCAAAAAAATCAATAAGATTAGTTTGGCACGATCTCCCTGAAGTAAACCCATGTTGTCTCTGATCTTGAAATCCATGTGTTTTTAGATGTTCATCAATCCTATCCTTTAACATGGTTTCCATCACTTTCAGTGACTTACCAGAGTCCAGCGCTGGTCCAGGGTCCACCCAGGCACCTCCTCTGCCGACGTCATCCAGCGCATGCATCCCTATGGGGATTTTAGCGACGCTATAGCACAGAAAATCTGTGCTAGAAACCCGGAAGTGCCCTCTAGTGGCTGAGTTAACCCTGCAAGGTAAATATTGCAGTTTATGAAAACTGCAATATTTACAGTTGCAGGGTTAAGGGTAGTGGGAGTTGGCACCCAGACCACTCCAATGGGCAGAAGTGGTCTGGGTGCCTGGAGTGTCCCTTTAATGTAATTGTTCTGGTGAGTATAATCATTGCCTTCAGGCATTTTTATGCATACACTGCTTACATTGCCCCTAGGAACACCTCCAAGTGGCCACTCCTTAGCCACTGGAGGTGCTTCCTGGCTCAGTGCTGCACAGTAAGCTCTGCATGGAGGCGCTGAATTTTCCTCATAGAGAGAGATGAATTGATTTAATGCATCTCTATGAGGTGGTGCTGATTGGCCAAAAACGACATTTGGCCCTGCCCCCTTGCCGATTTCAGCCAATCCAATGCTTTCCCCATGTAGACCCGCACGGTGCTGGAAATAAGGTGTGTTTTAACTGGTTTTAAGAGAGCTAGGGGGGGGAGGCAAGCTACTACATGGTGGGTTAAACACTTACATGTATTCCTGACCCTATAATGTGCCTTTAATCACCAACTGTCTGTCACATGTAACCCTCGTGAACCTCTTGTTATCCAATGTGTATAAACTGTACAGCAAGGTTCATGGGAGGTTGTAGTTAACGTTCAGTTGGAATGTAAAAACTCCTGCCATGGAAGATGAGTCTCTGTACGCTGAATTGATCACTTGATTCAACATGAGCTTCTTTGCTCTTTGTAACCACCAACCACTTTCTATCACAGACAATACTTTAACTCTTTGTTTTGTTGGGAATTATAGTCTGTAATGTTGTGTTTTGCGTAGGCGGACCGGCTGGGATTCCTTCGGGCCCATTTCTTCCGAGTGATAAAGGACTACCCCACAAATGAAGATCTAGCGGAGAGATTGGAAGTCTTTAAAGCACTTACTGACAATGGGCGTGACATCGCCTATCTCGAAGAGGAACTGGGTGAGGAGACTTGTTTTAAAAGCCAAAAACCACAAAATGATGCATTCTTTAATTATGGGAAGCACAACATGTTGCCTACAAAGATCCCCTAAATACAAATCCTGTGCATGTTTATGTACAAGTATCCATTCAGCTGCAAATGCAGAAATTTAATATATATATATTTTTTTTTTTTTTTTAAATCTGACTGTTCTGATAGTCCTTGCACCATCTCCCCATTAAAATGTATTGGCAGCACAAGAGTAAAATACATTTTCCTTTGTGGCACTTCCAGAAGATCCGCACCCCCATGAGCACAATATGTTGTGCATTTGGCATTCATTTCCTATGAATCTCTGTTAAGCTTATGTAGCTGCAAGGAATCATGGGACATCTTGTTTTTAAATGCAGATTCCAATATAAATGTTATTGGGCGTTTGAGCGCAGGACTTGGTTTTTGTTTTTTTGAATAAATACGTGTTGCACTGCTCTACAAATAGTCTGCACATATCACACTCTCATTCGAATCCCTCCTGCATTACCTTGATTAGCGGTCTATAAGATGAATAGGAATACTCCTAATAGTACAATCAGATTATACATTAAATGCCCTGATATTACACCAGTTTTCCCCTAGTGTTTATTTTTCTTTAACGCTGTTGCACAGATGTTAATGTCTAATCATGCTTTCTGTCCTGATGGGTTTAGCGGCCTTTGTACTTCAGTGGATGGAGCATGATTTAACCCCTGATTTCTTGCTCGTTCTGGTGAATTTGGTGAAGTTTCACAGCTGTTACTTAGAACCATATATTGCTCCTATGGTGCAGTAAGTATTTGACATACATTCTCCCATTCCACCAATACAACAAAGACTACGTCCGTGCTTTCTTACCTGCCTGATTTGTTACCCGGTGTACTTTTCTGTTCCTCTCTTTAACAGAATGATTTGCCTGCTGTGTAATCGGACTGCGTCCTCCTATGACATTGAGGTTAGTCTTATTCCAATCCACCACATGTTAACACACCGTTTTTGACTCTGCAGAGTCTCGGGAAAAGGGAATGGACTCTCGTTTTCCTCACTCCTTGACCATATTCTATAGCCATGTCCACCGCTTCCCACTGCAGGCGTTTTCAGTGTTTCCGATGCAATTTTTTTTTTCTTTTTCTTTAATTTGCATCTTACAAGCGCACTCTATGCAAAATGAAAACTATCACCCAGTGCAGTTTGACATACAGGAGCTAACCTTAGCAAGCTGTGACCGATCTCTCATCTGCCACATTGTTAATGCCAAATATACACTTCTTCTCAATATCCTTTCTAACATGGATGGCAGTGATTGGGGGTCTAGGTTTACCTAGACTGTTGGCACCATAGCCACTACAGAGTTGGCACCCCTTTCAAAGGCTGGCTAAGCAAATCTTACGATCATGGCATTCTGACTGAGAAAGTACTTTTACAATTTTTATCTGACGTCTAGTGCATTGTGGGGAGATGAAATCTGTTATGTAGCCTTTAGTCTGAATGAACCTCCTAGAAAATGTAGTTCGCTAGCCGTGTTCATTCAAAGAACAAATTGCATCAAGATTCCATTTCTCAAGGAAATGCTATTCGCATTGGTCCCTAAAGGGGATATTGTTGATTAGAATGCAAGGGACTTCATCCACTAAACGGATAATTATTGTCTTGAAAACCTAAATGTAAAACTTCTCCAAACAGTTCTAATCCTGGTAAATTCTCCATCTTGTCTAAAGCTACAGTGTGGTTATTTTGTTTTACATTCACAACAATTTGTTATTTTGGAATAAACGCCATTCTGAATGCACGTGACTGGCACAATAGATGAGCTGCTGAATATTCTCCAAGTTGGCTATGGTTTCAGTCCAGCTTAGTTTACCTAAAATTTTAATTCTCTTTGCATTCCCGACAAACTCAGTTTAATGAATAACTCTCTTTAAAATTTCATAAAGAACATTCTGCTCCTATCATGGTGTCTTGTTGCAATTACTTGTTAGTCCACCTATTGTACAGTGCCGTGGGATATATTGGTGCCTTTTAAATAAATAAATAAAAATTCATATTATGATTTGCATTCCTTTCTCATGGGACACCAGTGCTTTACTGTCCATTTTCAGCATATTTATTTATAAAATATTTTACCAGGAAAGATACATTGAGATTTCTCTCGTTTTCAAGTATGTCCAGGATCCACAAATCATTGCATTGTTACATTAGGGTACAATAAAATACAAAACCAATATTAATACACAATAAATACAAAATGTAACATAGAACAGGCAGGAAATATATAATCAACCATAACACGTGCATTCTGTTTTGAGGTATGTAGAGAGGGATCTCTTAAAGGACTTTAGGCTTAGGGAAGATTTTAAATTGTGCGGGAGGTCGTTCCACAATTGCGGTGCTCTGTAGGAGAAGGAGGATCGGGCCGCTTTCTTTTTGTATTGAGGTAGACTAAGTAAAGTGTTGGTACTGGATCGGAGGTTATAGGAAGTGGGAACAGCTGGGGAAAGCATTTTGTTCAGGTAGGGTGGGAGTTTCCCATATATTGTTTTTTTTTTTTTTTACCCAAGTTGATCTTTAATTCCTTTATTTATGCTGTTTTCTTCTGTTCTTTTGTCATTCAGGTCTCCCTGCAGGTTTTGGATGCCGTTGTCTGTTATAACTGTCTCCCAGCAGAGAGCATTCCCACGTTTGTAATCACACTGTGCCGCACGATTAACGTGAAGGAACTCTGTGAGCCTTGCTGGAAGGTGAGTTCTAGGACTGGCTCAGTGCATGAGCTGTACTGTGTATGCTATATGTAACAATGTCCACAGGTGGATAATAAATGCTGCTTTTTACACAGGGAGTGGAACAAACTCCTAGTAAACCTGGTGTAGAGCAGGAGTCCCCCAGATGTTTTAAAACTACAGCTTCCATGATGCTTTGCTATTCTAAAGACATGCAAAGCATCATTTGCGTTGTAGTTCTACAACATCTGAGATCTAATGTTTGGGCATCCCTGATGTAGAGGAGATGAACTGCCTTTTTTCTTTTTTCTTTTTTTGGTCTGTTGTGTTTGAACTTGCTAACTAGTTGCCGATCTGTGGGTTGCATTGCAAAGTCTAACTTGTAATCGATATGGCATTCTATATGTGCACTGATTGTCTTGCTGCCGTTTTTAAATCAAGGCCTACATGGCAGCAGGTTTACTGGAATTTGTGGATAACTTTTAGTATGTTACAGTTTAAATCAGTTTTATTATGGATTAATGAAGTCCTATGCAAGTAGCTGAATTATAATCTATAAGGGTGTAGTTGCCACCCTGACCTAACCAATTCTTGTGGTTTTATTTATTTCTTTGCAGCTGATGAGAAACCTATTGGGAACGCATCTTGGCCACAGCGCTCTTTATACCATGAGTCGCATCTTGGAAGATAGGTAGGAACTTTCAGTGCTTCCTGGCATCTTTGGAAATGTAGTGCACATACATCTGGTGAGCCAAAACTGGCTCCAACAATAAGCACCATAACCACTGCATCTTATTGAGGTGGTATAGAAAAGGGAGTTTTTCTATGCGGTCTGTTTTGTGTCTACCCTCCTCCCTATTTGTTTTTGGTCCCTTCATTATATGTATATTATACTTTGACAACCAGACCTTCCAGGCACCATAACCACTAAAACACTACCTGTTCTGTTCTTTGTTGTTCTTAGAGTCTACATGGAAGACGCCCCTCTACTTAGAGGGGCAGTGTTCTTCGTTGGCATGGGTCTATGGGGAGCTCACAGAATCTTCTGTTTGAAAAATTCTCCTCTTTCAATCCTTCCCTCCTTCATGAAGGTAAATACCAGTGCACCAGCTAGTGTTGGATCATAGCTTTAACATGGCTGACTTCATAACCACCATATAAGAAACCAGGAGGGATTGTGTACATTTAACAGAGTACAATATTCTATAGTAATTGTGGTGCTTGGGCAGCCCTTAAAAGTGACTTATTGCAGGATTTTTTTTTTTTGGAAGTTTTTATAACTTAAATCTGCAGAATGGACAGGCTCACTTCAATAAATGTAAAATCTCAGAATCCAAGGATTGGTCTTGCAAGCCGCACCTGTAACCACCCCCCAGAGCAGGACTGCCTATTACTGTTTTTAATAACTCTAGTTGTTCTCTAACATTTTATTAAGATAGAACATGATTTTGATCAGCAGCACTTGGTTAGGTTCAAACTACATTTTAGAAGCTGTTCATTTATGTTGGTTTTTATGATATATATATATATATTTTTTTTTTTTCCTCTATCTGATCAGGCCATGAACTGCCCCAATGTGGTGGTTTCCTATGAAATAGTCTTGTCCATCACACGACTCATAAAGAAATTCGGGACACAGGTGCAGGCTGTCTCGTGGGACCCAGTCATGGATGTTATAGAACGATTATTCCAGCAGCTTTCGGTAAGCAATGTTCTCATTTAAAGGGACACTCCAGACCCCTAAAGTTGTTGAAAAGTTTTGTGCGAAGAATGTTTCCTCCTCATTTTTTTTAATTTTTTTAAATCCCTTACATTTTGCTTACATTGTACAGATATCAATATAAATTAACATTATTATAAATGTACCTGGTTATACTCCCTGGTTTTCAAGCAGACAATAGGTCCTGTTACTTGCTGGTCTGGTTAGTTCAGTAGTCCAGAGCACCTGCCTTGCAAAGACTTCTCATTGAGCTTCATTGGGACGTCTGGGTGGGATTAGAAGGGGAGGGCTTGTAAAGGCTACAGACAAGAGATCTGCATGTTTTGCAATGCTTTTTTAGAAAATGCTTTTCTAAATGCTTTCTGGGAAAAGTCCTTTATAATTAGATGTTCAATGTAGTGACATTTTGCCACGTCTGTGTTGATGTCTATTTGGCAACCAGCTGCAGCTAGTTTGCTACTTCCCAGTATTCCAAAAGCTATATGTTGTAAGTCTCTAACTACATGCTATTTTACTTGGCAGTAATATGCGTTCAAATGCATCTTCTTAATCTTCAGGCTTTGCGCAGCCACGAGTTAAAGTCGGCTGTGCATAATCTTTTGACCTTAGTTGAAGAACTTTATGATCAGAATGTTTTCCATGGAGATGTAGAGAGGCTGTTTGAGCTTGTGGAACGAACCTCTGAAGATCGCCCGGTAAGTCTGACACATGCATAGCACTCACCAGTGACTAAGCAGTTTATGGCACAAGATGAATTGTGAACGAAGGTCGTATTGTCATATTAAAACTGTTAATCTGTGATGCCTTTTATGTCATTTAGGCTGGCTCAGTTGTAAATCTCATAACATACAGAGCCCAGTCCATCCATCCCGGGAAAGAAGGATGGATCTTGGACTTGCAGAAACTAATGGACCGATTCTTCAGGTGCGAATCTGATATCCTGTTTTTTTTAAGATTCTCCTCCAAACACAAATCCTAGTGTGATCCAGTAGCAAAAAATGGCTGTTCGTTTGTTTCCCTGTGTGTGCATTTACCTTACGTATTCAAAAACATCTGACACTGCTCAATACAGGAGAGACATACAGGCTGTTACTTGGCATGTAATCATGAATGCTACTGAACTATTGGTGTCTGTGTATGTAATCTCATCTTGTGTATGTATAGTGACATGCTCTGAGATTTGTTTCACTATGCATGAATCCTAGTACATATTAAAATAAATGTTTCTTTTGTTGTGTGTTTGGGTGCCTATAACGAAAATAACTTGCATATACAGTCTAACGCCGTAATTTTTTTTTTTTTTTATTATTTATTATTATTATTATTATTATTATTATTATTATTATTATTTATTATTTATTTATTTTTTAATAGATTTTTAATGGTCAAATGTACAACCAGTTAAACGTTCTTTGCTAAATTGAAAATTCAAAGAGTATCACATTTAAGTCCAGAGTAGCCTAATTGAAAGCATAGCTGACTTAGAGTTTTTTCCGGATTGGCAATTTTTGACCTTCCATTTGAAATTCACTTTGAATTCTCACTTTAGTGAATACGTTACTAAATTTAAGGCCAAAAAAAAAGCCATGCCGAGACTATTGTAGAAAAATAAGGAACGTGTGCTAGAGAACTAAAAATGTGTTAATACTAGAATCCTTTTTAGAAACCTTTTAATCACGGTTAATTGCTTTTTTCTTTTTTTTCTATTTAGAAACGAGTCGCGGAGTATAATTCGTATGAAGGTTCTAGATGTTCTTTCCTTTGCACTGAGCATCAACCGACAGTTTTACGAGGTTTGATTTTAAACGACTTCATTTTTGCAGTTTTAACTTAAAACGTCTCCCCACCATACGTTCTCTTGAAGTCCGTTTTCTTACTTTCAAAGAAATTACAGTTTAGAGTATTTCTAAAACCATTTTAAGAGTTAAAGGTGACTAGTGTGGGTGTTCTCTATAATTTTGGATTGGTTAGCAGGAACATTTTAATTTGAATTTTGATATTTCCCCTCCCTACTCCGCCCCTTAATTCTCTCTAGGAGGAGCTCATAGAGAAAGTAGTTACTTGTCAGCTTGCCCACATCCCAGAGGATAACGATCACCAGGTCCGTAAACTGGCCACCCAGCTTCTGGTTGACCTTGCAGAATGCTGCCACTCTTGTCATTTCAACAGCTTGATGGACATCATTGAAAAGGTAAACTATATCTTTGTGTCCGATTTTCTCTCTATTTTCAAAGTCCGTGTGTTGGTTATGTAACATTGTGGATGGTGGTCACACAAGACAAGTGCCCGCTGGCTGTTTAAATTTGTGCGGTAAGGGTCCCTAAACACGCACATGTGGAAATTAGATGTTAAATGTGCCACCAAGTTAGGACCACACTGATCTGGATCATAGACTCTCTTTGTCTTTAACGCATCATGTTTGGCACCCAGACCACTTCATCTCATTGAAGTGCGTTTCAGACAATGTCTACATTGCAGGGTTAAGACTGCCTTTAGTGTCTCTCTCGAGGTGCTTCCTGGTTTCTCAGAGTTTAACTGTGAAACGATGTTGAACGTTCATGTGCTTTGCATTAGGACGTCCAGCATCTTCAAACTTCCCCGTAGCAAAGCATTGATTAAATGCTTTCCTATGAGGAAGGCCTAAAGCATGTGCGGGCTTGCCGTGCTTGCTCTGCATGCGCTGATGTCCTTCGTAGATGTGACATTGTGGGAGGAGGACACAGAGCCACTGGAAGTGGAAAAAATGATTTTAAGCCCTTTTTATTCACTGGGGATGGAGGGCAGACCATTAATTATAGGTTGGGGGGCGCTATACCATTTGGTATACAATAACTTTGTGTTCCTTTTATGTTCAAAAAGTTGAGTATAAACGTTGTCATTACAAGCCTGTGTGTTCTTGGAAGTTTAGAGTTTAAATAAGTGCATTTTTAACAGGTTGTATACCGTTCCTTATCTACACCTGAGGCTGGGTTTCACGACTCTTCTTCCTTGGAAGATGTGAAGACATCAGTCTTGGGGTTGATGGTCATCCTTCAGGTAAGCTCTACATTTTCCTTTCTGTGTCACAGTTGTCAAGTAGATGGACCGTACATTTGTATGACTCATTTATTGAAATGTCTGTAACCACAATTATTCCCGTCTGCAGACCAAGTTGTATATACTCCCAGCCAGTCACGCCATACGTGTGTACGCGATGCTGGTCGAACATATCCGGCTTCACTACAAGTACTTGTACAGCTCACCTATTGCTAGCAGCATCCGGCTGCAGGTGAGGACCTTCTCTTTACATTCAACTTTCTATATTTTATAAAAGTCTGATTTTTATTTCCCCTTTACCAGGACCCACTTTTAACCCATCCAATAACCAATACAAATTTTTCCTTTCCAAATTGACCGGGTGCTTAAACCTGGCTGTAGATCTACAAATGTAGCAAAACATTGGTATCATTCATGGACTTTATAATGTAGAAAATCTCCTTTTATTTTTCCATCTTGAAAAGTTTCACATAACTATGTGGTAAAAAAAAGGTCACCGGTTTCAGTTCCATTTTGGGACTGGCTCTTCACAAGGCAATATCCATGGTGGGTGCCGAGGGATGTCGGTTTTGGACTTTTGCAGATGTGCTTAAGTACAACACTGACATGGGTTCCTGGTGGAGAAAGCCTCAGGAGCAGAAGAAAAAGATGGCGGTGCCAGCGGGGGACAGATACCAACTGCACCCGTAAACCACTGCACCCCAAGCAGTGATTTCCCATCAGGACTCTGTGCAAAACATGCAAAGATTCCAGAAGGTGACAGAACCCCTTTAAATTCTATCTTAGAATGCCTCTGTGCATGTATCCATAGTGCTTACAATTACACTGAATTTAATGCTGCTTTTCAAAACCTAGACCAAAATAGTTCAACTTTTGTAGTCTTAATTTAGAACTCCGTTTTGCATTCCTTCTCATGCAGTGTTTATTGACCAAATCAGGTCTGTTATTCGTCTGTATTGTTTTTCACTGATTTGTAATACAGCTAGAAATGTTATTTATTGTGGGATTGTTGTGCCACAAGGTTTATAATGCAGCCGCTCAAATTGTTTCTTTAGACCTCGTTATTATCCTACAGTTCAGGCCTGGCTATTAACTAAATGGTGAATTTGACAACTTATTTGGGTCACAGCAGTGGAATTGTCTAGTATCCAGAGTCTTAATTTATACAGGTTTTTATATGTAAAATATTAATTATTTACTTTGTTTTTCTTATCCTCAAAGGTGTTTGACTTCCTCTTGCTGCTCCGCGCTGATTCTCTGCGCCGTGTTGGACTCCCTAATAAGGACGGCGCTGTGCGTTTCAGCCCTTACTGTTTCTGTGAAAATGTGTAAGTGACAAATTAATTTGCTTCATTTCAATGTGAAGACCTTTCAATTCATTGGGGGTTTTACAATGGTAAAGGTTTTTAAAGTGTAGTAGAAGTATTCTACAAGCAAGCATGCTGTCATTCCAGTGAAATAGTGGAGAGGTGCTGGGTTTGTTGGAGTAAATTCTATTGGTCAATGTGAAGGGCTCTAGGACCATGTAGCAGGGTTGGTTCAATAAATAAAAAATAAAAAATTGAATGCTGTCAAATTTATTTATTTTTTTATTTATAACCCATAATTCAATGCTTATTAACAAAACGTTCCTACATAACTTATATAGAAATATTTCCAATTTACTGTAACGTAAATGTAACATGAAATATATAAAGAACATATATAAAAAAAAAAAACAAGTGCAATCAGTGGGGCTCGGTATTGGGCATGAGGATTTATATATCCAAGGGAATCTTATTTGACCTAAATAGAAAGTGGAGCACCCCTGGTTTACCTGTCCTAATGTCCCATCCCTATGACAAGCTAGTTTGCATTGTTTCTATATGCCGCCCAAGGGTGCCAATATACGCGATGGGAAGTAAATTTTCCCAAAGCAGGAATAAAGTTAAATTCCATTGTGTCGTGATGGTCTATCTGGTTTATCAATTCTTGGCAGGATGGAAAAAAAATGGATTTCCAGTTACGAGCTAGAAATAAACCTAAAGGCATAAAGTATGTGTGTGATTAGGTATTTGTGTTTGTTTTTTGTTTTTGTTTTCTCCATTATTGGGAAGTCTAAATTTAAATAATAAAAGGGAAGGTGGAAGTATAATGGTTTCGTGAATTAAGTCCGCTATCCGGGACACTATAAATGTCTTGGTGGTGTTTAGTATCGGACATGAAATATTGTGCCAACATAGTGGTGAATAAGCTTCAAAAATATTGATGTAGTTTTGAAGGGACCTGATACCATCTATATAGGATCTTTAGATGAAGTTCTATAAGGGATATACATATATATATATTTTTTTGTTTGATAGTGGTTTGGTACCATTCCTATGGGGTGGAGATTACATTGAGATCCTTTTCCCATTGTTCTATTGGTGAAATTTTCATAACGTCATCCTCTCCATCCAAAAGTTAAGAAGATCTAGTTATTAAACCTCTAGAAACATAGAATGTAATGTCAGATAAGAACCATTCAGCCCATCTAGTCTGCCCAATTTTCTAAATACTCTAGTACCTTGTTTATCTAAATATCTGAAAATAGGATGTTCTAAAAATAATTTTTTTTAATTCAGATAGTGTTTAATCCTTAAATATCAAAGTATCACTAAAGGGTACATTAGCCTCCATTTATGCATATCCAGATCAATCGGATCATATTGTAAAGTTTCTATAGGGGCATATATAAGGATAGAGTCTGAAAGATTAAGTTTGCGTTTCAACTTTTTTAGTACTTCTGACATACCCATTATTATTATTAGATTTTTGAGGTTTTCTTTGCTTAAGTTTCCACATAAACTGTTCTCTTGTTCTATTTGGTACCAGGCGTTATTCTGAATATTCGAGTTAGACCACAACATTACATTCGCAACTAAACATGTTTTGATCTAATTTTGCAATATCAGAGAATGATACCACCCATGTCATAGTTATTTTGTAAGATCTTTTGATATATTCTTGGGTGTTTATTTGCCCAACTAAAATTCAAAAATAATCTTTGGAATTGTACTATCTTATCATTGCTTAATCTGAAGGGTAGAGATCTAAATAGATATAATAATTTTGAAATAGAATACGCATTCACTATATTTAAGCGCCCCAACCATAAGATCTCAGTCTAGGTCCACTTGGACAGTTGCTTATTAATATAAGAATAGAGATTATCATAGTTACAGCATATTATATTCCCAGATACTCCTCCATATACTTCAGGTTCCTATTAAACCAAAATTTAGATTTAAGTATAGATAGTTCAGCCTCCGACACATTTAAAACCATAATTTGGGTTTTCTTTATATTAATTTTATAGTTTGAGATGGTTCCATTGATTTATTTTTTAAAACTTCTGGGATAGAGATTGCGGGTCTCACCAGGTACAGAAGCACATCATCTGCAAATAGAGAGATTTTATATTCCCGATCAGCTGATTTAATCCCATGTACTTCTTTGTTATCTCTAATCATAATAGCCAGTGGCTCAATAGATGAGATGTATAGTAATGGGGCCAATGGGCAGCCTTGCCTCATGCCATTTTTTTCTTGGAAAGGTAGATAATTCGAAAAATTGATTTATAATGTTCGCAGATAGCTTTATATATAATGACATGATTTTATCTTTTAAGGGGCCTCAGAATCCAAATTTATTTAATACTCTATCTAAAAACCTCCCATTTACCCTGTCAAATGCCTTTTCTGTGTCAGTTGCCAAAATGGCCAATTCTGAATTCGTAAGATTGCTTTTAATATTCAAGTTGAGTATTCTACGAATATCATCTGTTGTACCTCTGTCCCTAATGAAACTCAACTGGTCTATTATTTTTATTATTATTATTATTATTTTTATTATTATGATATTTATATAGCGCCGTCAAATTCCGCAGCGCTTTACAATGGGTGGACGAACAGACATGTAGTTGTAACCAGACAAGTTGGACACACAGGAACAGAGGGGTTGAGGGCCCTGCTCAATGAGCTTACATGCTAGAGGGAGTGGGGTAAAATGACACAAAAAGGTAAGGATAGTATTAGACTAATGACAGTTGCAGAAGAGGAATCAGTTAGGAGCTATTAAGAGTTTAATTGATACGCTTTTATGAAGAAGTGGGTTTTTAACGATTTTTTGAAGGAGTGGAGACTGGGTGAGCATCTAACGGAGGAGGGAAGCGAGTTCCACAGGAACGGTGCAGCCCTCGAGAAATCTTGAAGGCGAGCATCAGAGGTGGGAATACGGACAGAAGATAGACGTAAGTCTTCAGCAGATCGTAAGGGCCTAGACGGGACATACTTGTGTATAAGGGAGGATAGATAGGTGGGAGCAGCATTATGTAGAGATTTGAAAGCAAGAACCAGAATTTTAAATTGAGCTCTATATTTTATAGGAAGCCAATGTAGGGACTGACAGAGAGGTGAGGCATGGGAGTTGAGGGCGGACAGGAAGATGAGCCTCGCCGCCGCATTCATTATTGTAGCGGAACGCCAATAATAAATCCACGAATTCCGCTGGTTCAGAAACGAATCCACAGTCAAGCGCTGAAACAACAAGGCAATATCCCCAACCTCCCAATAACCGGACGAGACACAGTTTTGGGAGTCAACTGAAATCCTTTTAATCGGCAGGACAATTTATACAAGTCCCCATGCAAGGGGTTTCCTGAGTCCCTCCCTAGGGGCACTCCCAGAGGGGACTACATGGGGGACTTACACGACAACATATTTCTCCCATCAGGCACCGCTGCACGAGAGGGATCATTCTCCCAGAATGCACCGTTAAGGGGATTATCCCCTCGTGCAGCAGAACCGACAATTTATACAAAAATACATAACTGGTTAAATACACGGTGGTTTTACACGAACGGACGTTCGGTAGATAGCTGGGGTCTGAGCGCATCATTCGTGAGATTGCCGCTCAGATCCCAGCTAAAATAACCGAACGCCGCACAGAAAACACATTTCTTTTAAAACATACGCAAAGAACCGATTACTTCTAGTGAACATGATCCTGAAACTCCCGAACGTCCTGGAGGCTCAGCGGTGTTCGTGCCGTCGAATAGCTATTGGTAATACTATGCGTTCGACAACTCGGTCCCGCTGAGGAACAAGGGATCCAAGATGGCCGACCGCCGCATGGTCGGTAGTCGAACGACGGCCACCCAGGAGAGCCTCTAATAACCGATTGCAACAATGTTGCAATCGGTTAACTAGCGCCACACGCCTCTAAGTGTGTGGGCTATTAGGGGGTATCGCGTTCGGTTCACGAACGGCTTTCTAAAGTGCCGTTCGTGAAACGAAAGAAAATCCCCATACAAAACCGCTGTTTGCATTCGGCGGAAACAGCAGTACAGGCAATACAGAAAATACATTAGCATATACATAAGTGTAAAGCGCATATCTCGCCAGACCTATTGGCAACCCTTAAAGGCACAGTCTCCAATTATAGTCCAAGTGGCTAGGTTTGCCACAATGCTCCCCCAGAACCAAGCCGGCATACACAGTCTGATCCCAACGGATCGGCTTGGGGATGTCCGGAGGAGTTCTCACAGATCATTTCTCAAGGTCTGTTTGTCTGGACAACCCGTCGGCGTTACCGTTTTGTTTCCCTGGGCGATAATGAATTGTAAAGTCAAAGGGCTGCAGCGCCAAACTCCAGCGCAGCAGCCTGGCATTGTCTCCAGCCACACGGTTTAGCCACACCAACGGGTTGTGATCTGTGAGCAAAGAAAAGGGTTGCCCATAGAGATATGGCTGTAACTTTTTCAGGGCCCACTCCACGGCCAGGCATTCTTTTTCTATGGCGGCGTAGCTCACCTCTCGGGGTAACAATTTCCGACTCCAGTATGCTACGGGGTGTTCTCCGCCATCGGCTCCAACCTGGCTCAGTACTGCTCCCAATCCAAACATTGAGGCGTCTGTGTGAACAAGAAAACGTTTAGTTGGATCAGGAGCAGCCAGTACAGGGGCATTGGTCAGAGCCGTCTTCAGTTGGTTGAATGCCTGTTCACACTCTGGGGCCCAGACGACCTGCCTGGGCAGGTTTTAATTCGTCAAATCAGTCAGGGGTTTGGCCAGAGCACTGTAATTTGGCACAAATTTTCTGTAATACCCTGCGGTACCTAGGAAAGCAAGGACTTGGGTTTTGGTCCTAGGGGTAGGCCACTGGGCTACAGCTTCAATCTTTGCGGGCTCAGGCTTCTGCTGCCCGCTACCAACCCGGTGTCCTAAGTACTGGACCTCTGCCATCCCTATGTGGCATTTGCTGGGTTTCAAGGTAAGCCCTGCCTCTCGGATCCGATCTATTACCGCCCCTATGTGTTGTAGGTGCTATGACCAGGTCTGACTGTAGATGGCAATATCGTCCAGGTATGCACACGCATAGTCCTGGAACCCGTCCAGTAGCCGATCCACCATCCGCTGGAATGTTGCGGGGGCGTTCTTCATCCCGAATGGCATGACTCGAAATTGGTACAAGCCAAACTGGGTGACAAACGCCGACTTAGGGATGGCGTCCTCGGCTAGTGGAATTTGCCAGTATCCCTTACACAAATCTATGGTAGTGAGATACTGACCCCTGGCCATCCTATCAAGCAGTTCGTCTATCCGAGGCATCGGGTAGGCGTCCGACGCAGTTTTGTCGTTCAACCTCCGGTAGTCCACGCAGAACCGGGTGGTACCATCTTTCTTGGGAACCAGGACTACCGGCGATGCCCAGGGGCTATCTGAATGTTCGATAACCCCCAACTGCAACATCTCCTCAATCTCTTTCCTCATATGTTCCCGCACGGATTCAGGAATCCGATATGGGGTTTGTCGCATGGGAAGCTGTCCCGGGGTTTCTACTCGGTGAGTGGCTAGTGGCGTGTACCCAGGTAAGTTAGAAAAGGTGGCACTCTTGGCCGCTATCAATTCTTGTACCTGGGTACGCTCTTGAGGACTTAGCCGCTCCCCCAGCTGAACCCCCTGGGAGGGTTCCTTCTGCTCCTCCTGCTCTAATAGATCTGGGAGAGGCAAGTTCTCCTGATCTTCTGAGGCGGGCGTGCAGATAGCTGCCACGTCCTCAGTTCGCTCGTGGTAGGGTTTGAGCATATTTACATGGATCATGCGTCTCTTCCCTACTCCGGAGCACGGGCCGATCACATAGGTGGTGTCGCATCTCTGCTCTACCACCTGGTATGGGCCCTGCCAGACGGCCTGCAGTTTATCGGTGCGGACAGGTTTGAGGATTAGCACCTTCTGTCCCACTTGAAAACTACGGTCTCTGGCCCCTCTGTCATACCAACGACGCTGCCGTTGTTGGGCGGCCTGGAGGTTGGTGCGCACTGCCTGGGTCAATTCCTCCAGGCGATCCCGGAACGCCAGCATGTATGGTACAATAGGGGTCCCATCTGCGCTGCTCTCTCACTCCCAATGTTCTCTAATGAGATCCAACGGTCCCCGGACCCTTCTCCCAAACAACAGTTCAAATGGGGAGAAACCCGTAGACTCTTGGGGTACCTCTCTGTACGCAAACAACAGATGGGGAAGGAATCGTTCCCAGTCCTTATGGGTCTCTCCGAATGTCCGGAGCATCTGTTTTAGGGTACCGTTGAATCTCTCACATAATCCATTGGATTGCGGGTGGTAGGCGGAGTTAATGATCGGCTTAATGCCACATATCCTCCATAACTGCTGAGTAACCTCAGCCGTGAATTGGGTCCCCCTATCGGAGACCATTTCCTGTGGGAACCCTACTCGGGAGAATATCTTCATCAAGGCTTCGGCTACGGTCTCAGCGTGTATATTAGTTAGGGCAATCGCCTCGGGGTACCGGGTGGCGTAATCCACCACGGTCAGGATATACCGTTTCCCAGAGGGGCTGGGTTTTGGTAGTGGCCCTACTATATCTACTGCTACACGGCTGAACGGGTCCTCAATTATAGGTAGGGGACATAGTTTTGCCTTGTGGCGATCCCCCCTTTTGCCTACCCTCTGGCACACATCACAGGAGGTACAATATTGCCTCACGTCTTTAGAAATCCCGGGCCAAAAGAAAGCGTGCGTTAAGCGATACCGGGTCCGGGTCATTCCTAAATGGCCAGACAGAGGGATATCATGGGCTATTCTAAGTAACTCCTGCCTATACTTCTGGGGCACTACCAGCTGTTTGGTTTGGAGCGTCACAGAGTTGCCTATTGCCCTTTCTGCCACCCGGTACAGTAACTTCTTTTCCCACACGTACCGTTCTCCCTCCCGCCCCACCTGGTCCGTGTCTACCCTATCTCGGTACACCTGCAGTGTGGGGTCTGTCTGAACCTCAGCTTCAAAAGTGGTCGGGGTGTCCCAAGTCATGTCTGTCACGGGGGGGTCATGGTGTCTTACCTGCGCCTCAGAGTGTGCGGGAGATGCCGTGGTGCGAGCCTGTTGCCGGGTGGTTACCCGATGCGCCTCTTGTGAAGGGGCCTGGGGTAGAAAAGCGGAAGTCATCTGGCCCAAGTCATTCCCCAAAACAACATCGGCCGGTAATTTCTTCATTATGGCCACTTCCACAACCCCCTCCCCAGCACCCCAGTTCAAATGCACCTTGGCCGTGGGTAACCGGTACATGGCTCCCCCTGCTACCCGGACCGCCACTGATCCGCCAGTGTGGGCCGCATCTGGAATTAAATGGGGGGCCACTAGGGTCAAGGTGGCTCCCGAGTCCCGCAGCCCCTGCACTTCTTTCCCTCCCACAATCACAACTTGGCGGTGATGCTGCCGGTTGTCCGTGGCTTGCACAGACATCACTTCATACAGAACCCCCAATGGTTCCTCAGTTGGTAGACTTGCCAGCTCCGAGTGGTCAGGTTCTGTGTGGTAAAAATGGGCCGCCGCCCTTGGAGCGGAGTTTTGCCGTACCTGGTTCCACGCCTGCCTGCTCCGATTCTGGGTGCACTCCCGGGACATATGCCCCCACTGCCGGCAGGTATGGCATTGTATGTTGGCCCTGCCATTGTAGCGGGCTGGCGGTGGGGGGTTTCCTGGTGGTGGCCTGAATGGAGTAGAGTTGGCGGGTGTGGGGCTGGCTGGGTGGTGTTGTATTGGCGGTCTTAGGGGACCCCTGTTGGTGAGCCTGTGGTGCCTCCGGGCATCAAAGTGTTCGTCTGCCAATCGGGCGGCTGCTGTGAGGGTGAGAGGTTTTCTGTCCCTTACCCACTCCTGTGCCTCTGGTGACAGACCGTTGAAGAATTGCTCCAGCAAGATGAGTTGGCGCAGTTCCTCCATGGTTGTGGCTTGACTTGCCTGAATCCACCCTTGTGAAGCTTGGTCCAGCTTATGCGCCCATTCTGCGTGGGAATCTCTTTCGGGCTTTTTCAATCCCCGAAATTTCCGCCGGTATGCCTCTGGGGTTATGGCATATCTTTCTAGGATTGCCCTTTTTACTTTAAAATAGTCCTTGCTGTCCTCTCTGGGCACAGCGCGGTAAGCCTCTGCTGCTCGTCCCGCCAATTTGCCTGCCAGTAGGGGTACCCACATTGCCGGTTCCAGGTCGTGTAGGTCGCATAACCTCTCGAAATCCTGCAGGTATCCGTCTATCTCATCCTTCTCCTCGCAGAATGCTTTAAATGCCTGGTACGGTATTTTCTGCTTTGTTGGAGGGCAGAATGAGTTGGCGATGGATTCTGCCCTGGATGGTGACCTCTGGTGCTGCTGTGCCATAATGTAGTCCTGGACGTCAGCCATTAGTACGGTCAGGATGTCCAGGGTTACTGGCTGGGGTACAAATTCTAACCGGGTTCTCAGTTCCCTCTGGTACGGGGTTTCCTCCCTGGCAGGTGGGGGTGGACTGCTGTGCGCTTGGTCGCCCTCCATCAGCTCTGCAATTAGCACTGCTTTCGATTTGTTGCTAGCGCTTTTCCCTCTAGCCTCCAGCAGTTCCTTTAGCGTCTGCCTCTTTAACGCAGTGTAATCCGTCCCCATTCACTGCTCGCTTTCGTCTGCTTGTTTCATACGAATTGCCTTTCCGTTCGGTTGTTCCTTTCATTCGAATGCGCTGTATTCGGCTGTAGAGTTGGATCCCGTCGCTTGCCACCAATTGTAGCGGAACGCCAATAATAAATCCACGAATTCCGCTGGTTCAGAAACGAATCCACAGTCAAGCGCTGAAACAACAAGGCAATATCCCCAACCTCCCAATAACCGGACGAGACACAGTTTTGGGAGTCAACTGAAATCCTTTTAATCGGCAGGACAATTTATACAAGTCCCCATGCAAGGGGTTTCCTGAGTCCCTCCCCAGGGGCACTCCCAGAGGGGACTACATGGGGGACTTACACGACAACATATTTCTCCCATCAGGCACCGCTGCACGAGAGGGATCATCCTCCCAGAATGCACCGTTAAGGGGATTATCCCCTCGTGCAGCAGAACCGACAATTTATACAAAAATACATAACTGGTTAAATACACGGTGGATTTACACGAACGGACGTTCGGTAGATAGCTGGGGTCTGAGCGCATCATTCGTGAGATTGCCGCTCAGATCCCAGCTAAAATAACCGAACGCCGCACAGAAAACACATTTCTTTTAAAACATACGCAAAGAACCGATTACTTCTAGTGAACATGATCCTGAAACTCCCGAACGTCCTGGAGGCTCAGCGGTGTTCGTGCCGTCGAATAGCTATTGGTAATACTATGCGTTCGACAACTCGGTCCCGCTGAGGAACAAGGGATCCAAGATGGCCGACCGCCGCATGGTCGGTAGTCGAACGACGGCCACCCAGGAGAGCCTCTAATAACCGATTGCAACAATGTTGCAATCGGTTAACTAGCGCCACACGCCTCTAAGTGTGTGGGCTATTAGGGGGTATCGCGTTCGGTTCACGAACGGCTTTCTAAAGTGCCGTTCGTGAAACGAAAGAAAATCCCCATACAAAACCGCTGTTTGCATTCGGCGGAAACAGCAGTACAGGCAATACAGAAAATACATTAGCATATACATAAGTGTAAAGCGCATATCTCGCCAGACCTATTGGCAACCCTTAAAGGCACAGTCTCCAATTATAGTCCAAGTGGCTAGGTTTGCCACAATTATGGACTGTAACGGCACTAGTTGGGAGCACGTAAAACCACTGAGAAGTGGATTACAGTAGTCAAGGCGAGAAAGGACAGTCTACCGCAACTATATCAGAAATAACTGCTTTCAATCTGTTTGCTAAAATGTGAGAATACATTTTTAAATCTAGATTTATTAAAGAAATCTGTCTATAATTTATTGTATTCGTGGGATTTTTTTCCTGTTTTGGGAATCGGAATAATAGATGCTAACAGCATCTCTTTAGGGAAAGGATTGGTAATTGAGACTTAAAAAAAATAAAATAATAATAGTATCGGGGCCAAAATATCAACAAAGGTTTTATAAAATAACGTAGAAAAGCCGTCCGGTCCAGGGGCTTTATTGGCTTTAAGTTTTTTTTATTTTTATTGGTTTAAATATTTCTGAAAAAGTAATAGGAGCATTAGAGTTTTTCGGGAGAAATTTCCAGTATAGCAAGTTTATTCAAAAACCCAACTATATCCAAGGTTGGAACCTTTAGGATCTGGTAGATTGTATAAAGCGTAATAAGAGTCTACAAAGGCCTGAGATATTTCCTTAGGGTTTAACAAGCATTTATCTCCTATTATGTTTTTTATCTTTGGAAGTATTTTTTAATCTGCTCGTAAACTTTTTATTTGCTCTATTATTGTGGTACCTTTTTTGCTTGAGAAAAATAATAGATTTATTTGCCTCATCCAAGAGCTTTTTATTAATATGTTTCAAGCGTCTAATTTAATTAGTGATATCTAGGGTTATTTGGAACTTATTTTCTCTTTCAAACTTGGCCAGCTTAATTTATAGTTTGGAAATATTTTCTTCTGTGTTTTATTTTATTTTTTATTTTTTTGTCTCAAGCCTGCTTTAATTCGATCCCCTCTAGTAAAACGTTTACATTTGCACCAAACAGTAGAGAGGTTGCTACTTCTCCATTATCATTCAATTGAATAAAATGCTTCATGTCCGTAGCTCTTTCAGCGGTTACCTCCTCAATTTGTAAAAGACTTTCATTCAGTCTCCATCTGTTTCTGATTCTGAAAGCAGATGAAAATTTAAATGTTAATAAAACTGGGGCATGATAAGATAAAATAATTGAGCCAATCTTGGAATCCATAATCTGATCTAATAAAGCGGGACTAACAAAAAAAAAAGTCAATCCGAGAGTAGGTCTGATGGACATGAGAAAAATGGGTATGATCTCTCGATTGTGGGTTAAAGGTTCTTCTATAAAGTTTTAAATTGGGAACACAATTGAAATCGCCGCCAATAATTGTTTTCACACTTAATTTTCTGAGCACAATCCTCCAGAAAAACCCATTGAGAAATCGACAGGGGCATATACATTCACCAAAGTAAATATTGTCATTTATCTTGGATATTAAAAGTAAAAATCTACAGTTTATGTTGATTTCCGAATGTATATATTAAAATGTAAGATTTTTTTTTTTTTTTTTACAAAACGGCTATTCCTCATCTTTTACAGTTACCTTCAAGATTGGCATAGTATATAACAGGAAAATAATTAAATTGCCATAATTTATCAGGAGGAGATACCCAATGGTTTTCCTGGATAAAGGCTATATCTACCTTATTTTTCTTTAAAAGTTTACTCAACGCCCCCAGTTTCTGGGGTGAATTAAGCCCTTGGATATTCCAAGATACACAATGAAGTGTCATCTAAAAGCATCATATAATAGAATCCCAATATTGCAGTCCTACAACAATAACAAACATTAAAAAAAAGTAGAAGATATCTTCATGTTCAACTGAAACTTGCAACCTTTCTACGCAGGTAGTGAGGTTTAAATGGCACTTCCTACAATAAAGGCAAACAAACAACAATTTTTATGAATTATTAGTGAGTAGCAGTGGATTGATTTTCTCTTTATAACTTTGGAATTCAAGTAAATGAATAGTTCCTATACTGCAAAAATTAAAATAAACTTATAGATTTCAATAGGGTATGGAGTTAACCTCGATCCATGTTAAAGGTCCTATATAGTGAAATAGTATGTATACTTCCTATACTGAAGAAGTGGTGAAATTTTTTTTTTTCTCAATGTCTTATTTCAGGGTTATTTACGAAGGTGAATTCAAATTTTAAGGTGAAAAATGTTGGGTGTATAACTTTGACCGTATGAGGTAATCATATTGTAGGCGCAAAATAGAAGTAAATTAAGTAATCATGTAGACTGGATATGCCACTTTGACAGAGTGGTTAATGCAAAGTTATGCTCCTCAGTGGATCTAACTTTTGGCCACCTCAGTTCTAGATCCGTTTTACTCCAGTCACCTGATCCTTCTGTGCTCTAAGTGACGCATGGCTTTAAAAAATTTTTTTCCTGTTTATTTTTTCCATCCCTCTAGGAACGATGCTGAGAAAAATCAGAGTGATGGAAAACAAGCCGGCACTTTATCTCCCCCTGCAGGAAGTCAGAGTCTTCCACCGCAGAGCGGGGCTCAACGCATGGGTTTTCTGCCATATTCCTTGGCCTTTGGGGTCCTACTGCAGTGCCTTAAGCAGGTTGGTATTGAGCCTGGGCTTTTCTTGAATCTCAGAATGTCCTAGATTTGTTTGTTTGCTTGGGAGTTTTCCTTTATTTTTAAAGGTGTTTTTTTGTTTTTGTTTTATGTAAAACTTTATTTAGATTTGCAGGATGGGCAAACTGAGCCAGGGCCTAAATTGTAAAGGGTACATGTATCATACACATCTAGATGAACAACAAAGAGAACGATGGATTAGGGAAAAAGGGGTGACAATAGAAAAATATCTGGCATTACTATGGACCAACGCTGTAATGGTTCCAAAACCAGCAAGGTCCAGTCTCTTCAATCTGATATTACAGAAATTAAAATGAAGACTTAATAAGCTGTAAGGCAGTAATCTCCAACAGCCCTCTGATGCCCAAGATGTTCATCTCCGACTCCAAGAACTCTTTGAATGCCGTGGATACCCAGAGGATCATAGAGGTTGTAGTTCAGCCACATCCGGGGGATATGGTTTAAGATTTTTGGTCTAAAGAACTCTATTCTGTTTGCTTTGATTCACAAAATTATATATATATATATATATTTTTTTTTTTTTTTGGTGGTTCAGTCTTATGTTTCCGTCTGAAATCTTATCCTGCAGGAAACGGACTGGAAAGTACTGAAACTGGTCCTCAACAAACTCCCAGAGTGTCTCCGCTACAAGATTCTTATCCTGTCCTCTCCTTGCAACGTTGATGAGCTTTCTACACTACTCTGCACTATGGTGAGCTGTTAGCCAGCACTTTGTTCTCTGTGTGTCTTTGTGAATATATTTATAAATATGCTCTTCCCCCTTAGCTCTCTGACCGGACAGCGAGTGATCGTCTTTACAACACTCCTGACGGCTTTTCCCGAACTGATTTGCAGTTGGCTGTAGTTCCTGTATTGACGGCGTTGACTTCTTACCACCCATATCTAGACATCGCTAAGCAGGTACTCTTTGTTAAATTGTGTTTTAAATAAACATCAATCGATCGCTAGTACATTTACAAAATAACAAACTCTTTTGAGTTTCAAATTGAAAATTAAAGGGGAGATGAAGCAAACTTTTTTTTTTTTTTTAATTCTCCTTCCTCCCGAAGCTTTTCGAAAACTATTGTGTAAATATTATTTTTTGCATGATTTCGCACCAACCACCCTATGTGGTGGGTTTTTTTTGTGTGATTCCTATGAACACACCAAGAAAGTGCTTTAGATGTCTCTACTATTGCATGTATATTAAGGGACAGGAGGCAAATACAGATAAACGTTAAAATAGGTTTGACAGATGCCAGAGTACTCCAGCCACTCGTAGTTCACCCCTTCTACAGTGACGATATCCATTACATATTGAACTTCTGATTTAGCTATATATGTGAAATCTCCATAGAGCTCTGTAAAGAGGGGCTTGGTGATGTCCTGAAATGTACTGACACCAGGGGACTACTGACACCATGCCAATTACTGCATGCTAGAACGTTAGAGTGCCAATTTAAGTTTCTGTTGAGTGCTGTCTGTGCACGAGGGTACCAGAAAGATTGTGGTGAGGCTAAACTCCATAACATCCCCCACAGTACCTGTGAAAGTTTGTTTATTTTCAGAGGGAAATGATCCGGGCCCTAGAACATGGCTTGATCTATCGCTGCGCCAAGCAATGTGTGGTGGCATTATCCATGTGCATGATCGAGATGCCAGTGATCCTGTTTAAATCCCTTCCTGTCCTCATTGTGAAGCTGACCCACATCTCTGCTACTGTCACCATGGCCATTCCTATGTTGGAGTTTCTATCGAGTGAGTTTTTACACTATCTTTTTCTTCCGTTCTTTTGTGTGTGTGTGTGTGTGTGTATCACATTTGCTGTTCTTTGCTTTAATAAGGAACACTTATTCCAGTATAACTGGATTTGCGCTGTATATAACCTAAACCTTCTTTTCTGGAATGTTATCTCTCCCCTTTTAGCCCTGGTCAGACTCACCCACCTTTACGGGAACTTTGCGGCAGAGCAATATGCCAGCGTCTTTGCCATCTCTCTGCCATACACCAATCCATCCAGGTGAGTTTCTAATGAGATTCAAACTTCGCAGAAATCCATGTGCTTAAGATTTGTTATTTTAAAATAAAACAATTGCTGGAAACTCCAGATTTCACATACTATTGTCCCTTTTTTTCCAGTGTGGCTATTTTTTTTTTTTTTCCTCTCTGTTTAGGTTTAATCAATATATAGTGTTCCTGGCACACCATGTAATCTCGATGTGGTTTATCCGGTGCAGACTGTCACTGAGGAGAGACTTTGTGCCATATATAACAAAGGTAAATATTGCTGTCTTTACTGGTGATTGGACTGCAACATAAATGCACTTTGCATTAGTGATTATCTAGTTGCCATTGTTAAACCTGGAGTCACTGATTCCTCTCTAAGCAGTTGCTTGGAAGTTTGGGGGGGGGGAAAGAAATACATTTTTTTTTTTTTTTTGTGTGACACACCTTCAATGCTTTAAATGGACACTATAGGCACCCAGACCACTTCAGCTCATTGAAGTGGTCTGGTTGCATATTCCCAGATCCCTTAACTGTGCAGTGGTAATTATTGCAGTTTTTTCATAAACTGCAATACTTGCCTGCCGGGGTTAACTCCACCTACTCCTCCTCTACCAGGCAGCCACTAGAGGGACTTCCGGGTCGTTAAGCTGGACGTCCTCACGCTATGCATGCTGACCTGCACTGGGAATTATGTGCAGCTGCTGCAGGTTAAAGCAATTCCACTTCATGTAGCGTTTAGACACCAGACCGTTGGTGCACTCCAAGTCCCACAGAATGATATAATCACAAGTAATTGGATAGCTTGTTGGCTAAAAAAAACAGTGGTATGGGTGTGAACATAGAATTTAAAGTTTACAAGTCTATAAGATTTGCTTTGCAGTGCCATAACCTCTGCAGGGAACTCTAGTATTTGTATCTAGTGTCCCTTTAAATACCATTCCTGTAGAACTTTGCAGGGTCTCCTTCAGTGCTGTTTGACACGTGTACGTGTTTGCTTATTTTTCAACATGGAAAGTTGTACATCCTCATGTTTGTGTGGCAGTGTCAGCCAAAGAGAAAAAAAAGCATTGTCTGTATGGTATGTCCAGCCCTTTTTATGCTTTGTACTATTTAAGTTTTAGTTATGTTATTTCAATAAACAAATGATTTAAAATAATTTTAAACAAAATTCAGTTTGAATGATATTTAAAAGGACACTATAGGCACCAAAACAACTTTAACTAAATTAATAAAACAGATTGGGTGTATAGATCATGTCCCTACTGTCTCACTGCGCAATTCTCTGCCATTTAGGAGTTAAATCACGTTGTTCATGCAGCCCTACTCACACCTTCCTGCATGTGACTTGCACCGCCTTCCTAAACACTTCCTGTAAAGGCACATAGTTTTAGTCTGTTTTGATTTATTTTCTGCTCTGCTAATAACTTTCTAAAGCATACAGGGGCTTCATGTGCGTGTGTGATATCAAAGTTTAATTTACAGAGCAGGATATACAAACTTCTAAAGCAAGTTAAGATCGGATTGAAAATGAAACCATTTTTTGCATGCAAACTGTATGAGTCACAGCCAGGGGAGGTGTGGCCAGGGTTGCTTAAACAAAGTGCTCTAACTCCTAAATAGAAGAGAATTGAGCAGCGAGACAGCAGGGGAATGATCTATACACTAATCATTAAATTAAAGTTGCTTTGATGCCTTTAGTGTCCCTTTAAGACAAAAGATGTTTCTTCGCCTCTTTCAGCGTCCTGTAAAAGTAAATCCCCTCTATCCATTAACTATTATAAACGGCAACTGAATTGTACTCATCCCACCTTAGGGTTTGCGTTCCAATGTCCTGCTGAGCTTCGATGATACACCCGAAAAAGGGAGTTTCCGAGCACGTAGCACCAGCCTCAATGAGAGGCCTAAAAGGTATTTGTTTCTAAGGAATGAGATTGTCTTCGTGTCCCGTTCTTACTGTGAAGAGTAAATGTTTGTTGCCATTCTAGCTCTGTATTAAAATCTCTGTTCAAAATGTGTTCTCGATATCTTGGAGCGTGGGAACAACTGTTACCTTTTAAATGTTTTTAATTAGCAGTAGTTTTTTTTTTTTTTTGTCCTTTCCAGTACCCATAGCCCATCCCTCTTTAGCTGCCCTGATAAACAGGGATTGCAGTTTTTGTCTGTCGGATGGCATCGCTTTTGATAATGCAGTATTGTAGTTTTGAATGAAAGGGGGGTGGGGGGGTGGGAGGGGGCAGGTTATGGGTGCAAGGGAGAGTCCTGAAGTTTAATTAAAATTTTTTTACAAAGTATATGGCATTACATTCATAGACTCATGGCACCAGTGTACCATTTTAATATTCATAATGATTAATATTCACATTGATCAATTTCATTTTCACAACGGCAGACCTAATAGTGAGATGTTTCCATTTTGAAATCTATAAAAAGGAAATGCAGGCTATACACCAAACTGTGGATTGTCTAAAGTAAACTGTGAAATTCAAATGTCACGATAAAATAACTGAGAAGTAAAGTTTGCTGAATTGCAGAATGTTTCCAATTTGTCTTCTGTCTGTAATTCCCAACAATTCATGTTTTAATGATGAATTCTGCTCGTCCCCAAGTCTGGCAGTTTTTTTAACGTTTAAATTTGCATTTTAAAAATACAGGATTTAATTTTTCACTATGTTTAAAAGTGGCTTCAAATCTTACAATGCTCTGAATGCATTAAAATAATAGTTTAAAAAAAATAAAAGAGGAATACCGTTCCTCGGTGAATCGCTGTTTATTTGGGTTTTCCTGTAGCTGGTCCTCTATCATATCAGTTCGAGACCTACGCTCAGAAGTGTCTAATTCTGGTCTATAGGGCCAGATCTTTGTCATTAACCATTGTCCAGTAGAGTTTTATGGAATAATAAGTTTATCAACAAAGAACAGTTACACTCATCACATTGTATGAGTGAAACTGCTATATTAGACGGCTGCCATATTGTGGTTGCTATCAATTTGCAAACAGCCCAATTCACTATTTAACCATTCTATTATCAGCTGGTCAAGCTGATCCCATTCTCAATCAGAAAATAAGATCCCCAAACCGTTACCGATCTGTATTTCAGCAGTTTTTAATCAACTGTTGCTTAACGTCTTTCTGCGTATTTCCCCGACCTTATATCAAATGTGTTCATTTCTACCATTTTGGACTTTAGTGGGTATTTAAGCCAACGACAAGCCCATTCATTCTCTTGCTAGATATTTGCTTACATGGTAGAATTTTATATAAAAACTGTTAATGGTGTAAAATAGAACACCGTTGCAGTATTGTGCTTTTTATTTTGTTTTTCAATGTCTTGTAATTCTTATTGCTGTTGTCGTTTTCCCTCTGATTTCAAAGCACCATCTGTGATATCTGGGTGATTGATATGAAATTAAATAGCTCACTAGAGTTTCTTACTGCTGTTCGAAATTAATCTATATTTACTGAAACTCTTTTTAAAAAGAACCATCCGTCTCCAGGAAGAGAGCATTTTTTGTGATGAATCATGTTCTTTTTAAATGCAATATTAAAATCTGCTCATCCCAGTTCAGTCCCGGCATGGCCATAGCACAAACTGCAATGGGGGAGATTTAGCAAATGCGTTATTTTCTAAAAAGCGATCTTAAGCACTGAAAGTTGGGGAACCACCCAAACAGGTTGCTAAATCTCCCCCATTGTCTTCGTTTCTCCTTTGCTACTTCACAGTGTTCAGTGATTGTAAACCCAGCGGTTATGCGATGGAGATACTTGGCTTAAAGATGGTGGTAATATTAAAATGTAGCAATCCAAACCTAACATTTAAAGATCCCGTGAAGTGTATGTTCCCCTCTAATCTCTGAAGCCCTTTATTATAATGTATTAATTCTAATACTGAATCCAAAGTCTTCTGTTACATCACGAATGATGCCAAATCTTTTACCAATCCGGTCCCCATCACACATGGTGCAGGCTTGTGATATCAGGGGCTGTTGGCTTTCCATTCATTCTTTGCTCATATATTTAATTTCTGCTTTCTCATTTGTGGATTTTTGTTTTTTTGTTTTGTTTTCTGTTTTTCCTCTATGATGTTCCCAAAATTCTGACTTCCACGGCTATCTGGCGTTTACCCACTCTACGTCTATTCACTGAATCCACCTGCATCCTGTGCGTTACGGGTGGGGTGAATTATTTAAAAAAACAACTTTTTTTTTTTTTTTTCTTCCATTCCATGAAATATGGTTTGGTTGGTGAGCATTTTCTTCTCCCTCCCCTGCATTTTGAATGGGTAGCTTGAAGCTATCCAGACCCACAAAGACAAGCTTGAGTGACACCTCCCCAGTTAAAGAAATGAGGGACCTTTCCAACGCATTCCGATCTCGCAGCATCAGTGTATCGGAACGCGCTGCGTACAGGTAGTGATAACCTATGTAATGATGGATGGGGGTGGGGAAAACAAAACTCTGCCTGAGCCCAGTGGGGAGGGGATATGAAATGCATGCTGGGAATGTTGCATGACCGGTGTAGACAATAGAGCACATTTCATAACCTTTCTTGACGTGGACCTCACAACCCACAGAAATGCACGTTGCTCTGAACTCCCAAACTGTCTTAACAGTTTGGTTTTATTCCGTCTGATTTTGTAGATTTAACTAATAAAACACATTCCGTACAGAGAAGATTGCAATCCGATTTAGACAACAAAAGACTGACCCTTAAACAAAATATATAATTATAATCAAAGGGCCATGTGTTATTGTTTATATTTAAATCTTTACTCCTTCTTCCTAGTTGTAGAGTAAAACTCTATTAAAACCATTAACATGTAGTGGATGATTTTAGGAATCTTATTGAACTGAAAGACTTTGTATGATTCAGAGTGCAATCTTTTCTTATTGTTAGTAGAATATGGTATGCTTTTTGCATGATGGTTGTTGGGTAAGACGGTCGTGACTTGACTTTCATGCCAGAATAATTCCGCAATTATATCTAAAAGCGATTTCCCAACAGCTGATCAAAGTATTATAATGTGATATAAACCTAATCGTCATTGGTTCTTCTTAAAACTTTGTGGATCTTCTAATGGTTTCTTTAATGTTCGATACAGAATTTTTTAGTATTGTTAAAATCCTTCAACTGTTTTGGCAAGCCCGTAAATGAATCCCAAAATTTTAGCAATTGCTTCCATTATATGCATGAAATAAAGGCATCATCTCACTGGCAAAGAAAAATAAGTCATGTGCCTTCTGCTCAGTCATTAACCTGTACTTTACTCAAATTCCCACCTGCGTTTTCTCACTCAGCCGCATGCAGTCATCCGTTACCAGCTCGAGCTTAAGCTCAGCCGATGAGAGCTCTGTGTCCCAGGCTGATGAAAGCCTAAAAAATCTTCACCTGGAACTGACTGAGATTTGTCTGGACATGATGGCCAGATATGCCTTCGCAAACTTCACAGCTGTACCAAAGAGGTAAGCTTCACATGCTGAAGAATTGGTTAGACGTTCCCTAGATATGAAATGTTATCTTGTATACAATTTGTTCATCTAAGTTTGACCTGTCTTTTTTGTGTTTCCTGTACATTGTAAATGGCAACAATGTTGCGTTAGTAGGATGATCGTCCTTGAAATGTAGTGTATGCCTTCCCGCAGAATTCTAGGCATTAGTAAAATATACTTGTTTTCTTGCAGGTCGCCTGTTGGAGAATATCTCCTGGATGGCGGAAGAACAAAGACTTGGATGGTTGGCAACAAGTTGATCACTGTCACTACTAGTGTGGGGAAAGGGACTCGCTCTTTGCTTGGCTTGGACACTGGAGAGAATCCGGATGATGGGGAATCCGGGTACAGTGCACATACATAACGTAGTATACACATGTTACATTCATTCCAGATACTGCATAGTTATTCTAAGCAGTGCCTGAGCTTTCAAGGGAAATCATAAAAGGGATTTTGAAAAAGTTCTAAACAAAGTATAAAGAGAAACCCTTCAAGTGTATATGTAATTTATCTTCTAGATTGGTGTATTCTACCTTGTTTTGTTTTTGTGCAAGTAATCTAGACTTCAGGCAAAGTGTAAGACCGGCATTCCAAATTTCTTCAGGCAGTCTATTTACAGAAGAGTGAAGCAAAAACGTACTTGAGCCAAAACTGCATTTCTTTAAAAGATTGTTCCTAGCACTATAACCACTTCAGTGACTTGAAGTGGTCATGGTGCCTGCAGCCTGTATGTTTAATGTTTTGATATTAAACACTGCACATACATAGTTTAACCCCTGTTCAATGTAACTCCACCTCTGGCCACGTCAATAGTAGACAGTGAACTTGAGTTCCGGGCTGTCTAAAGTGAATTCTGTACAAATTTGGCATCTGATGGCAGCCTCCCCTTGGCCAGTCACCCCTGACATCACTCACCCTCTGGCAAATTATGTCAAGGATAGGTTGATGCTGTGTGACATGATCATGCAGGGAGAGCGACAGAATGTTGTATAGGGCTTACCCATCAAACTTTACTTTCAAGTAAACAAATGTTAGCCTTATTGCACCAGACTTTACCCAGCATGCACCTGATTTAAAGCCGCTCCAGTGCATCCAGAATTCCAGTGCTGTTTTGTGGACGTCTGTCTGTTTCTGCTAGCAAAACCGTGTGTGTGTGTTCATTCTCTCTTTTTCTTAGAAAATCACATGCTGAAAATGACAGGAAGGCAAAACAGCCAAGCCATGACTATAGCGGTGTTAGAAAACTTTCCAAAAATCCTACATTTTTTTTTATTTATTTTTTTACTACTGTTCAGTTTTTTGTTTTGTTTTCAAGTCACTGTAGTGTAATGTTTAGTGAATGAACCCTTGGTGTTCTAATTCTTGTCTTGTGTATGTTCTTGCAGTTCAGGCACGAACACTGAGCAGGATCTTCCTTCCAAGCTGGATCTTCATGGGCGAATGGGTATGCAGCACAGAATCCGCTCCTTGTCCGGTGAGCTTTCTTCAGAGGGAGTGCACACTCTCCCTTCACCTTGGGATTTTTTTAGTTGTCTTCTTAAAACAAAGTGTAGTCACCTTGTATCTCCAGAAGCAGGCGTGCAGTCTCCGCCATGGCTTACAACAGCCAGGAGTGCTGTATGGGAATAATTAGATTTTATTGTGTGTGTCACTGCTCAAGTTTAGTAGGTATACCCCAAATGAAAACATACATGCTTTAGACTGTATAATTTTGCATTGGGGGTTTATCTAAACAGTTTGCAAAACCTGCAGATGTCTGCTGCCTTTACAACCCGTCCAGACTTTCTGTCGCTGTCCAATCAGACTTCCCAATGCAGCTCAATGAGAAGTCTTTACAAGGCAGGTGCTGACTCTTGAGTTTAGTGCAAATAATCTATAACCAAACCAGGAAGTAACAGGACCTGCTGTTTGACGGCCAGGCAGTGTAACCAGGTTAGTTTATAAAAGTGTGTGTGTGTATATGTAATGTATAAATATAAAAAAAAAATTTTTTTATAAATCTGTCTAATTCTCTAAATTTTACAAAAAGTACACACTCTCTTCACATAAAGGCACTTCAGCAAGCGAACGTTCTTTAGGGGCCTGGAGTGTCTAATTCTGTGCTGTTACGTAAATTGTACTTTTTTTTAAATTTAGTTACAACTCTATTCCCGGTAGGGTAATATATTTTCATCTAACAGATCAATTTTTAACTATAACTACAAGATCTGATCACAGGTTTTGGTGATGCCATCTTCAAGCTCTCCGAATTTTACTGATCTAAAAAAAAGAAATGCTTGCTAGAGCATGTAATCGGAATCCGTAATACTCAGAGTAGTGTCCCGGTTCTGAGAGTCTTCCTGATGAGGAAACCACAAACACAAAAATCTTCAGACACAAGAAAACAAACCTAAAAATGATTTGTACACATTATGCGATATGATTTGTGCATAGTAAACTACGGATCTACACTTTATGATAATTTGTAAAGTGAATTTTTCATATGTTTATCTTCCTTGACTAACCAAAACATACTTGTCTGTTACCAATTCGTCAAAATGGTAATTTTCGGGCATAATTTAAAAAAAAAAATGTTTATTTCTCTTTATATAGTCAATATTGCCTCATATTATTTTTTTTATTTTTTTTCAGGTGGACACGGACTCAGAGCAGGTTCATTAGATGGTTCTAAAGGTCAATCAACAAGCAGGGTTCCACATCGTGCACCAGTCAAGGAGAAGGTCACTCTGACGCTGGCTGATTATATGCCAGTACTAACACAAGGCTGGGCTGAAATAACCGTTCGGAGGCCAACTGGTAAAAACAAAAAATAGTTACAGATTTTTAAGCACAATAAAGTTTGTACTATATCTTTATTGTTTTATGGGTGCATTATGTTGGCAGAGATCTACAAGGTGCTATTTAAACTTGTTAATACCCTATTGTCCTTCTCTCCAGGAACCACAAGCTGGCTCATGAGTGTGGAGAACCCACTGAGTCCATTTTCATCTGACATCAACAATATGCCTCTTCAGGAGCTGTCTAATGCCCTGATGGCCGTTGAACGATTTAAAGGGCATCGAGAGACAATGCTGTACAAATCTCTTTCAATGCCTGCCTCCACTCTCACCGATGCCAAACCCTCACTCCAACGATCTAATACAGGTAAGAGAATGTAAGCCAGGCAAAATGACTCATTTAATCCTTACCTTTCTGCTCCGGGAGTTCCACAAATCCATCAGATGGTTTCATTTAAAAATCTTTGAATCCATGGCTTTCTCTGATGTAGCTTTCAAAATTTGTACTTTTATTTAAAAAAATAAATTAAATCCCAATGTATTTGTTTTTATTTCATCAAAGTTTAACTTTTGCTTGTTCTTTAGCATTACTGATTTCAACTCTGCATCTACAAACCTCTAGCAAAGCAGTGTCTAGCCTTCTGCACCCTCACTCTGTGAGCTCCTCGACATTCGCAACTTTATTAGTAAAGATAGCTGTAACTCTAGCTCTGTTTACCTGTGTGCATGCGTAGATGGCGTTTCCTGTTTTGGTGTCCTTGTTAAGTATAGTTGTGAACCAGAAGCCCATGGCTTTCTACGGTGGTGGCAACATCTTGCAATCTGCTCTTCCTCTCCCATTGCAGTGGCTTCTATCTCTCACGCCTCCCAGTCCAGTGGCCAAGGGAAGCTGCTTAGGAGCATTTCCTGGGCAGGTATATATGTTGTGGCTCTATCGGAATCCTGCAGAACATCGTTTGAGTCCTTGGCATGTTTTATGCCTGTCTAATGATCTTGTATTTTTATTTCTTTTACCAAGCTCATTTGTTCACTGTGTGCTTCATTGCTAACAAAGGTCAGACTCCGGCCTGCCTCATGGCATGGGATACCTGTACTGCACGTGGTATTAGTTTGTTTGACTGTCCTAACATTTCCCAGCGCACAGTTAGTCCATGGGACACTAAACCCACAAGTTCGCTACAGGAGCTGCATGCTGATGTGTGTTAACTGCTGCTTTCCAATGGTCCGACTCCATGGCGTGTTCCAGAAAATCTGCTCTGCAGCTTTTAACAGACTTTTAAATTGCAGCAAGAACAAAAGTGTTAACACCTTTCTTCCTTCAAATATTGGCACCAGTAGAGTTAAATCCATTGCTTCAGATTATTGGAAGAAATGGTAAAGGTTTGGAAAATCAGAACAATCATATGTTCTCTTGTTAATGTAAACCACATTGTAGGTGCTAATCTTTAGTATACAGAGGCTGCTTCATTAAAACATATATAATTTTCGTCCATTTTTGTGAAATTATATGTTAATTAAGAATGTGTGATTCGTATAACCACCCAGTATGTAATCTAATAATCAGGAAATGCAAATCGGGAAATCCAGTGTTTTTTTTGTATTTTTTTGTCTTCTTATTTTCTGATGCACCCTTGCCTTTACAGAATCATCTGTTGTGCCGGAGGAAGGATCCCTACTGGAGGATCCACCTGAGAATGTGACTTCTCCTGCCAGCTCTCAGGAGTTGGATGACTTTGAGGCAGTAACCAATGCCGAGACCCTACGTGAAGTGAAGGCAGAGAAGTCATCAGATGGAATAACGAGGGTGAGTTGTGAAGGGCCATGGAGATCCTTTGCTAACATTGCAATTGGTTTGTATTGCCTCTTCATTTTTATTTATTTTTGCATTAGTCTTCATCTACATCCAGTCAAGAAGACTCTGCAGCTACTCAATCTGAGCAGTCAGAAAGTCGTGGGATTCCCATAGAAGGTTCTGGCCGAGAGATTGCTTTCCAACCCTCACAAACCTTGAGCAAGTCCAGCTCGTCTCCTGAACTTCAGACGTTGCAGGAGCTTCCAAAAGAACCAGAGACAAAGGATGAAGTTAAGGAACCACCCTTAGTGCCAGAACCTGAACCCCAAACCAAAGAGAACGGCACAGACAAAGAAGCTCCCCCAAGCCAGATCAACAAGCAAGAGCAAGAAGTTGATGGTGGTGCTGGAGCAATTCCAAAGTCATCAGTGAGCCCCAGAGAAGAACCTGGGACACCAAATCAATCACAGCAGTCTTCTAACGGATACCGTCCTAGAGGACACACCATTTCAGACTCTGAACCTTCTAGGAGGGGCAGGAGGATTAACGTTGATGTTTTTAAGAACCGCACCAAGTCGACAAAAGCTGAGAAAGTGCCTGGAATAGACCCCAGGTAGGTCTCATGTCTGCACAATAATCTGGTCACTACAACACCTGTAGAGTTATTAAAGAGTCACTCCAAGCACCACTGAAAATAGATTGATTTTTTTTTTTTCTTTCTTCTAATTTGGCTATTTTGGCCAAAGTTTTGAAATTCTATTTGAATTCACTTTCAGTTCCCAACAGCTCCACTTTGTTAACGGTTTGTGAAACCTCTTGAAAATATACTGCATCTCTAAGCAGTTTTTGTGTAAATTTCTATTTTTTATTTTTATTTTTTTTCTTCAATTTTCTAGGTAGACTTGCAGTATTGCATGTTTTTGGCCACTGCGTGAATGCACTTGCACATCATTTACATTGTGTCGTTGTCCATTCTCGATCTGACTGTGTTATTGTGCTCATATTGTTTATAGTGTGATTTTTGAATATTCCTTTTGCCTTTAGTTTTGTATTCCTACAGCTGTACCACTCGCCCTTCTTTGGTGATGAGTCTAACAAGCCCATACTTGTACCAAACACGGAGGTGAGTAGTTGCAGACTCTGTAACTCACACCGCTCACTTTAAAGTTGTATTAAAATTTTAGGGGATAATTGCTAAACTGCAAACCTAGCTGACTTTTTCCATTGGGCTGTTTTTCTTCACTATTTCTATATCGGTGAATAAAACTGTGTTAATTGCAGCAGAAAGGTATTGTCAGTAATGCTTTAGTCTGCCGATTTTGTGATACTATCGGCTAACCTAAAGATCAGTGCTCACACATGACGGCTAGATGGCAGATAAGGGGGATAATGAACAGAGCTGCAGCCTTGGTGGTCTGTGAGATCTATTCCTACGTTGAAATAACATATTCCTGTATGAAGTAACACTCAGACCGTTCTACACCTACACACACCAATAACGTTACTGCATTTATACAAGTCTCTCCTCTTCTTCATTAAATTCACTGTATCTCTATGCATGTCATTAATTTGACTTTTTGTTTTGTATGAGGTTTAAGGGGAACTGATGGTAAACCCCTGTCTCCCTCCTGACAGCCAGGATGGGCCCCATTAAACCATTAAATTCTTTGCTCGCTATTAAGCATCAATAGAGATGACTGTGGTCCCGTTGCAGGATGACTATAAGGCATTAGGAGCCCTTTACACTTTTATCAAGCTTGGACCAACTCATGCAGGACTGGCCCTTAATCCTACACTTGATCCGTAATATCTTAAAACTTTTGTACTTGAACTACTTTTCCCCCATTTACTTTACTTTACATCACTGGTTTAAACTATGACCTTGGCACAGTCTACCTTGTTTTGTTGGGTCACCCGCCCCTTAAGATGTAGTGTCTTCCAATACTGCTAGTTGATTATCTTTTTTTGCCTGTTCCCCAATTCCTCTGTTTGCTTTTTCAGACATTTGAAAGGACAATGAGTTTGCTGGATGGTATTCCTTCTTATGATACGCATAAGATTGGTGTCCTGTATGTGGGAGAGGGGCAGGTGAGTTTAATGATGAATTGAATTAAATTTTACTGGTCGCTATGTAGCTACATGTTACAAATATCAACTGGCGGCCCTTAGATAAATAAACACCTTTATGTTGGTAGTATGTTAAATACATGATAAAGTAAAACTTTAATACCTTAAAGGGGCACTGTAACCACTTCATCTCATTAAAGTGGTTATAGTGTTTTAGGGTCCTTTGACAGTGCTTACAATTTTTGAATGTTTTAATGCTAAACAAGAGTCCACAGCAACCCATCCCCTCTATTGCTTGGGTTAATGAGGACGCGCAATGAGTGGCGGTGATTCCCTGAGTGTCAGCTGACTGCTTTCAGCCTGTAACGGCTCCCACTGCTGGTATGAACAAGGAAGTGTGTGATCTCTACTTTATCCATATCTCCAGTAGGGGCCTGTGGGCAGCCAGGGACCTGCACTCAAAGGAAAGTAGTCAGAGCCGCTTTACCTTTATGTAAAACCTGCAGGTTGACCAAGGGTGGTGCTTTAATCTAGCTCCCCCTAATTTATCTACTTTATTTGCTGTCAGCCCAGTACTCTCCTTCCTTAGTGTCGTGCCACTTCCAGCCACGTTGCATCATTACTTCTTACAGCCCAAAGCAAGCCACCGGAGGCTGAGATCTCCAGTGTCCGCCATCTTAGAAACCTCTAGATGGTGCTGTGAATGATGACCCAACGGGATTGGCACAACCTAAAGTAAGGTAAATAGCATCAGTCCTAGGCTCTCTAAATATCAATAGGGGGTGTAGGGCAGGGCGTATATAGTCAGAAGAGGGAGGGGGTGATTCAGTCACAGCCCTTTTAAAACTGTTTGAAATGTAACACTGAATGGAGGGACCGCGTCGGGGAGCTCCAGGCACTACAACCAATTCAAGGAGATGAAATGGTTAAAGGCCTAGTAGTAGTCTTTGCCGCCATAACTGTCTTTTTGTGATCCATTTTTCACTTGTTGAGCAGCCAGAGTTCTATTGAACTATCAAACTCGCTGTACTAAAGAAAAGGATCCTTAAGCCACCAATGGATTTGCCAATATATTGGCAATTGAGGTGAACTATGTAAGCTATATACAGGATTAAAGATCGTATAACGTAGTATACATGTAATAAAAAAAAACTTTGTCACTTTAAACACTGCTAGAAAGGATCAGTGTGCTATAACGGTATTAGTCATAAAGCAAAGCTTTTATTGACAGATTGGCAATGAGGCTGCAATCCTGTCCAATG